AAGCAAGCGTTATGCTTCAGAGCAACACAGTTGTACGCGGTACGGAAAGGAAATGCGCTTTTAGATTGCTGTAAAACCAAAACAAAAGTTACAAAATCTTCTGATTAAAACAAAGATAAAAGCCGTAAGAAGCCTGTAAAAAATCAGGAAAAAGTACTGATGCTACCTTGATGCAGCGCGGGAAAACCCGCGAATGAACATGTCGCGATTGGTTACGACGAGAGTGGCGCGAGTTTTGTGGACCAATCACAATGTACGGTAAAACGAGACCAACTCAATCCCTAAACACTCGTTCCAGACGCCCAATTGAAATTTCTATTCTGACGTAGAGAAAAACTTAACTGAAAAAGAAACAAGTTTTTCAGCGTAACTTTACACTAAACTAAAAATTTATGCTATAGACGCCGTATAGCGCACCCAGCGTAGCTCTATAGGCAAGAAAATATGTTCATTGATTGAGCAGGGAAAATTTTGTTTTGAAGTCATGCCATGCACTTTCATGACTGTATTAAATAAAGATGTCGTGTAATTTCATCCTAAAAAATTGAATTTCCAGGCATACACTGTTAAGAACTATAAGATATAACATTATTCTTTTCTTCATGTCCAAAACTCCAGCCTGAAAAGCCTTCAAATCGGACTGATTGTATTTCCAAAAAAAACTGGATATATAGCACTGTATACACTTCATCCATTGCAATCGGAAAGAACCTTGTGAGCCAAAAAATGGTTGGACGTCAATCTGACCTGAGGTTCAAATCAACCGCCACAGCTAAATGACATCAGTATGACTTAGTTCAGCGACCATTTTATCAAGCCGGCGTGGTTGAAAGTTCAGTGTAAGCTGTGTTATCATGCAAATCAGGTCACAGAAATATAATGAATTCTTCCTGAGTTCAGGTTAGCATCTTGCGTAATTGTGAAAGTTTGCACTTGACCCTAAGAGGTGATTAACCCTTTCACTCCTATGAATGACCAAAGAAGAATTCCTCTTTACAGCTAGTATTAATACATTTTCAAAAAAAAGGGTGATAAGGTGGATTAGAAATATCGATTGAGGGATATTTTATTTAAAATTTAAAATTTATTTTTTACATTAAATTCACAGCGCAAAAAAGATGAAAAATGTGTAACATAAATTGAGAGAGAAAAAGATTAATAAACGAGTAATTTAGGACGGGAATAAGTTCGGGGAATTTCTGAAAAAAGGAAACCAAAAAAAACACCCTTATTAAGTGAGCTAGAAGTCTAGGAAATAACCATCAAACTTGATTAGTAAACTTAAAATACTTAACTTTTACTGAGATAAGCCAAACTGGGCAATACTCCAGGACGACTTTAAAGCGAAACAAAGAGAACTATAAAAATTATTCTAAGGCAAGCACCTTTGGAGAGGGATTAGAAAGGCTGAGATTGCATGGTCTTTGGTCCTAACTTAAACCATCCTATTGGTAATATCCTATCCTATACCATCCTATTGCTCAGCTCAAATTAAGGTCTTTTGTTCAGACATGACTGTTTTCATTTTGAATTGAGCCCTTCGTAAACACTTTAATTTTACTTGGTAGGTGGCTCACTCTCAGTAGGGAAAGATAGAACATTTAGACCACGCTGTCAAACACGTGGTAATGTGAGAGTCCCGTGAGATAAGTCTTCGCAAGATTCAGGGTTTCTCATCTCATTGTTCGTCCATTGACCAGAAGTTCCGTTGCTATACACTGCTAAAATTTTAATAAAAGAAATGAAGCAATTATCACTTAGAGTAGTGATTAATCTTTACAATCTCAATTTTTATTTCCTGATTCCCTTTGTTTAAAGGGTCTCAACACTGCTCCATGGGGCGAAGGCTTTTATAGCTTTTATTAACAATCACAATTTTTAGCCATTTTAAGGATAACGGTTTATTTCCTTTCGTTACATTTAAAAAAAGTTTTTACTGCTGACTTCTTTTTTGCGACTATCGGTTAGAATTTGACGCTTTGTACTCCTTACTGCTTGATATTTTGCCGTTTTTACGGCTAACGGTTAAACCCATTGAGATCCCCTGTTAAGAAAACTAAAAAAGTGCTAGCACCGCGCCTTTTTTTCGCCGGAACGAAATTAATTTACACTAAGGATAATTAATTATAAATCCTCCAGTGGTGGGGAAAATTAACTTTAATTTGGTGCACACACGGCTGAATTGTGTTTCACACCTTTTTTAGTGTCATTCATATCTTTCAGTGTGACAACAACTTGAATACCTTTTGATGTTTTCAACACGTTAGTAAGTTTTGTTAACCACACAAGGTAATTTGGTACTGTCAACTGAGTTGATAGCTAAGCGTAATTGATCACTGTAAAGAGTTCGAAAGCTAACGTTTCGAGCATTGGCCCTTTGTCACAACTTGTTATACTCTCCCGTCGACACAGCACCACAGTTTCTTAAAAAGCTTCCCCCGTTTATTAACCATTGTTTAGTGTAATTCAAAATTTATTTGGGTGACCAAAAAAATAGAGCGGTGTAGCTGTAACACATCTGAAGTGTTTCTCTAAGCCATATCACAGATATGTATTATTTACATCAGTTTGGTGTGAACCTACATGATTTTAAGGTCAACTGAACACCTTCTCACAGCTGGGAAAGTTTGTCCTTTTTTGGTGTTTCCATTACGCACTCGATACATTTTGTCGTCCAAGCGCCCATTGTTCCAAAGTTTCGGTGACTTTATGGGCACTAAACCATATTTTAAAATTTAAGTCAAAGGAATAATAGTTTTATTCTTGGCTCATAATCCAACACGTTCTATTTCATTTATGAATAAACATTGTTGTTTTTTTAATTTAAACCAATAGATACCTCGACCCTAAATGTTAGACACGACCAAAAATGAAAAGCCATTCGGGATTGGCAATTGACCATGCCTTTCGAGAAATGGGCCTGTTGTTGCATAAATGATCGTTAGACTATTCCAACTCAGGTTGACAATGAGGTAACCACTAATTTTTTAACTTCGGTTTTTAACAATTGAAAAGATTTTTAGAGAACACCCCTTTCTCCATTAAATTAACAATTACACGCTAAAAAACCCGTTCCTTTTGTTTTTTCGTGAAAAGTAACAAGCCTAGTCTGGAAGCCTATGTGATTATGATTTTGAAAGATTAGCATCGTAAACTCTTCGAACACAAATATGACTCGCTTGATCTTCCTCCTGTGTGATAGTGAGGAACTGCGGAGCTAACGAGAACAAAGAAGAACTAGAAGATAAAACTCAGTTTATCGCGACGTTTGTCATTTAAAGAGCGCATTTGAATTCTCGAACTAACACTCGAACTGCATAGACTAGCAGCATAGCTATCGAAAGATAACGGTTGGAGAGTTAGGAACTGTGGAGCTGGTGTGATCAAAAAAGATAAAACTCAGTTTATCGCGACGTTGTCATTTAAAGAACACGTTTGGATTCACGAACTATATACTCTCAGAAAAAAAACCTAAAAATCGAACTGCAAAGACTAAAAGCATAGCTATCGAAAGGCAACAGTTACCAGAGGCGATGACTCGTGTTCAAGGACGAGCGATTTAACCTGAACGCGGGTAAGTAATCTATGGTACGAAGATTAGCAACAAACTTTTGAGTGTTATAGCACTTGAATTTTGAAGGAACAATTTAGCAAAACCCAATAACGCAATTGAGAAAGGTAAGCGTTGTTACTTACCACACCCCAGGACTTGGTTGTTGGAAGGTTGGATAACGCTACATGCTACAAAGCGTCCACTTGGAACAATTACAAAGAGAAATACCTTGTGATATACGGGTTCAACCTTCCTTTTTATGCCAAATTTTGCACCAGATCTTTTTATAAAATGAAGCCCGAAGATGTATTCTTTATGCATATTCAATAAATAATCAATTTTTATCAGAAATAGAGAATTCGGAAATGCTATGAAAATTAGAAAAGCTACCTGGGAATACCTACGAAACTTACTAAATGTCCACAGGAGTTGGTTGTCGACCGACTTACCCTATCCCCGCCTTACCATAACAGAGCTTGCTACACGTGCATAACTCAGGCTTCTTTAAAAGTAAGACATGAAGCGCGTAGGTTTTTTTAATCACCGCAATTGCTCAAACCGATGCACAGATTCATGAAAGCGCCTTTCTTTATCCTAGGAATAAGCGCCAACCTGTTGACCAATTATAAAGCAAGCGCTGCGCTGCTCTGTATACTAACTTGCAATGTATACTGAGGTGGATCCTTAAAATAGCAGATTATTCCTCTATTTGCCAGAGTATCCGTGTGAATAAATTGGTTCTTTACTTAATCCTTAACACCCTATCATCAGTGTGCAAATTCTCCGTACTGTTCTCTCTCCATCTATTACGGCGCTGACAAGGAGAACTTGGTTAATCATCAAGAGTTTCTTTGGTTGGTGAATATTTCCCGTATTCTCGTGGCCTTAAAGTGTGATTCAGGGGTGATATTGTCAGGATAAATTAGACGCTAACCACATGCGCTCTTTAGAGTCAAAGGGTTGGGTAAATTTCCCGTAAAACTCGTGGATAGTGATTGGATCGATTAGCGGAACTCAGTAATGTCAGGATGCAATACAGTCGATTCCCAATAAATCGAACCCTCGCTAACTTGAACCAAAATCAATTTCACTTGGAATTCTGTCATACATTTATTGCAGTCTTACCCTCGGTAACTCGATCCCTCGAACCCCCGCTAACTCGAGGCAATTTTCGTCTCCCTTCAGATAATTTCCTACCCGCGTCGAACTACGTCTGTCATCAAACAACAAATCAAAACAGTGTACTGTGATTCAAAACATTTAATTTATTCTGAAGCAGCAACTTTACGTTACGTTCTGATTTCAACAATAATTTGGTGTTCCATTTTCACTCGACTTCTATTCAAAAAACTTCGATTAAAATGCACACTGTATGAATATTAAAACAGTAAACACCGTTTTCCCTCATTTCCAGTCCTTTGTTTTCAGCCCCAATAACTCGAACCCCTTTTCAATTTCCGTTGAAGGCTCGAGTTATCGGTAGTCGAATGAATGTTCTACTACAAAGATTCGTTTGGTTCGTGTCCACTTTAAATGAAGACATTGTAATTTAGCAATACTGATATTTGAGGGGATAAATATGCATTCGCTCTTAATTTGACACACTGATACCCGTCCGAATCACTCATTTAAATATTTACGTTATACTGAAAATCTATCTCAGATGTGAATGATTACAAAATTTTCGTGAAAAGCTAATAAATGTAAGATAATTCTTATCCGCACAATCTATGTCTATGAATTTTTTTTCGGTCAAAAGGGAGGAAAACCCCAAGCGGTTGGATCGAATTCTTCAAGTGAGTCAAGAACCAAATGAGCTTGCGAACATTTTGACTTATCTACCCTCTTGTCGGGTACCATGACAACATTCATTCCAGCGGCGCGTGCAGCTGTGACTCCGTTTGGCGCGTCCTCTAGTACAAGCACGTGACGTGGTGAGGTGGGAGGGGCGTGGAACCTCGCGGCAGCCAATTGAAAAATATCAGGAGCAGGTTTAGAGTGTTTCAGTTCTGGATCGTCAGATTTCACAGTGTGCGAAAAAAGCTGGAAGAGGTCTTTGTGATTCGATGTCTTGATTTTGTATTGGGATGCACTAGATCCTGTAGCAACTGCAATGGGGATTTTGTGCTTGTGAAGATGACGAACAAGCTTTTCTACTCCTACAGGTAAATGAATATATATAAAAAAAAAAATAAATGCAAGAATGATATCAATCAGGAATTCATTTGAATCAGGGACATAGGCAGGATTTTCCAGTAAGGGCCATACCGCAATTAAGTCTTTTTCAACACCTGTTTTCGTTATTACAGGTTATCCTCTTTTGTTACAAAGAGTTTGATTGACCTCAATTCTAAACAGACCAATTTCCCTTACCCTCATGGTGTTTCCTCCAAGTGGCAATAGGCTATTTATGATGTATTAAAATTCTAAAATGGATCCAGGGCTGGGGAGAATAAAGTAAAAGAAATTAATTATTCATCCCTCAATCTTGATGTGATTTCTTTTGTTTTATTCCCCCAAGCCTCAGAGCCAAGTTTGAATTTCAATACATTGAAAATGGCCTATTGATGAAATACTTACTTTTGGTGACTTTGGCTTTCCTGGGTCACTAGTCAAGACCCAGCATTCAGAGCCTTTTACCCTATGGTAAATTACAGAAGCTTCCTGCATTCACATTAAGGCAGGTTAAAAGCCAGAGGTGCCATTCCGTTAGAGCTTATCTTGGTTTCAGAAGCAAGAATTGGTAAGATATATTGCTACTCCCTATGGACTGGAATCCAGCTCATCCCATAGCCTACATGTGGTAGTACCCTCCACCCTAGGTGAAATAAAAGGGAGGATGGGGGGGAAGGTATGCCTGCGAATAGGCTACCCATCATCTAGTTGCCACCAGTATTTTGTCCAGTTTCCCTGACAGTTTGGTGATGTCTAATAATATTTTTGGATGGAGAGAGGTAGCATGAGAGAATAGTGTCTTGTTCAAGAACATAACACAATGACCTTACCTGGGTAAGAAAACAGACCTTTTAATCTGGATAAAGGGGTAAGTTCTTAAAGAAACTGTGATGCTGTGTCAGTGGGAGAGTATAACAGCGGTAATTTAGCATTATCAACTGAGTTGATAATGTAGATTGGCCATGGTACAGAGTTTAAAAGCTGGTGTTTGAAGTCTAGCTCTTTTTCAGAGTGATTGGAGGAATTTCCACCTCTGACAAAGTGCTAACACTCAAATGCCAGCTTTTAAACTCTTTACAGTGGTCAATTTAGTTATCAACTCTATTAATAATGCTAAATTAACATTCAACCTCGAGTCCATAGCACTGAGCACTGGACCTTCGTGTTTCTCACTAGCTTCCCAAATATTGATTTTGGAATTATCGTCTTCCCTTATATCAATGACCAAATGAAAAAAAATAGTTTTTAAAACTTTCAACCCACCATCTGTTCTTCTCTCACAAGCCTGATTAAAATAATTACATTCATACCAGGTAACAAAGGAGCTGATGGAAACAACTGCAGGAGTTTCTCTTTTGACAACTCAACAAATTCTTCAGATGTCAGTGGCAGCTGAAGTTCTTCTACCAAAACCTGAGCAGCTCCCATTGGGCTGCGTCCCATCATCTTTGATTTAACTGACCAATCAAATGTCTTGCCATAAGGGTCTAGTATTTCTTGAGTCACTCTGGTGTAAATTGATTCTGTATCTAGGGTGCAAAATATTGAAAAATTATTGATATAACCATTAATAACAAAGTCTGATTATCCAGGTGAAAAAAGTCCTGAAAAAGGACTGTTTGATAAGTGGAGTATAATTCATTAGCTGAGTTGATATATTACAAAGTTATAGAAAGGTGGAAGAGAACATGTTAACCCTTTAATCACTTTAGAAGTGATTAACAAGTAACTTCTCCCTATAATATGTACACATTATCTAGTAAACAGGTCATGAGAACATTCAAACTTATCAGGTTGAAGTTGTTATCTTGATTTGACCCCAAATTCTCATAACTTATTAACAAGGAAATGTGTAGCAGCTAGAGGGGAGAATTGACAATCAGATCTTGAGAGTTAAAGGGTTAAAGTTAATGACCAAATTATAAGACTTCTTACTAACTTATAACTGATGCAATAATCTCTATCAAAAGATGTTATTGAAATTAAAAAAATCATAGTTAGGTAAATAATGTAACTGAATCTTCACACAACTATATTCAGACCCTCAACATTCAAGGGTCCAACAACTCCTTTCCAAGGGGGTAGCTAGGAGGAGTCCTGGGCACCTGTGATCCCCCCTTCCCCCTTTGTAAGCCTTTTTAAGCAATTAATCTACAATATTCAGGTGGCAAAAACTTGTGAACACCTTCTGCTTGACACAGTGTCATCCCCTTCTCTCCTTCCTTTAAAAAATCCTTACCATTCCCCTGTACTCTGCACAGCTGTGGGTAAACTGCCTTCATAAATTGTTTTCAACAACACCTTGAGCTCAAAAGTAATAGAGAGTGTAATTTTCAGTCAAAAACCATTGCCAAGTTGGTATGCTACATAATGTCCAGTCCACAGAAACCTAATGAATGTCCTGTAATCTTTGTATAATTTTTTTAAGCCTCCAAACCTCTCACTGTTTTGAACCTCCTGCTCTGCTAGAGTAGCAGCTTTGATTTCATAAAAATACATATTAAGTAAAATGTCTTATATTCATCAGAGACTACTTCTGAACACAAATATCATTAACAGCATGCAGGTGCCACCTGCAACCTTATGCAAAAGAAGCACCCTTCTTACTTCCTAATGAACCACTATTCATCCAGTCAACACCTAAAAATGCATTGTAACCTTCCTGGTCTACAAAACATATTCAATCATAGGCCACTGCCAACTTCTTATATTTCAAAACAGTCTCCTAAAGTTAAATGCATGTATATGTCCACGTGTCAACATCAAAGTTCAGTAAAATGGGCTGGCTACATTTCTGAGATCTTGCCTCACTGCTCTTCCAATAAATTTTTTACAGTGTTCTTTTAAGAAGCAACCACCTTACTCCCCTCTCAATCTCAAGCTCTTTTCGTCCTATTTTGATGGTCAAAATTTCTCGTTATCAAAATAGAAGAGGGGGAAATGGGAATGTTTCCAAAAGGTTGGCTAGTAAAATTTTCATAAATAATTCCAGCCTGGTTATTATTATTGAGATTTGAATGTTTTCAAATTATTCATCTCGGTTGCCAATTTGAAATTTCCTTAATTAGCAGTAAACAAAATTCGTCTCATGAAATAATAAAGTCAGCTAGGTTATAATTATCGGCGCACGGTATAAGCCACCGCTTGTTTATAGCTGTATATTTTTTGTGTACCACAATCCGGTATTTTTTCAAAATTTGGATGCGTGGAAGTTATTCCTGACAAGTCCTGGAATCGTGTAAGCGAAATAAATAGTTGAACTTACCTAACATCAATCCATCCAAGTCAAATATTACATGGGTGCACTTCAAACTGGCTTCGTCCGACATATTGGAAATCACGCGGTTAACTCCTAAGGGGCTGGCAACGAAATCTCTTTTGCCTGGCTACATAGTATTTCAACATGGCGGCCGTTAATCGTTTGGTATTTGCTCGAAAATTGGAGAAACTTGGTTTTCTACCGGCTTTAGAAGTTCAAAATGCGATTGCTAGACAGCACTTGGAAAAAATAAAAGTCAAAGAAACAAGCAGTGCTAAAAACGTTTTGCTTTTTTACGAGCATACGCCCGTTTTTACCGTCGGAATCCGAAAGAAGAGCGTGGATGCCAAGGAGAAGAGGCGCTTGGAGGATCTTGGAGCTGAATTTCACTATACTAACCGTGGAGGGCTAGTGACATTTCACGGTCCTGGACAATTAGTCTGTTATCCTGTGCTAAACTTAGCTTGTTTCAAGAAAAGTTTACGATGGTATGTTGCTTCCTTGGAAAAAACCTTGATAGAAACTTGTAAGAGGTTTGGTGTTCACGCAGAAACAACTTGTGACACTGGCGTCTGGGTTAAGGACAACAAAATTGCTGCCATAGGTGAGAACAGAAAGGCTCATGGTTTGTTATGAGATAAATTAGAGGACGTAAAAGAACCAGCGCACTTCCCGCAAAGAGGAGGGAACGTAGCTCCCCCCCCCCCAAATTTTTTCTATATGGGAAGAGGTGGGGCAATGAAGGAAGGAAAATCTTAGTGCTACTACGTCATTTTGCAAACGTCAGTTCACTCCGCAGATCAGAGTATGGCAAGTTCATGCCTCGATCTTAGTGCAACTACGTCATTTTGCAAACCTCAGTTCACTCTGCAGATCAGAGTATGGCAAATTCATGCCTCAATCTTTTCTTAAATGCCTGTTGCCTATACTAGAATCATACTATGCATGTGGCAGCCGTGAAACTAATGTCTGCGTGACTCAGCAAATGCAGTGAGGTATGGAAATGTGTACGAGAATTGCAAATTTGAATTGCTGCACCATGAAAATCTGAAGCATTAAACAGCAATTGCATAAACCTCTTGCATTTTTTCTTGCACATTCTGACTCAGATGGACCTTGGACTATAGAGATAGAACAAGAACAATTTTGCTAGGAAATGAGATATATGACTGTCTTAAGTAAATTGCCACAGGAAATTCAGTAAATATTTGAAACTTCTCAAATATTTACTGTGTTGTTTAGGGTCTGTCAGATCTACCTGCTCTCTCAATTTTTCAACATGTGTGTACCCCCATTTTAAGAGGTAGCATCCAGTTCATGTAGCTGTACTACAGAGAGACTGATCTCATATAATGGTCACTTCTGGTTTAACCCTTTACAGCCCAGCATCAGTATGCATATTTTTTATACTGTTTTCTATACAGTCCCTATAGAGTGTTGACAATGAGAATTTGTTGAACAATCAAGAGCGTCATTAGTATGTTATCATTTCCTTTATTCTCCTGAACTCTATGTCTGATTCAGAAAGGATATTGTTGGGAAATATTTAATGTTAGTCACTCTGAAGGGTCTAAGAGTTAATTACCTTATAATTAATGTCCCACTTGTGTTTACAGGTGTTCATGCAGGTCATTGGATCACTACTCATGGCATTGCACTGAACTGCAATATTGATCTGAGTTGGTTTGAACAATTTACACCTTGTGGGATTATTGGTAAAGGTGTTACATCACTTACAAGAGAGACTAACCAAGTTGTACAAACCAAAGATGCCATTGAACCTTTTGTAGAATCCTTTGAGGATGTGTTTGATTGTACAGTTGTGTGGGATGATGAGGAGGATCTTAAAATGAATGGTAGTTGACCTAGAAAAACTGATTTAATTCTTTCACCCCCAATATTTCATTATTAATTCTCCTCTCTGTCTACCATAGAGCAGATGTTAGTTCTGAGAGTCTTTGTTATTGGATCAACCAATGATCATGTAATTAATATTTTTTTTACTCTCATTACATGTCTGCTTGATATTGTATTGATATTTGGAAGGGAAAAGTCTGTCCTTGTCACTCATGAGAGTTAATCCTTTAACCCCAAAGATCTCATTAGTAATTCTCCTAACTGTCTGCCATATAGTTCTTGTGATGTTAGTTTGGAGAACTTGGTAAGGGATCAACTAATAATTCCCTAATTAAGATTTTTCTTTTTTCTCATCACTTGTCTGCTTGGTATTGTAAGGAGAAATTCTGTCTTGGTTACTCATGGGAGTTAAGGGGTTAAAAAAAAAAAAGGAAGAAATTTTTTACCTGTCCACAAATAGAAATGAAAGGCTTCCACTATTTAATATAGAATTTTGAAAGGATGATTTCTCTGTGTCAAATTAAATGGAATAATGAGATTACTTTACAGCATTCTTTTCATCTGTTATACATAGATTTTGTTCTCGGTTCAAATTTTGCTCCTCTGTTTACATCTTATTATCAGACATCAGTATCATCAATATTTGGATGTTCTGATGTTCATGAGCCAGTTCTTTCTTACTAGATTCAATTTGAGGTATGCCATAATGTACTCTGCCCTGTTTTGAAGAATCGTGGCTAATTATGCCATACTCATATGGAGTGTTGGTCATATTACATTTAGCGGTTGTCATAATTAAATATGAAATTATTTATACAGTGTGATTGTATTTTGGCTCGGAAAGTGCTGGAAGGCTTTACTCTCAGACATAATTACCTTATTGTTCCTATTGATTTTAGCGGGAACTTATTTCGCGAAAAGGGGATGGGCCTTTGTCACGAAGAAGAGCGGGAAGGCAATAAACGTCCCAGCAAATGTTTCTGGGAGTGTAGCATATAAGCTCACGATCACTCTAACGTCCTCTGTTTAGTTGCGAAGGAATAATATCTGCCATCAAGTGGTACATCAACTGGCTTGTTATTACAAACGTCCTTCCTTTTAGTTTAAACACTGAAACGAGGCTACTACTAAACAATGCCTATTGCTCTTTTTTTGTTTCTGTTTGGGAATGTCACCTCTAAAAACGTTTTTAACCAAGATGAGTTGATCTGAAGTTGAAGCAAGGAATCAATGAGAGAGTTGGATGGAGAGACAAAGTTACTTCAAAGATTTATGTTTTTTTATGCAATGTATGAACCCAGTTAAGGGGTTAAGAGATATTGGAGTTAGAAGATACTGTTTCAGGGAAGACTATAACATACAAAGTATAGTGGTGCAGCACTGTAAATGAGGAAAGTTGTGTTAACCTTTTAACCCCCAGATCAAATTTTTAATTCCCCTCACTGTCAACTATACAATTCTTATAATGTTAGTTCAGAGAATTTAGTATTGGATCAACTAATTATCCCCAGATTGATATTTTTCTTTATTCTCATCACTTTTTTGGTTGATATTGTATTAATGTTGTAAGGAGAAATTCTGTCTTGGTCACTCATGGGAATCAAAAGGTTTAGAGTTCAGATGAACTAAACTAACTGTTTCCTAACAATTGATGTAGTGAAGCGATATATTTCTTCGCCAGCCTTAAAGTTTTAATGTAAGTGAGCCTTTCTCCGGGTTCAATTCCCGAAAAGTAGTCGGGTATCACCGTGCGAAGGACTTCAAAAGCTTCTTTCAAACGTTGCTGTCTTTTCCGCTCTCTTTCCCTATTTTTCTCCCTTCGATTATCTAGTGGTTTTCCCTGCAGTGAGTATGGATGAGTTGTGCTTTTTTCTGGTTCGTATTGGATTTGCTTTTGACCTTCTATTTGCTGTGGCGGCGTATCCCAGTCTGTAAAATAGTCTGTGTAATTTTGGAGCTGGTCTTCATTATAACTAAACATCTCGGCCCTAGTATTGGTCAGTTGTAACGCGGCTTCACATGGAAAATGATTGGCTGGGTTGAGAAGCATCTGAGAATTGCAAAACGGTTGAACAAAATGTGATAATTTATCTTTATTTTTTACTCAAAAGTATTCGCGAACTAGTTTAGGTAGCTCTTATATGGAACGCTAGATGGGATGGTGAGAGGACTGATGAATTGAAGACGATTCGGGGACAATGTTTCTGAGAGTAAAAAGAGTTGTGTCTGTACATCTGAAAAAAAAAGACCTCTTGTTCATGGCGGAGGGGATTATTTATTTAGCGTACCTTAGTGTGCTTAAAAGTGATCTTGATAACTGGATGTTTCTGTGGTAACTTGCACCGAAACGCGGAGGCACTGGAGGTTCTTTCTTCAAGAGCCTGCTCAATTTAATAACCGACTGTGTGAAGAGATCGGGGAAAAATGAAAGTCAGCTGATCGTTGAAATAGAAAAAGATCACACCTACCAAGTTACGTAAATTAATAAAATTAGTCCACAAAGCCAGCTTGGTGCCATGTGTTTCGTCCAAGGATTTGTTTAATGAATGAAAAAGAATAAGAATCGGACGGATATTGTCATTAGAATTAAGCACTAGGTCAAAATATCTCACCTTTGACGACAGAAGTTTGAAACTGGAACTTGTTGATACTTTTAAAAATTTCACGATTTGTACCTCAGTCCTAAAACGATTGCCTATTTTAGCTTCGGGTGGAGATTCGTATGCTTGGACTTTTTTGTTAGATTTAACTTATTATCATCAAAGTTGTCACTGATACAGTAAATTCGTTCACTACTCTATTCCCGTTTAGAAGTTAACAGAATGGAAGTAAATGATGTTTTAAAATAGACGCGTGATGTTTTAAAATAGACGCGTGATGTTTTAAAATAGACGCGTGATGTTTTAAAATAGACGCTTTGTGTTCTGTGAAGCGTTAATCAACACAGACCTTTCTGTTTCTTGTTTGGTCTAGAAACTTACTTGACCACGTGTTAAACAATTCAAAAAAAAAAAAATTTTCCAACCGCTTTGAATTCCAGTGTATACACCTGTGTAAACATAGTCACCAGAGTTTTTGAGAGCCAGTTCCACGCCGGTTCGTTTCTGAGGAAACGAAAGGAAAATTCCGAAAGAAATGACGTTGAATAAAGTAATCAGGATGTTAATACTAAAAAAAAAAACAGCGAGCAGTGGTCTTATTATATTTCATGCAAGTGTGATGTCAGTCATATTACAATAGATATGGAACTGCAGAATCACCTCAGTCCACCAGTCATTGAAATATCAGAATACGAATCTCATTTACTGAGGAAAAGTGGAAACTGAATCCTTAAAGGTAAACGAAGGACGCTTCAAAGTGGCCTTAAATCCTTGCCGCCATTATTACCAACTGAGCCAAGAAGCTTCTCTAAAAATCTATAGAAGCTAAAAGTTTCAGAACAAAGAAAAGGAAGGCTCGTACATGTCGGTATTTCGTGTTTCACTACAGCCTCCACTTAAGTCAAAAGATTCAATAGCGCAACGTTTGACGGTAGAGACGCGTTACATTGCTGTTTCGCTAAAGCCCTTTCTCACAGGGAAAACCCCATCGTCCTCCTAAGATGAGCTTGGGATGTTCGCGTGGCGGAGGTTGGGAGTAAGATTCAGTGAGAAGAGATCCTTGGTTTTTTTGACAGGGTTCGTTCTCCTTTTCGGACCAAAAAGTCGCAACATTTTCAAAGACTTTCAGAGACACCTTTCCCATTTTTCAAGGGCACCACGCACTCGGGAAAAATCAAGCCAATAAAAAGCATCTTAATCTTTGACGTTTCTTGATTTCTGAGAACCGAAACACCAATTCTGGGAATTTCAACATACTGTGACAACGAATACATCGGACAGACCAAACGTCAGTTTGGTACACGGTTAAAAGAGCACCAAAAAGCGGTTTTTCTTTGCAAAAAGGAAAATTGAGCTTTATCGGAGCATACATGCCTAACCAACCATACAATTGGGTGGGATAATTCTAAAATTATCACCACTTATCGGCGTTACCACCAGCGCCTTTGTTTGGAGGCTTGGCATATTAACTCCGCCCACGCTCCTTTAAATCGTGACGATGGCGGTTTGCTTCCTGACACCTATTTACACCTCGTCAGAAAAAAGGCCGCTTATTAGCGATCATATAAAAGGACCTCTTGTTGCAGCGTTTAGATCACCCCTGATGAAGGCACTAGACAGGAGTGTCGAAACGTTGGGTCTATGAATTGTAACTTCTTCAGTTACATTCATTAAATCTGCAAACCAGAGTAGCATCAAACTATGTCTGTTTCAACATACTTCATACACTGCATACATTCACCCTTGTGCCTGTCACTTTGAACTCTCGTAGCTAATTTAAGACAGTTTAAGTTTAATAACAACAAGAATCGCATACAAACACTTTTACCGTGACGATTTATTCAAAATTTCAAGCTGTGCAATCTTGTTTCCTTAATTTATTTTAAATACGTTTTCCTTTTAGTTTTTCTTCACTTTTTTCCTTTGATCGCGTTCAAAAGAGTTCAATGTAATATTATGTACTTCGTTCTTCTATCAATCATAATTTTCTTAAAATGTCGTTTTCAAAGATTCTCTGCTTTACAACTAAATGTAACGTGCACTTCACAACGCTCGAAGAAACTCCTCAGCAATTAACTATTTTCACTTCCAAGATCTGAGAGCTCTTCCCTCAACTGAAGGCAGAGAACCTGCTGTTACATCATTGTATCATTCCCTAGTTGATATGTGTCTTTATTCTCATTACCACTATGTATGAAAATGTATGAGCAATGTAAGGTGAATTTACATACTGACTCACCCTTAATAATGAAAGGGTTTATTAAAGTGCACTGCAATACAGGGACCGGTCATTAATACAGCCAGAAGATTAATCACTTTTTCAATCAAAATAAAATTCTAACTTCCTCACCTGTAGAGTTTGGGTTATTTTAGAGAACAAGAAATTCCCTTATTCTATTTATTTACACCGTGGTTAAAAATAAGGATTAATTTTTCATTCGCTACGTCAGGAGCGAAGTTACTTGATCTGGGGTGCGAGGCACCAAAGTTTTAACATCCGGGTATTTGTTACTATCGTTCACAATAGCGTCGTAGAGCGTCTTGTACGTTGCACAAACAGCATCCACCGCTCGCTTGTGGACGGTATCGCTACGAAAAAAATGCAGATACATCATTTATAAGCGCAAAAAGAGGGTAAAAGTTCCCTAACACTGCAATCCTGGTCAAAAGTTATTGGGACACCTTCATTATCATGCCCCCCCCCCCCCCCTTGACCCTCTGTACATTATTAACAAGTAACAACAATCGCCACGATTTCTAGTGCAATTTGGTGTAATAAGCACTTGGAATGTTTCAAAGACTACAAAATGCACATGCCCTACAGGCTCGACAATTTTTTTGTCTTTGAAAAATCTACACGTGCTTTTTAACACCAAATTGCACTCGATATCATGTTAATACCTCTACCAACTCACAGTCTTATCTTTTGATCTGATTGGTTGAAGGGACGGTGGGAGTGTTTACATCACTCAACAAAAGAAGTAAAATTAGCCATTGCAATCAACTATTAATTTCAATGCTTAAAATGATACTTGTTTTAAAAAAATTCACAAGTACAAAGATACAATGACTTAAAAACTTACCGTAGTCTTGTCGTTCTCAAAAGATTGCACTGAGGCATAACTAGACTGTCGGGACACGAGAGATATTTATCGAATTTGGCCTGTGATGAAAATAAAATTATGAGTACATTTATTTTAAGTCTCTATCAACCCGACAATGCTCCAGATAGAAACTGAAGTCACATTTTCAACAAAGAAAAAAAACAGAATTTGTGTAATGGTAACCAAGAAAGAGTGGATTCGCGGGGACTGAAAATTTTTTCTTTGTCCCACGATCGTGATATGACGAAAAACATCTTTCGCGCAGAAGGTTATTTAATTTGAAAATTATCATTGCTTTATCTCAAACGCAACTTTTTTGAGATCATTTATTAGCGTCCTTCATTCCAGCAGCCCAGTTTTAGAAAAGAATTCGCTTCACAACATCCAATTACTTTGGTGGGAGAAGAGGTCCTATTTTCCGTACAATCTCTTAAATTTAGCCCAATATATGAATTTCACAAGCCGTTCCTAATTTGTCGGCTAAGTTTTTTTAGACTCAAGGAATCTGGTGTCCCGGGAGTGAAGTTCTATGCTTTGCTGGAGAACGAAACAAAGGTCACATAGGACGCTATGTGTTCACGCCTGTGAGGCGACGATTAACATCTGTACATAAAAAACGAAAACATTACACACCATGGCGTCCTTAACACTCTGCGGATCCATTCCATGAAGCGAGGACAGCGCAACCTTGAGAAAAACGCAAAGAAAGCAGTGCCAAACGGTTTAAAAGAAAGTTGCATGATGAAATTCAATATCGCACCAATTTCGAACACTTCAGCACACCAACTGACTCACCCTCTGACCGCGGTTCTCCTGGTAAACAGTGTACAGATTACCAACACCGGAACGAGCAAGAATGAATGACGCTTGCTCACTGATCAACGTATCTAGATGTGCTTCCGTCTGAAAGAAAAAAAATGGAAAAAGATTTCTAACTTTTAGACAAGTGACGCTTATCTGCAAGATTTTAGGATACATAATGAGTTTGACAATTCTGCAAGACTTGTGGACTGGACGAGAATGTTTACCATCCCGCAACTTTTAACATCTCGCATTTTGAAGGTTCGTTAAAAATTGAAAAGTTTGCGACGTATCATAACGTCCTTTCCATTTATTGGGTCTATTTCGCACCGAGAGTTTTTCAGATTGACAAAGCCACGTGACAGTCTTATGGAAAAGCCGCAGAGAAGCAACTCTTAAGATGTCCTCACTCCGTCTCCCCCGTCTCCCTGCCCCTGTATGCAGAGTGCAAGTTTTGTACTCTTCGTAGGCCAACTTCGCTTAAAAATTCCAAGATGGCAGCCTCACGATCGACTTTGTAAGCTTAGAGACTGTTCAGACACTTAACTATCTCAAGCCTCTGACACGCTTTCTTACCTGACCCGCTAGCATTTCGATGTGTTTATCAGTAAATTCGTACACCGCCAACGTGCTCTGTATCTGATGAATGCAGTTTATCATGTAAGCAGCCATGTCTGACGCGTTCAGATGGCTGGCCGACATGGAGCACATCTGGATGAGTGGGTCGACAAGACAAGAAATAATCTACGGGTAGAGAAAAACAAGGCCAAGTTTGAGCAATTTTCAATTAGCTATGGAGAGTAATCTGGAATTACCTTGGTTTGCTTTACTTCGCTATGTGATTGGTGCAGAAAACTCGCGTCACTTTCTGGACCAATCAGATTTAAAACTGAAACCAATTGCCATTTGGTCACCCGCGTTTTCCCGCGCTTCAAGCCGTTTGCTTTAGTTTACTTTAAATTGTCATTGGCTGCTCAATATGTTTTCCCTTCATCTGATTGGCTGATGTGATTACTTTGGTTTTAACTTCAAACACTTAATCAAAATGCGCTCCAACCAACCAAGTATAGATTACTAAAATTCCACAACTCTTCCCTAATTTTTTTTTGATAAAAATTTCCAGACAAAAATTTGCCCTAAATAACCTGTATGCGCTTTCCAATTACAGCCTCCTTTTCAAAAAACAACCTACAACAAGCTACGTTTAGCATACGCCCTATTTTAACCGCTCTCTTTCTGATGTCAAAGGAATTACATTCGGAAAAAATGAAAGGTTAGGCTTTGAGGGTGCTCCCAATGGAAAGACTTGAACCGCTGTGCGAATTGAATTCACCTCAAAAAAAGGGTTGCGTGGCAATTGCTCTTCACCTACCCTTGAATAATCAGCTTGCCTGGCATCCAGTGGAATAACAGAAGCATCGTGACATGTGAGGACGTCTCTAAGTAAACTCATCGTTTCTCTTAGCGATTCTGTAGGACTTAGATCTGGGGGAGGGAGTTCAATCTAGAAAAACATTGAACAAGCGGCAAAATAAGTTGATAAGATGAAGATTAATCATAATAAAATAAAAACGGGCATAGACGCAAAGAATCGAAGAGGCAAAAAGGAAAAGAAGCAATGAGCAAAAAGGCAAAGAAGCAGAAAAGCAAGCCATGAGGAAAAGCCGTTCTTTCAAATTTTACGCACAACACTCCACCAAAGAAGTTTATAAAGAGAAGAAGCGCTGCCTGACAACCCAGAGAATAGCTACGAAGGGTATCAAGCCTTTACCGATAAAGTAAGAGCGTTTGTCACTCACCTTTTCGAGCAGTTTGCTCGCGTGACAGTTTAAACTGTTGTAGAACATCTTCAACGCTAGAGCATTCATGTCAAGAATGGTAACTGTTACCGACGCATCTTCATCAATAAGGCTCCTGTAGGGCAAAAGGTGCATTGCAATGCGCTTTAACCCTTTAAACCCTAACATCAGCAATCAAATTCTCCATACTGTTCTCTATACATTTCCTAAGGTGCTGACAAGGAGATTTTTGTTTAGTAATCAGGAACTTCTTCCTGTGACGTTAATGTGTGATACAGGGGTGATATTGAGAATTAGGATCGGGCCACTCCTAATGATCAAAGTATTAACTTTTTTTTCAGCTTTTATTTTCTTGTTTTAGTCAAGAAATAGACACAAGAGATGTTCTCACAACTCAAATTCTTCTGCATTATCGAACCGTAAGTTTCTTTTAAGCACTTTGTTGAAGACAACTCCCGCCGAGTCCTCTCAGGGGATGGGGGCAATTCTGCCACAACTAAACGAGTCTCCAATCATCCTTCTGTGGCATTTCGATCAAACTATTCTGTTTTCACCTCTAAATCTGGGCTGTTAATTAGCAATCTTTTGAGGCTCTGTTACACAATGAAATAAAACCTTCATCTTACCCTATCGTTGTGCCATAAAATTTTAGAATATTTGCTAAACTGAACAGCATCACGGCGCCCGGCTCTGACACAATGACCTGCTCCACTCGTACCTACAATAATCATACATCAATAAAACGGTCTCGCATTGAGACAAACAAAGATACAAACACTCAAGGCCAGTTATTTAGACAAAGTTTAACCGTTGTTCAACAAAATCTATTCTTGTGAACAGTATCAAGACGGCCAAAAGTTAACAGTGGGAAGACATTTATTTAATTGAATCAACCCTCTTATAGATAGAGCCTGAGGCCCACTAACTGCGTTAAACCGTGGCTTGGATTAGATCTCGAGTAATGAACTACGAATACGAAAGTAGACGTCAATTTAGAGCAGGAATACTGATATCAGCTGCTTAACCTTTTAACTCCCAAGATCTCATCAGTAATTCTCCTTACAATCTGCTACACAATTTATATAATGTTAGTTTGGAGAATTTGGAATTGGATCAAACAATAATCCCCTAATTGATATTTTTCTTTATTCTCATTACTTGTCTGCTTGATATTATACTGACACTGTCTGGAGAAATACTGTCTCGGTCCCTAGTGGGACTTAAAAAAGCACGAGCGTTTCGTCGCCCGATAGGATAAGTTCTAAGACTTGAGGACAGCAAGAAGTCTGCAAGAAGTCTGGCACTAATTATGGGAGCCACACTTCTGGCCGACCTCTCGCTGGCTAGCTTACTCTAGGCGTCAAACTTTCTTCGCGAGCGCAAAAAACGCTGACGTGCCGCAGCGCTGATGTGTGCCTCGATGGGCAAACTAAAATTTTCCCAATCAATGAAGCAACTTACCTTAAATGGTCTACACACTCCTTCTGTTATGTGACTAAGGATTTCTTTTTGTATGTTGTCGTCTGCTGCAAAAGCAAAGTGATTAACGAATGAGCGGAGATGAATATTTCCCTTTCCCATATATCTGTCTGTTCAAAAGTAACAATGATTAAAAATAACACTTATATTTAAAGATTAAAAACATACTTGATGATGAATTTCTTAGTAAACTATGGAGAAGTTCTTTTTCTGAAGCTATCGCCTGGTGAAGCCATGCTAACATATCACCAACATATCTGGAATGAAATGCAAAATTGTGGTACTGTAATAAACTGTACATATATACATGCGCATGTAACACAAATTGTTAAGGTTGATTCTTTGATGGCAAAATGACCCAAAAGTTTCCATTTTGTTCTCAGTTTTTTAGGGAAACTTAAAAAATACTACTATTACCTTTCTGTGCTTCTGTTGTATTTTATTTAAACAGTTTAGGAATCTCCGTACTGAAAGCTTACATCGTAATTCTACAATGTATTTTTTAAGTGAAAATTCAAATTGTACAACCATCATTTGCAACTAAATATAAAATGAGAATGATGAAACTTGTTTTGCAAACTTAAAAATTTTTGCTTTCTTTAACAAGAGATCTACTAGAATTACAGAAAAAAAATAAATACATAGAAACAATAACAACAACAACACACATTTTAAAGTTGTGAAGTTACATACATGCATGGAGCATAATCCAACAGCAATAGAATTAAGATTTCAATACATAGTGCAACATGTGGCTGTTACTTTGTAAATCAAGCATTTTTCAGTAACATAAAGAAAATCTTACATTTGTACTATCAAAGACCTACAACAATCTAGGCTTTTCCTACCTGACTGGATCATGTGAGTGTAATTCAATTGGTCTGGGAGTTCCACCAGGTCCTATAAGGTAAATGCAACCAGAGGAAAAACGTTACACATCACTGTAAAGAAAAACCACCCCTTCAGTTCAATATGCAAGAATCCAAGCTGACATCTTCATGGCACTTGAGCCCCTCAAAGTGTTTATATTCAAGGTGTGCCACCTGCTTTTGTCTTTCTTCCTTACATTCGTTGTAGTGTATTATAGTGTAACTTTTTCAAAACAGTAAATATTGGCTCCATCAATGAAAAAAATTTAAAAAAAGAACATGATAGTCTAAACATTAAAAGAAAACATGCCTCCTCTTGTGAGTGCATCAATGAAGCATCTCACCACCGCAGTTCTTCTGGCTGTTCCATATTCATCTAAAGTATACCTATGAAAAGTAAGGAATAGGAAAATTAATTACAGCTGGGCAAATAAAAAGAAGAAAATCAGCCCAAAAACGAAATTAATGAGAGCACACCACATGAGACTCTGGAAGTGAAAAACATGTAAATGTACCACGCAATGTACCAGCCTAAACTATTTTTTGCTGATTTTTTTTTACTTGCAAGGAGCTGATTCCAAAACAGAGGATCTGCTTGCAGTCTAACAACTGGGCAGAGGCATTTTTTCCCCAAACACATGCATGAATATGTAAAGTTCAATATTAGATAACACATTTGGGGCATGACTACAAAACAGGGTAAAGAAAGAGACTTTAAAAGAAGTACAGTGTTCATCTGATGATACATTCAAGTGACAATTTGTGAAAATTGATTACCAGTAGATTACATTTTTAAAGGAAAGGAGAGGAGGAGGGTGGGTGGAGGGTTGCATACATGTAGTGATTCTTTACCCACCAGGGAGTAGAAGAGGGCTTGCAAGTGATTCTTCACCCACTAGTAAAAACTTGAAAAAGAGAAGAGCCTTTCAAGGTTTTTTTTTTTTCTCCAGGCAGAATCTTTTGTAAGTCTATTGCAAAAGGTCTGAGAAGGAGAAAAATTTATTGCAATTGTATTTACTTACTTAAACAACACAGGCCTGTCCTGGAGAGCAGCCATTGCTCTGCTCAGCTTGTTAGATATATCAGGAAGATCTCCTGTTAGGCCTCTGCATTCATCTGCATGTGGAAGAGATGTAACCTAGTGAGAACTATTCCAATTTGAATTATTAAAATCACAGCTACATGTAACATGGTGTTACACTTGTGAGACAGAAAGAGGTGGACTTGAATAAGGCAGTAATGTCATTATAGAAATACAAGCCTTCTCATGTTCAAATTTTAGGAGTTCTGAGTCATGAGGTGAAACCAAATCAATAGAATAGTTTCACTAATGTGAATTTTGGGGATCCAGGAAGGTTTTTTAAGAGCAATCACTATAACAGTGCTTTAATACCCAATTTGCTTTCCTCCTTCTCTTGCTTTGTTTTTCACTTTCCCTGTCTCTCCCTTTTTGTATTTATTTCACACCACAGTATATTGGTTTTATATTGACAAGTACATGTACTCGGAGAAGGGCTGTGGCTAAGTTACCATGGTGACATCCTAGCAGTTAAAGAGGTTGCTGCTCTCCACTGTTACTAAATTACAGCACCAACAGTAACTTCCGATACTATTGACTAAATGTTTAACCATGAAACCCCTCGTGTGACCATGATCTAGTTTCTCCTCACAATATCATCCATGAATCACACAATGAGGTCAAAAAAATAAGGGAAATGATCACTACAGTGTAGCTCTTGACTGGTAAACAAATTCTCCCTATCAGCATCTTGGGAAATATATAAGAACAGTATAAAGTACAGTATGGAGAATATGCATACTGAAATTGGGTGCAAAGGGTTAAATCCACTTCTGAGATCAAGAATAGAGGGAAAGGGAAAGGGAAAGGTAGAGGTCACAAGTTGAAGCCTAGGATCGTTCTTTATATCACTCTCACTCTCATAATCATCATCACCATCATCAATATGACCCCTGCTTTTACATAGACTGTCACAACATACCTTGACTCCACCTGTATAGCTTCTCGTAGCTGGACTCTAGATGTAATGCCATGGCTTCCATGATCTGCAAACTGGATGACATGGAAGATTATTCAACATATTTTGTGAGAAGTTTTCCCAACTCTGTTGATATTGCAAAATGTTACTGACAAAGGATCAGTTATTACAGACAGTTACCCTGCTGTTTGTTGTTTTGTCCTCAGCAAAAGTTTGCAATCGTTGTGAATTTCTTTAACCCGTGAGAGGGCTTCAAAAAATGTCTGCAAAAAACAAATTCAAACACTTACAGTACATGTACAATTACATACAAAACTGAACATGTAGATTCTATATTGCGGTGCATCTGTTCGGTTGTAATAGATCATAGATGATGTAAAAATGTGGTAAGAACAAGAAAGTGGCTCACAAGGCCCAGCCAAGTGTGTCACTGATGCGTGCATACTTTGGCCTGCCATAGATTACACAAACTACACAAAATGAAGATGTTGCAGACCTCAGAAATGGGTCCATTCCGTGTTCCCTTCAGAGCTTGAACCTCGTCCGGTTTTAATTGGAATCTTGAAATGAATGCATCTGCAACTGTTTCTTTCATCTGTATCCTCTGACTGAGAGATTAAGAGAGCAAAATAACATTTAAATTTTTAATATCAAATCAAATTGTAAAATCAACACTACCAACCAAATTTTATTACCAACATGTAAATTGTGAATTTTTATGGTTACAAGTGCTGTAATGTTAGTTTATCTCAGGTAATGCATATTGACTTCATTTAGATAATTATTTCGAGCATTACTATTGTCTGTGACAATTACCTTTCAAAATGGCTCAGATCACCAGAAAGCATTAACTATTCAACACTTACCTTTCAGCTTGAAGTGTGGTAGTCTTGCTTATCAAGTCAGAAGTTTGGTCTCTTGCAGACTACATAAAGAAACTTTGTATGAATTTGTGTAAATAATGTAACAACCTGTCAACTGAACCTTCAATAACTTAACTCTTCATATTCTCAAGGTAATCCTGCATTCTGATTGGTTTGCCTAATCAGTATATCATAATAATATCAACAAAGGGTTGTCAATATGTTTTGAAGTGGAAGGTGCAAACTGCAAAGCAAGTGGCTGATGGAAATTCTATCTTTACCCTAATGTTGCAAAATTTTAGAGAAAATAGGCTGTGATTTTGCTTCACACAGAGAGCAAATTTTGCTGGTTCTTGCCCAGTTTATATTGAAACCTTTGATTGACCATAGCAAAACATTCAAGTTCATTTCTGTCAATTTTACAAATGCATGTTTAAAATGTTTACAATAACTGTGCCTATGAATTTCCAGGAAATGTTTACTAATAAACAGAGAAGAAGGCTCATCTCTTTAGTTAGCTCTGCTGATTGACCTCTATGTGCAGATAAAAAACCTGATAGATATTCTAAAGTTGCTTTTCGACTGTAAACTCACCAGGCAAATGCTCATAAGACATATAAAGAATATTATTACATCTCCACACATAATTTGAAATTCAAAAGCACCACTCAAAAACAAAATTTGAGTATTGAATATCAGTTTATGGTTCCCTGGTTTGGAAAATGAGTATGTTTAAGTGCTTCCTTAGACAATCTACAACCTTGTGGCACAAAACTTGCTCAAGATTGTTACTTTGTAAATAGAAAACATTTCATGCAATGTGCAAGAAAATCTTTTCAATCCAAGATGGATAAAATTTCTGCTGAGGACAAAATTTAATTTAACCCTTTCACTCCCAAGATCTGAGAGTTAATTCTCTCCTCTAGCTGACACACATTTCCTTATAAATTGGTTACAAGAATTTGGTGTTGGATCAAGATAACAACTTCTACCTGAAAAGTTTGAGTATTTTCACTTGCTGTTTGCTGGATAATATGTGTATATCATAGGAAGAAGTAACCAGTTGATCACTTCTGGCAGATGAAAGGCTAATGGAGAATTTCTATTCAGATCTTGGCCATAGGAGTTAGAGATCAAGGTCTGAAGTGCAACCCACCTTAAGTCTGCTTGTCATTTCTGTACAACACCTACTCATTTGTTCAATGTCTGCATGCACAGCATCTAGTTGCTATGAGGCAAAAAAAGTTATGCTTACACACTGAGTAAACAGATTGATAGATAGATAGATCTAGATATTTTATTGAAATAATCAAATTTCAGCACTGTAAGGTTGAATTGCATGGAATTTACAAAAAGTTTAATTCATAAACACATTTATAAAATAACAATTTCACATAATGTAAAATGACTGTATAGAAAAAAACTACGCATAAATTTTCTACCAGATGAAATAAATGTGTTCGAGTAACAATTCGTGCACATTTTTGACATCATGAAATTGAGCTGGTTTCTAAAATTGTATCGGCTAATGTTCTTGGAACTGATTGAATTGATTCATAGATTATCTGATGACAGCCTGGCAATGAGTGTAACCTTCCACAAAGCTGCCTATGGCTGTCGCCTTGAGGCTTTTATATAATTTCTTACCCGTTATAATTCAAGCTTTCTTTGCAATTGACATCGTGTAAAATATTTGCTTAAATTACGACCTCAGAGCTCTTGGGCTTTATTGTATACATGACTCGTCGAGTTTGCTGACAAATTTCATATCAGTTTTGTTTTTTACCTGGAAAAAATCACAATCTACCTGTTTAACATCTCTAAATGCACCCTCGAAGCTCTCATTGATTGCCAAGCTTCTTTTTTCGATATCTCCACGCAAATTCCGCCGAGAACGCAAACTGTTGTCCACAAAAAAAGTCGACAAGGCCTTCAAAGCCTCCACCATTTCCTGCAGGATTAAAACAAATTTTGCTACATTACCACATTTTTCTTCTGGGAAGAGAATAAAACTTAGTATAAGAGTACTCATACCTTGTCATTGTCCAATCTAGTTTCTAAGATCTTGTTTAATTTCCTTGATAGCGGATTGTTTGGTTGAGATTCGCTCCCTTCCGCCATCTTGGAATTCTACGTGGCCTAACATTTGCGCATACTTCTTCGAGAACACCGCTGGTCGACTGCTGGCGGTTTCTCCCCTTCCTTCAGTTTTCTAGCCTCGAAGTTCAAAACAAGATCGAAAGAAAAATTGTAAAAGGGAGGAGAGGGTAAATTACACGTGTGTTATTTCATAGGCAGGTCACGCTATTTGTTCGTAGTTAATAATTGTTGACATGAAACGAACTAAATCTTTGAGGGCTTTGAATAAATTACTGAAAATTGCATGTCTACCACATCTACATTGCATCTCGGTCTGAATTCCAATATTTTAATGAGTTTAATTGAATGAATTGTTAATCGACGCATTTGTGATATTTTTCGCCATTGCAGGCCGTTTGAAGAAGAAATGAATTCGTAATAAGACGCTTCAAACGGCACATGAGGGAGAAAAAATACCACAAATGCGCCTAAACCTTCCAAGACCCTTCCTCCACACGGCACCTGAAGAAGTTCCATGTATTTGTAGCTAAAACAGCCTCATTTTTCTTACCCTTCTCGCCAGCCATCTTAATCCACAGATATATTTCGTGTTGGCTATGCTTTGTTCGGGATATCAAAATCTTCTAAGTACATCTACTCCATGAATAGTATCAATAACCCATCCGATATGAGCTCCTAGACATTAAAAATCTCAGCCAGAGCAAACCTTCCCCCAACCGATTCACCCCTCTTCCCCTCTCTGTATAGCACCCAATGATCTGAACATAGTCTTTGCTTACACTGATAATCGATTGTGAATCCATGACCACTTTTCTACGTAAAAAAAATTACTTTAATTCCAAGCTTTTCTTGTTTACAGTAAAAGAGATAGATTCGATAAAGTACAGCTTCTCCGATCTAAGCGCGCTTCCTTTTTGCGGGTTGCTTTGTGGACCCTGTGACCTTTGAGAGGCCACCCTTCACATTTCCTTGCTGTATTAGAGCTTGCACTTCTTCTACTGTCAGCGGTTTTGTATCGTTACAATGCCATGCCTGATCACTGTCATCTTCAATCGGGGGAGGTACAATTAAAAAATTCCCATGTGCTGGCTGAGGACCCACTCCTTGTAAACCGTCAACGGATATGTCTCCGCCAGACTCGTTCAACTTCTTGATCTTCTCTAGAGCTTTGTTTTGCAAGAGTTCGTTGCATTTCTGCTCGATAATTCCAAGGTATTGCATGATGTTATTGTCATCTATTGACACACCAATTCCAAGCAACTCCGCGATTGAGGAGCGATCGCACTCTATTGAGTTGAAAACACTTTCGACCTTCGGCTTCAAGAGCTCGAGCTGTCTTCTGCTTGCTTTATACTCCTTATTCACCAGTGTCAACTCATCAGTGACTTCGACCATCTTCTGCTCAAGTTCATTTAAAATTTCCTTCCTGTGCACATCACTGTCGACACCCTCTTTCTTGATGAGTTCGATCTCGTCCTTCAAGCGTCTTATATCATCTTTCAGGTTCTCAATTTCAGTGTTCATGTTGTTTACGTAATTGTACAGCGCGAAGTTGCGATCTTCGTTCTCAATAAAAGACTCCACAAGAGTGTCTGTGTCTTCTATACCAGTAGCTTCCTTGATCTTGTCAAAGATCTCCTCAAACTTGCTGGTTTCTTGTTGCAACCCATTTAGCTGAGCTTCATATTTCTTTATTGCACGAACCATCAATTCGTCCTCTAGAATGGACGCACGGTCTTCGGCTTTTGTAGTCATGAACGCCCGAAGTTTCCGATCGTGCTCAAGAATGCGCTTGACGTCTTTGATTTCCGCGTTATAAACCGCCATTTCCCGGTCAGCGCGCTCGCGTAGTGAAGCCATCCTGTGTTGTGCTTCGTCTCTTATGGTGAAATGAGTCGTTGCCACTTCTGAAATACGATCTATTTCCTTTTTTCCTTCGACCAGTTCAGCCTGAAGACGCTTGTGCAGATCAAGGAACCTTGCTTTCTGTCCTTCGACGTGGTTGATATGTTCTCTGAGCTTCAAATTGCCGGTCAAAGCAATGCTAAATTTCTTGGTCATCTCATCCAACCTGTTCTCCAATATTCGAGTAAGCTTCATATTGGCGACATGTTTCTCTTGGTACACATCTTTACTTCCTCCCATCTTCTTGCTCTGTTGGTTGATCTTTTCTCTCATGGCAGCTACTTTTTCATCCAAACCCGCAATTGCTTCTTTCTCCTTCTTGAGTTCCTGCTGAGCTTGCGCTTCTCGTTCTAAGAGCTCGACAAGCTTTTCGACATTTCGTTGATCAAATTTCTCGTTCTGTCTACTACTTGCTACGTGTATCATTGCTTCCAATTCTTTTTTTTCTTTGACTAGTGCTTCAATAGTTATTTTCTGCTTGCGCAAGGTATTTTCAGTCTCATCAGTGTACATTCTTCTATCGTTGCGCAAACAACGATACTGTCGTTGCAGATGGGACAATTCCATTTGCGCTTCCAGCTGTGCTTCGAGTGGGTCAACCTTATCTTCTTCCCTTAGGCACGGCATGTTTTCTTCGACACTGAAAATAGACTATCCTAACCTCGTAAACTGCAGCGACCTTTGTTGAAGCTTGTTTTGAAATGTTGCAAAGTAACAGGGATGCTGCCTTTGTGACGTATTTATTCGACCGCGCGCACTTATTTCCTGGCGTCAATTTGTGCGTGATATCTGATTTTCATTTCCGGTCTCGTCATTTTGAAGCAAGGTGTGACACTCATGGACATTAAGTAGAGAAGACACAGCATTTGCTCTCTATCATTAAATTGATCCTCAGGAGAAATTTTTCATCTTAGAAGTACGAAGTACTAAAACTCTATGAGTACACATCAGTCCATTATCCTTTCAAAGAAGGCTTTCCCTGCTTTTTTACTGATAAAAACTTCTTGGCTCATTCTTTCACGATACCCTTTGCACATAACTGCGGATAAATGGCACGGGAAAAAAAATCTCACAAAAGTACTCTTGTATTTTCTCGGTCCCCAAACGGAGCCAGTTATGAGCCCTGCCTACTTTTAAACGTATGAGAGTCGTCCTAAAAGGCAAAGAAATGTCTCTTCCACGGGAATCGTTCCCGTAACCGATAAAAGTTATCCAAGTAACAGTTATAACACGATGTTTTATAGTAAGTATTCAGTCATAACCATTTATTATGAATTTAGTGTTGTTTTTCGTCGTGACATATAGCTTGCCCTTTGGCACATGCAATCATTTTTGGATCTCGACAAAACGAACCAATAATGGGGCGAAAAAAACCTTCACTTCACGCCTTTGAAGTTCCAATAGGCAGTAAAAGTATCGCGCTTAGTGATGAGTTCAACAAAATATAAATATGATGTTGATGACTTCCTATGAAAAACACCTATCACACACCTTACTCTGCCACATCATTTAAAAAGTCTGAGTGGTGCACTCTCCTAGGTTCGCCTGGTAGAACCCTTAGAATTACCAAATTAATACAATTTGTTAAAAAAGCAGAAGCACTTCCGTTTATTTATTTGTGTACTTTTTTTTTAATAAATTATCGCTGAAAACTCGGAGTGATACCTCTCAGTTATCAGCTTCGGCAAGATTCAACGTGGGGACTTTCTTCGTCTAATTTGAACCAAGCTTTCATTGGAATCATGCTCAAGCTTCAGTCTGCAGACACTTCTGTTTCTTTCAAAAGCACGGGCTTTATGATACCCTACCTAAAGAGCGTCTTTTATTTCTTAAAGAGTTGTCATAAATATCCAATAAGTCATAATAATTGATTATGCGAGGCAAGCAAAATTGATGCAAATCAACCAGCATGTTAGTTAACCTTTCCATCTCATTGAATAAATAAAAATAAAAATAAAAAAAAAAAACGCTAGTCGTCGGCCGATCATCACGAATACGTTTGTTCCAAAGACATAGACGGATCTGACTCCTTCCGACCGTGTAATGATTTGTACTGCATCATCAAAACTAGAAAAGGATCGCTTCTCGCTCCGGTCTTGAACTCTTCTATGGTAAGCTTTCCATCCTTGTTCAAGTCAAACTTTTCAAAGATCCTCGCTGTACGTTGTTCTGGCGTTTCCTTTCTTCCCAGTCGACTGTCTGCGTACATTTTATACACAGATCTGATGATGTCTTCCATTTCGCGCTTCGTTACGTACCCATCACCATCCACATCGTAGATCTTGAAGGCCCACTCCAATTTCTCTTCAAGATTTCCTCTTGATGTTATTGAAAGCGAGTACATGAACTCTTTAAAATCAATGAACCCACTTTTGTCGGAGTCAAATGTGCGGAAAACGTGACTGGCAAACTCGGACGCATCCCCTTCAAAAAAATCTGAATACATGTCTTGAAAATCTGCGGAGGATACCAGCCCATTAGGACAACTCTTCATGAAACCTTTGTACCATTCCTCGATTTCTCCTTGCGTAAAATGCGTACATTCCATCAACTCGGACAATTCTTCTGTCTTCAGTTTTGTCTTCCTGTTACCCATGTCGAGTGAAATCCTGGCGTTGGCTTTGTGTTTTGATGTCTTTTTGTCTTTTTATTTTCGCTTTTGCTTTTGAAAGGTATCAAGGTATTCGCCGATGTAACAGACCAATTATCTTGGTTTGTTTAGTTAGATAACAGATTCGTACTCGTCTGAAGATTTAGTAGCCTGAAAAGAAAACAAAATTAATGAGTTTCTAAGAAAAGTTAGCTGCGGCACCGCGCTGAATCAAGCTACTACGATCCTTAAACGAGCATGACCAAGAGAAGTTACGCTGATGTTTGTCGCATGGATCGGATTTTTGACGCCTATTCCTTAGCTGACATTATGTACATATATCCAAAAATATCTTTAATTCGTATTTTTTACCGGCAGTTTACACAATAACAACCCGCATTCTGATCAACATCTTTCTCGAATTTGTTATGATAAAAGCTCGTACGTAATTCAATATGAAGTCTGGAGCATATCACCCTTAAATATATTTCAAACAAATTAGAGTCTACGGTAGCAAAGTTATTTATTCAATGTTTATTGTTTTCACCTAAAGCTCGTCCTTAAGATCTATGACTACACGCGCCTTAGTTCCAGTTCCAGTTTCAATAAAAAGCCGTTACTGCGTAGGGAACTGAAATAATTTGTTGCGTACTGAACGAACTAGAAAAAAAACGGAAGAATCCTAGTTTTCAGCATCTTATCTAAACGCACCGAGCAACCACGCAGTCTCAGAGCTACACCACAATTGACATAAACGGTAAGATAAAACATCGGTCCTGATTGGTTCAAAATCACCTTGGCTTGATAAACAGCTGTCAGTGAATGAGAACAAATTTTAATGTTTTTCAATGAGCAGTTTTTTCAACTACTTTGACCGTTCCTCCTCATTCGTCCATCAACGGCATTTTAAGAATTAGACTTTAGTGCATGTAATCGTGACGTTATTATGTAAAGATTCGAAAAACCTAAGCCAATAAGAACGAAAGAGCCAAATTCCCTTGAAGAGATGTGAAGATGAAAAAATTAATTATTGTAACGAACGTGGTCTAGCTTTTGAAAAACTTTGTTAAAAATTAATTACTTTGCGCACTCAAGTTTCTCAAACGGAATGGTTAGACGAAACTCATTCACTATTTACTAGCGTATAAAGTAGCTGAAAATTGTTGTTGAACAGAAAAAAAAAAAAAAACTAGCTCTTCGCTGTTCGAAGCAGTATGTAATACTTTTTCGTCTCAGGCAGTTTAAAGTTTTCGTGATCAATCTGTATGCAAAAGTTTGGTTTTCAAAACAGAATTATCAGAATGTATAGTACGTTTATATCTCTCGATCTCTTGAGGTCACTCGTCTCGGCAAACATTCGGTGAGAGTATAGTTTATTAGCCAAACAGTGCTAACATTATCATTTAACAGAGACGGAAACTAACAGATCACGGCCGGTCGTGTGATTCAAAACCACTTTGCATAGCAAACAACGTCTGCTGTTGTTCAAAACCAGCAGGTTTTTTTAATTGCAGTGAAAATAACCCAAAGAATATCTCTTGGATTAATCAGCATTTGTTGCGCGAGAATGTTCGGCGGGATTTCAATTCAGTCAGTAGTTATACTTATTTGAGCTAAAGTACTTGAATTGATTCAATCATGAGTGGAATTCGGCCATTATAGATTGAGATAATTGCCGAGAACACACGATCGCGACAGACAGATACTGATGAGATATTGTTCCGAGATCCTCTAATTTTTGTAAAGTTATTTTAACAAAGTGTCCTTCGAATTTATCGTCAACTAAAACTGCATAATTCCGTTTCAAAATGGAAAATTTACAAGGGTGAAAGCACGGTTTGTAGCGGTAATTTCTCATGTTTTTCTTTCGTTAACCTATATATCTAAACATGTCCTCGTATTTGTAATCTTAATTTAGAAAACCGAATACAACTGAAACACGTCCAGCCAGCTGCTGCGTCGAGTTTAAACCGACTGAAGTTTAAAAGATGAATCAATTGCGGTATTTTCGGGTTAAAGACACACAAATCTATTCCTCTCACCTGGTGATATGTTACGTCTCGACGAGAAAGCTCGTATTCACCACGAAACAACCGAGAGGTTGACCTGCTCGTTAGTGTTCACACCAGATGGAATCAGCGCATTTCTCCTGATCGTTCGACATATTTTTAGCCTTATTGTAATATGTAACGGAAACGCCGATTGGTTCCTGTTACGATTGTTTGGAAAAATGCTATTTTATCCTTTGACGCGCCTGTGGTTCTGGAAACAATCCTTCAGCTGATAGGCATTTGTTTAATTGTTTCTGTTCGTGTTCATGATTTAAAGTCCTAATGTGACGCTAATTTTGCATTGGTTACAGACTTAGAATGTAGGTTTGTTTGCCTCTCGTAATAATAAGGTTGTTGGAGTTTGAATTTAAGCTTTGATTTTCCCCAGGCAATCACTCCTTTTACATTACAGCGACATGGTTGTTTGTTGCCTGTGGCGTTTCGATCAATCTTAATTTCAACTTCGTTTTCAGAAATTTAATGGAAACCTTAGCTAACGGACAATTTTAACCGCTCAGTCCCTCAAAAATTATAAGAATTCTGTAGATCATGAAATCTGCTGCCAAATCAGTTCATACTTAGGAGCTTTTTTTTAACTTAGCTTCTTTCCCCTATCAGCATGGCAAATTTTGTTGGATTGAAAGCAGAAAATTTCGAAATTTCTCAAGCTATTTAAACATTAATGCGTTTGCATGCTCCGAGACTAAATGACTCCTTAGTTTGTCTTGAAATCCATCGAAGTATTCTTCTAGAAAAATTTAAATGTGAAATTACTGAAATTTGATAACAACCTAAGTGCATTTTTAGGTCTAGGCTTTCAAAGATGATATGTGGAATATTTCATTTAGACCTTGCAGAAAAACTATTGAAAATACCTTTATATTCTGGACTGATTTGCTAATATTCATCACCCAGATTGCTACCGTAAACATAGACACGTTCGCTTACTGAATCATTCATTACTTATAAGGTTGACCTGCCTCCAAAGCCCATTAAAAAGAGACGCTTGGCCAGTACTAATCTACTTCCACCTGGAGCTTGTAGTCTGCCGTCACGAAACAGGAAATCGATTTAAGGGCAAGGGGGTGGGGAGAGGTAGATGTGGGGGATTTTGGGGGAGGAATCACATGATATTTTATGGGGAAAGGGGGGGGAGAGATAAATTGTCCCCAAATGAGTATAGAGGAGTGACTTACGAAAACTGGCTGCTTTGATTGAATTTCTAAACTTATATATGAAGTCTCTTGAATTCTTGTGGCAAAACATTACGGAGCTATTAAAATTCGTTTTATTTTATAAATTACTTTGTAGAGTGAAAATCTTCATGTTGCCTTTTTTGTTTTAGTAATAATGTAAGCTTATAAAATTTTATGAATTCAGATACGAATAAATTTTAATTCAATTTTCCAGGGGCGACCAAAAATGATTGGAGCTCGACATGTGCTTTTAGACCGCCAGAAAAACACTGTTCTATAGGAGTTAAAAGTATCCATACTAGCTGGTAATTTACGGTTATTTGTAAATGTACGCCTGTTTCAATAAAGCTTATAACAAAATAGTTCGTCAATAGAATGCATGAAATAAAGCAAACTTCATTTTGGAAAATCTTTTTCCTTTTGCAGATTTTATCAAAATATCAATTTTTTTGTAAGCGGTCTGTGACAGGGGTTGTATCTTATGTTTTCCTTTCGTATTCTTTGCGGTTAGGGGCGCGCAGCCAAAAAAATGATCCATTTGCGCATGCCCAACGTTTGACACCTGACCTGGGTGATCGTGGGCGAGAATGTGATTCTCGTAAAAATTAAGGAACGCCGGAATTGAGATTTGGCTTGGGCAAGTAAACAATGTCGGCATTCTGACTGGAACACCAAATTAATGTTATACAAAAAGCGACGAAACGCAATCAGATGACTGGCAGAACAAACAATTAAGCTTTATTCGTATCTGCATTCATAAAATATTATATGATTTGCGTTGTACTTTTCAAACAGAGAAGGCAACATGAAGATTTCCAATCAAGAAAGTAATTTATATAACACGACGAACTTTAAAAGCTCCGTCATGTTTTGCCACTAGAATTCAAAGGAATGCATACATAAGGTTTGAAAAACAAAAAACCGCCATCTGGCCGAGCAAGCTCTAGCTTCATATCATTACAGAGGACAGCTTTCTAATTAACTTTTTTTTTATCTAACATTTAATTAAGAATACTGCGAAATTCCGCTTGAGAAGGAATCACCCTTTGAAATCTTTGGTAAATGATTTTCATCCAAACAGACAGGAAATTCACAGCTGCACCACTTAGTTGGTAAAGTTTTTATTTACATCGCAGAAACAAATTACAGATAACTCGTCAAAAATTTATTCAGTTCAGTCTTTTTTAATGCTTCATCCACTGGCATTTCTAAAGTGAGTTCTTCAAATTCGTTTGATTCATTTCATTCACAAGCAAAAGGACAAGGTCTTTTAGTTACAAGATATCACATTTGGTAATGGTTAGAGGAGAAAATACCACCCCTGAAGCTGAAAAAAGAAATATTGACGTTTCAGTTTTGCCAAATCATTTTGGATTTGGTTTTTAAAAGGGGCTTATCGCCAATACGCGTCTGTTTATTGACTGGATGAAACATATCAGCATTTTTCAATAATACATCAGCAGCACTGTGCAAATCAAGGCCCAAAAACATTGGGAGTATTTTTCTCGATAAGGTAATGTATAGTTCAGGCAGTCTTGTCGACGAGGAAAAAAAGAGTTTCTGATCGTCAAACTGCGTGTGCTGGGGTAGAAAGCTCTATGAAGCAATTTTTAGCTTTCCGAGAAAGGCTTCTGTAGAGCCGGTGTTCCAGGCCCTTGATCACTGAGAGAAAACCGGTCGAACAGGCGAGTGTGAAACGTTAATTGATGACGTCCCAGTCCCTTAGCACCTCTCATTTAACCTGTCTTTTGATCGATCATGCAGTATAATCATCTGCGCGAGAGTAACCTTGACAATTGCCTGCCGAACAAGCGTAATTTTTTTGTGTATTCCACTAGACTCTCCCAAGCGAAAAACAGGGAAAGGCTATTGTTGGTGATGGTGATTCAGTGACGTTTGAATAACCTATGCACAAAGTCCTAACTCGACTCTTATGAACACGCATTTATACCAAGTGTAAGTTTTCAGTGCAGCACTTGTTCACAAATATAATGATTTATTGCGTAATTTTAGCCGCATAGTTTTAGTCGTTTTTTTTTATTAGTTTCTTTGAATGTTTTCTCAGAGTTTAGTTCGTTGGCCTTATTTTTCACTACTTCGTCAGTGTTTGTTTGTAATTGCAACTATTACTCCTTGTTTCAAATTATTTTTTATCGTCTCCACTATACTGAAACAGGCTCAAGTTAGCGTTATTGGGGATGAAACCTCAGTATACCCTACGGGATGTAACCGAAATTTACCCACAGGGATATGGCCTTATTATAACCTCTAGGATATAATCTCAGTATACCTTTCGGGATCTAGCCTCAATATACCCTACGGGATGTAACCTCAGAGTACCCTCCCGGATCTAGCTTCAGTATACCCCCTCGGAATGTAGCCTCTGTATATCCTACGAGATGTAACTTCGGTACGCCCTCCGGTATATAGTCATTTACACCCTCCGTCGAACAGATGTCTCTACTTCTTCATAATTGAAGTCAAATTTTCTTTACCGCATTTTTTTACCGCAAAGTCATTGGATTACCAATTAAAGGTTACTTATTTGTAAGCTGGCTTTATTTTCCTGTTCAGCTTGATATTGAGTAGTTTTTATTAACTTTCAGAAATCACTTTGGAGAACAATAGATTCAGCAACTGAAAGATAACCTTTAGGCAGTGAATGCATCAGCAATCGCCAGTTTCAGTGATAGAGCGCTTTTCGATTGAGTGGCGTGAAACATCTCATATCATACCCTTCCCAAAATCTTATTAGTAATTCTACTTACTGTCTTCCATGCAATTTTTATGATGTCAGTACAGATAATTTGGTATTGGATCAATTAATAATCCTTTCATTGATATATTTCTTTATTCTTGTCACTTATTGCCTGCTTGATATTGCATTTAACTATAAAGAGATATTCTGTCTTGGTCACTCATAGGAGAGAGCGGATTGAGAATTTTCTAAAATTTCATTGTGAATGGCTGGATCGAATGGCAGTTATTGGTACCACGGTTACTTTGCCGTTACTACTGGCAAATATACGAAACCACGAAATTCAGAACATTTCTTGTTCCAGTTCTTTTCATGTGATTTCATTTTCTAGTTCTGATTTTGATGGTGAGTGCTAGGGATCTTTTAGCCGGTGCAAGGTCGTTGAACTCACTTCTCAAGATAGTGCAATGCAAACATTTTCGTTCCACACTATCTGTCAGTTCTTGACACCTTTTCAAAATAATTCTTCACAACAAATCAAATGAAAATTCATGTTAATTGTCCAAAATCATGAAATCTTGTCATCTATAAGTCCGCTGATATCTTAAAAATGTACTATTTATCTGTTATGTTCTATTGAAAACTTCGCAACCTACGGCGCTCTTCAACGGGCGCCGCTCCCTGTGCGCGCGCTTTTTTTAATTTTACATTTTGAGCCTGTCGTTTGTAAATACATACAAGGAAAGCTTTTGTAAATAACGTTTCAAGTTAAACTGGAGGTGGAGAATGGTGAAGCAGTTATTCATTTCATTATGAGTTTTACACCAGTTATTTGTTTAATTTGAGAAAAAAAATATGTTGCACGTATTGTATTGGAATCGATTTTCGATTTACGTTTGGTCAACTTTTTTTAATTTCGAGTGGGAAAATTCAATGGAATAGCTTTCACCTCAATAGAATTAACATTGCCGACCGATCTGTCAGACACTGCATGATTTAAATGAAGACCATTGTTGAGACTTCTAATATAACAGTGTGAATAGCAGCTGCATTCAGGTGCTGTTAAATTAAACGTTCATACTGTAAATTGACGCCTTGTTCGACTTGGTAACACAGAGAAAACGGCTCGAGACTAAATCTCATCCTACAGGTAATTTTTGAAAGTTATGAGGGTAATTAGTAAGGAATCTTTCTGTACAATGAAGAGCTACTGTAGAAATATAAGGTTTTAATTAGTACGATGCTGTGCCTGAAAAATCTCACGAGTTATGATCAATGACATGAAGGACTCTTGCTGCATGCGCTATAAATTGCATAATAATTTTGTTCTTTGGGCAAAGAAAATGGGAAAAAAGAAAGTTGCGAGAAACCTCTGCGAAAGGTTGGAGCCTACTAAAATAAAAACTACTAATTGAAATACATCTTAGATGTTTTTAAAGTAACACCAAACTTCAATCATCATCGTCACTCGATTTGTGCAGCTGCGAATACTGAAGGGAAATTGGCTTAGTGAAATGGAAGACCGAATTTCGTCAACAACTTCAATTTCTTTATCAACTCATGTCAAAATATCGGAAGAGATAAGTGAAACAGAATTACCGCGATGTCATAAATAAAGCCATTGATAAAAAGAAAATGAAAAACTGAAACTTAATATCACAACAGTAGGTTTTTTTTTCCTTTTTTTTTTAGATGTAAACAACCATTTTAACAAACGAGTCTCCTCGAATGGCTATTGTTCTGAATTCGATCTTACGCGAAGCGCTTTTGTAAAATTTACCCTGATTAAGAAACAACTCTTTAAATAAAAAGATACTGAAATGGAAGAAGTGAAATTTTTTCTTCTGCCGTTCCCCTTCAAAAAAAAGACCAAAAAAAAAAAAAACTTGTGCATGATCATGAATTTGCACGTTTTGCCGACTTCCCGACTGTTGCAAGTTTCAGATTAACAGCGGTATCATTGTGCTTCAATTGTCGAGTGAATTCGGCTTGTACTATTTTTTATTCTTTCGAATTATTTTAATTCTGAATGCTTCGTTTTGTTACGTCTGGTGTCTTGAGCTGTTTTTTTGTTATTTCACTCACTTTTTGGTCATTATTGATTGTGTTTTTCCTTCAAAGGACCACTTGCCTTTGTCTTCTCTATTGTGTTTATTTCTCTTCAGAAAAATTTACCTTTTCAGAGGAATCAAATTGTGTCATCTTGGCCCTCCATTCGTTTTAATTTTTTGCACAAAGGTTTCCTATTCCTCTGTTTTCAAAAGTAATGAAAAAAATAATCGAAAGAGGCTGTGAAGTCACCTTAAAACTTCAGCAAACTTCCACAAGCTAACAAAACCGTCAAAATTTTGAAATAAAGGAAACCAAAGGCGGTCACAATGACAATCAAAAACTGCACACGTAAGATCCATCGAATTTTGAATTTTTTAGCAAGCCAGCGGGGGTTTAATGTGTCAAAAAACGAAATTAATGACATCAGTTTAGTTTTAAGACCTGCACTACTCGTTTCAACCTGCCGATAAGGGCGGTGCTTCCCACCTAGCACGTTATGACATGAATATTAGATTTGAATTGAATGCGTATGCTAACCGGAATGTTTCAGATTAATATTCATATTTATTTATCTTTTCTCTAACCATCAGCAAAGGTATTGCTTAAGGTTGCGTCATCGTAACTACCCACTCGAGCACTATCACAAAAACTGGTCTTTAAAAAGGGGATGTTGTGTCGATCAAGTAACCCCACAGATTGGAACAAGTGACATCGATTTAAAATTATCAAGATGGCGAACACGAGCGTGGAAAATATCACGAAAACTCGAGTCTTTTGCATAAATGGATTGTATGATGCAAACCAACATATGTTTCTTGCGGGATTAAACATCTGCTTGGCCCTGACTGCGTTTCTTTGGAATATTGTGATCCTCAAAGCCCTTGAGAAAGAAAGCTCTTTTCATTCACCATCAAAGCTGTTATTCCGTTGTCTGGCGAGCACTGATCTTTGTGTAGGACTTATCCTTGAGCCCATTTACATCACTTATCTAATGTCCTCGCGTCATACAAACATTTGTTACTATACTACAAGAGTGACAAGCATTGCAAGTGGAATTTTTTGTGGGGTATCACTGGCGACCTTGACTGCTATAAGCGTGGACAGGTTTCTCGCGCTAATGCTGGGTTTGAGATACAGGCAGACCGTGACTCTAAGGCGAGCTCGTCTATTTGTCATCATTCTCTGGCCGACGAGTGGTGTTACTGCAGCGATGTTCGAAGTCGACTACCTCTTGACTGTAGGAATTATATGTATTGCAATATTTATCTGTTTAATAACCTCGGCCTTTTGCTATACCAAGATCTACCTGTCAATTCGCCATCACAAAACTCAAGTAACGCAGTTAAATATGCACGCAAATTCGTGTAGAACTGACGGAGAAAATCCTCCGCTGAACTTGGCGCGGTATAAAAAAACAGTGTCAGCAGCAATGTGGCTGCAAATAACATTAATAGTTTGCTATTTTCCATTCGGCGTTGTTGCTGCCCTGTACGCCATAACTGGAGTAATCTCGCCTTCGCGTGATTTCGCTTGGGAAATGACACTATCTATCATCATGCTCAACTCCTCTCTCAATCCGATTCTTTACTTTTGGAAGATTAGAGAAGTAAGGAAAGCTGTTAAGGACACGATTGGACAGTTCTGCTCTTTTGAATGAATTTACTCTCGTTTTCTTAGTTACGTTACTTCGTAGTATAAATCATAAGGTGAACTCATTTCTTACAGCGGACAAGGTTTTCACTCTACATAAGCCGCATGTCCGATATGGTCTTAATAATTAAATACATATGAAATTGTCATGATTAAGCAGCCCAGTATGATAAAGTATACAGCTCACGGTCTCATTATATTTGGATTAAACGCTCTTTATACCTTTTCTTGACGTAGTGATGAAGGAAGTTGAGTATTTGAGTTTCTCAAGACGGAATTGTTTATGCCTTTCAAATCTTCCTACATGCATAGTGCTAGTGCGTCATGATTAACATAATTCTGCCGCAAATTAATGTTGGATTTCATTGTTGCGTAACAGGAAATCGATGCAGAAAATTCCAATTTAATAAAGGATTTATTTCGCTTGGAATTTATAATTTTAGGCAGATGTTCAATTGTTAGCTATAGAGAACGGGAGACGAACAAATTAAAATTCTGGCGATTGACTTAAAAAGAGGAAGAGAGGAGGGAAGCAGGTAGCTACATTTTCTAAGAAATATTATCCTTAGATCTACCTGATGATATTTCTTAATTTTTCAATCAAATGGTGAGATCCATCTCCTCCCAATATTGCGTGACTTACCCTAAAATGACCATTTAATTGAAAGCGTTAGCCGGAGCACTATGGGTAATAACAACAGACAAAACATGAGGTTTCAAGGCAATGTTTATCTAAAATTCAGATAAATTGACAGGGAAACAGTAAAAAAAAATATCGTAGAAGGAAGGAAAAATTGATGTTGATAGTTCAATAGACGCTCAAGCAAATTGTAAAATTCAACTGGGGGTTGATATTCTGACCAACGAGATTCACGCAGCCGAATTTCGTAACAAAAAGAAAAGTTACATTCATTTAAATCTGCAGAAACTAAAAATATGGTAAATCAGCCGCCAAATATGTGTAAAATATGGCCAAATGGCAGCCAAACGGATAGGCGAAAATAAACTTTACACTTCTATCGCTAGGACTGTTAACCGCGTAGTCATCGTCAATTCTAAGACTTTGAAGCCCGCTTCTTTCTAGTTAAACATTCTTCCGCACCTCTGCTCTTCGTCCGTGAGGCCTACAAATGTGTATTGTGATCGAGAAAGAAACAAAAAGAAGGAAAAATCATCTTGATGATTTTAACGAACGATGCGACAAAATATTTCCATATTGATCGTAGGACCGTCGTCATCGTCGATGTACGACTTTGAAGCCCTTTTTTTCCAGTTTAGTATTTTTACGCACACTTCCTGTTCGTTTTTCAGGTCTACAACGATATATTTTGATTAAGGATGGAGGGAAAGGAAGGAAAAACAAGGTAGATCATTTTAGCTTTCGGCCCGTCGACAAACGCCATTTTGAATCACTCCATGATGACTCCATGCTTGTAGTCAGGCAAAAAAGGCGGCCTTTGTACCATCCCTCCCTCCAGATTTTTGAATAGAAGGCAACAGAACAACTTTGGGGATAGGGGTAAATCTAGCAGAGGTGGCAGGAGATAACGCATTTAATCCACGTTTTGATGCATAAATTAGTTGTCTAAAAGATCAGAGAATGGAGGGAGTGAGTGAATTTTTTCTTCCATACCTGAACCTCATTGTATGACGTCATACTGTCACGAGGTAAAAATGCTTTCTCTCGATTCCTCGCCATCCTGGTTCCTTTTTAGTTTGTTCGCAAAATTTTATAATTTTTCTTTCTTGCTAATTCATATTTTGTGGTTACTCTCACACTGATTATGATTTTGGCTGTCGAAGCTAAAGAACGCCACCGTGAAATCACGTGACCAGGCTTACGACCTCCGATGCTTTACCACCGGGCCACAGAATTTCTCTTTGTTAAACTAAGCCAATACTACTCGGTTCATTTGTGACACGTGTTCTGCATACTGCTAGGATCAGCAATATTGAGGGCATCAGGTGTGTAAGCAGATTGAGAAAGATGGCAGAATTTTAGGCTTGAATGAAAGGGGTATCGAATGGTCTATGGAGCATTTTTTTGCGAGCATGCGAACAGTGTGTTTACTTTTGCGAGCACGAGCAGTTGTCAATTTTTTCGTGCGAGCAGCGAGCGCTTTAGAAAATACAGATGGTGAGCAGCGAGCACTTTAGATAAATACAGATGGCGAGCAGCGAGCACTTCGAGTACTTCGTAAATTTTCCGCTAGCCGGAATCTCTCTTTTATTAATAGGATACGTTGTTTTGCGCCAAGTAGCAACTAATAATTTGGCTGACACCTCCAAAACAGAACAATAGGTGCAAAGCTAAGGCAGTTCAACCAGTCCCAGTATCTTACAGCCAACTGTCCCCTACTGATGCCAAATTACGTTACGAAGCTTCATGTGAGTCAGTCAGGGTGGACGCTCAAGAACTTCAAGAGCTCTAAATTAAGGAAATCTACTAGATCCAAAGCGCGATCTAAAGTTTTCCATCTCTTTCTAACCCGACGCTGAAACGGTATGGTTTTTTTTTTGTTATATAGCTCTTATGAAATGTAATAACGTGACATTCGGTCTAACAAGTATGTCGGGCTTCGGTTTCGATGATCGGCAAACTGGTTTCCCGCTGATTAACTGAAAAAGATTCAACGTAACGAGGCTTTAGTTATTTGGGGGCTTCTAGAATCTAACCAATTATAGCCGTACAGACCTGACAAGCTCTAGTAGTAGCTCTGAAGGTCAAATAGCACTGGTAATAATAGTATTTCTCTAGATGACTTTCTACCTTCGCGGGTGCCTCTCGAGAAGAATTCTTACATTTCGTGTTTCCGCGCGACATAGAGACAGTTTCTAGACATGTCTCCGCGTTTGGCTGGGCCTTTAGGTTTTGATCAAAATAGTTAAAGCATCATTTCATTTAAGAATTTCCCTGAACCGGTGAAGCCCAAACGACCGACGGTTGTTATTAATGTTGTTTCGTTTAATCGGGTTTCATATGCCACCGTTTGGCATTAGATTATAGTTATTATTACTTGTGGCCAGAAATCTTCTAAGGTTGAAAAAGCCGCTACAGAATGCGATCCGAGTACACTGTTTCAAAATATTTTGACTCCGTCCATTTTAGTTCCCTTTGCCCACTGGAAAATCCATCATATCTACAAAACCTGATAATTTGCTCAAATAAATGGGAATGTAGATCAACAAAGGTTCACAAGTAATGTTGTCTCCATAGGAGATTATGTCATGTCATGTCCCGTCATGTCCCGTCATGTTGAGCTTCCTCTTAAAGGGTAACTAACGGCTAAAAAGGTCACTTTTTCGGAACACCATCTAAATGCCTCGGGTAACACATTGAAAGAGATGCAAGGTGCTTCGAACGCCTCTTTGTGTCTTTTTTCTTCAGGAAAACTGTCCTAAATGCAGCTTCGTGAGTCATAAGCCGTAAACGCTTCGATTTTGATCATTTTTGATCATGTGATCTTATACGTCACACGTATGTACATTAAGTAGGTGTGTACATTAGAAGTAGATAGTAGTTCGAGTGAAAGCAGTTCGATTACGGGATCTAGGTATTCAGATTTTGAGGCCTCGATTGAAGGTGAACATATTAATGAAAGGGTTTATGAATCTGTTGGTGAAATCAGGCCCTCGCGATTTCAACCGTCAGGACGAACCTGAAACAGAGCGCGAGATTCAGAAGAGGATCATGAGCCCGCGCGCTGCGGCCGCCTCAATCAAGAAAGCAAGATTGGTGAGTGCATTTACACTTGTAAATAAAGAATCTGAAAATTAGTCGCCTATTAAACGTAGAAGCGATAAGTAGATAAAACCAAATGTGCCGCACACTCTTGAATACCATGGGAGCGAAGTGTTTCTCCGCTATGCTAAATAAATGCACGCACCTTCCGAAGCTAAGGTTTCGCTGACTGAAAATATAAACTTACATGCTTGTGGCGGTGAATTGGATGGATTATACACGTTTCCACACGATTGAATCGGCTTTAATTTTTCCTGTGTCGAATTTGGCGAACGATTAAACATTTCTCGGTTTTTACTTTAAAACACGATGTAGCAAAAAATAGCATTCGCACATGTAGAATTGAACATCCTCTCAATATTGACTTATTGTTTAGCCTAAAGTTTGAGTTATCTCCCACGTTTGTGACAGTTACAGAGGTGATAACTGTTCCTTTTGGTGAAACCAATCATACGAGCTGTGTTCTCTATTTCTTCTATTCAACATCGTGAAAAAAAATGACTACTTTACTGATTTTTTATTACGAAGTGTCAGTGGGGAAACTATTAATCAATGCGGAGGGAGAAAGAAAACGTCTTTTGCCAAGAAGTAGATGTGGTCAAAGACAAAGGTTTGGAGGATCTTACAGTGGAACAGCCAGATGTATTGTTCATCATCCAGGGTTTGAGGAGACTGCTGAAGACTGACCCTGTCTGCATTTGTTTTGTTACTAAACATCACTACTCAGCGCTTCTCTAGTTTGAATGCTGGTTTTCGTTTTCTTTGTTTTACATCCTGTTGTTTTCTGCCCATATTGTAAATATCAACGCAGCTAAGAGTAGTACAGTTTTGGATAACTTGAGCTTGAACATATTTATGTATTTTTTTAAAGTTCAGGTCGGTATTTGAGAAACATTACGTGCTTGCTATTTCCGTAGCACGAGTTTGTCGCTGACTCGGTTCCTTCTTTTAACCAAAGCACTGCGTTTTAGACGGTGAGAGCTAGGCATTCCCATGACATGTGCTTTAATGGTTTCCTACGTCGGCTTGTTTTGTTTACGATAAACGAGCGTGAGTACTGTTCACTCAGCTGACAGTGGTACATTTTCGAAATGAGTAACCTTTCGGACAGGTTTGATTTCATCATGTTTCCGGTCGAAAATGAGAAACAACGCTTGAGTGTGACGCTCATAACAAGGCGTTTCTTGTAACATTCATTTACAGCGTGTCTCTGTTATTATTTGCTTCAACTGGAAGTTAATTAAACTTAGGCACACGAATGTGCTATATATGCAACTTAATGTTAGTTGTAATCATTCCTGGACAACTCTCAATTAGAGACGAAACGCGTCGAAAGAAATAAACAAAAAGTTACAACAGCAAGTAGTCTTCCTTTGTGCTGCTCACCAGTCTCCGTTGAAAAAAAAGCAAAGAAAGGATAAATCTTGTACATTTTCGGAACGTGGAAGAAGAGTATAGTTCACAAAACCAGATGACGACCTCCCACAATACGCGAAAACACTTTGCGCTTAGTCACGCTCACTTCAGAACCGATGGGTCTAAGGTCACAGTGTTATACATCGGACAAAATCTAAAGTCAAATACTTTTCGGCTTGGACTAAAAAAACATCGCTTTAAGTATAGGACTCGATAATGGTTGAGAGGAAAAAATTATTGGATTATGTATTTTTTTACAGCTGTTTGGAATGGCGTGCAAATTACCTGTGGCTCTGAATACAGACATGCGATCCCTCGCGTTTCGATTGTTATTTCTCACTTCGTATTTCATAGTCTCTAAATGGTGGCCTATATCAGAATGGAACAAATCTTATTTTTTTGCCGCTCGTAAATTTTAGCAACGGTTAGACAGCGAGGGCGAAGTTGTTACTTTCAGGTTTTGACACGACGCTTTTCACTGACTTACACACGTGTGACGTACACATCACGTGACCAGGATCAGACCGTTTTCAAAATGGCCGTCGATTCAGCGTCAAAAAAATTTGTAGAAAATTTGGTTTCGCACAATATATCACTTATTTGTCTATTTAGGATTCTTTAACCTAAGAGGAATGTATTGAGACGAAAAAAAAAGGGGAAAAATTTGGTGTCAGTTACTCTTTAACTATATCAGAATTTCCTGGTGAAGAAACAAGTCAATAGATGGAAGATCACGTATTTGCATTTGAACTGCGGAACTGTACCTCTCTCGAACAGAAAGCCTGCGACGATGAAATATGATAAAGAATAAACCAATAAACGAAATACTTGTCATGGAGCTTCGTGCGTTTCCCCGATAATACATACAGCGCCTCCAAAATAGTTACGGGCTGAACTGTTGAAGAAAGACTGAAGCCAGAGATAAGGATGTTTCAACCTTTTTGTTACAACCATATCATAACTGATTTATCGTTTACATATGTATAAAAAATAGCTACAAAGCAGAATTAACGAAATTTCGAGCAATCGAGCACATGTTAACGAGAATGCGAGCATGCGAGCAGTTGCAAAAATTTTGCAAGCACGAGCAAGCGAGCACCCGTGTAATTTTTGTGAGCAATTCGAGCAAAGGCCATATTTTTCGAGCACCTTTAAATTGAATGGGACCATTCGATACCCCTATTGAAATTCAGAAAGCTGGTTTTTTCTTCTTGTCGTGGGTAGAATTCGTCTGCTTCGAAAAAAGAAGCACTCTGATATCAAACGCTGTACCATTACGAAATATCTTTTAATATTATAGCAATTTCCATAGACTTGTCAATACTTCGGAAACATTTTCAAGGAGCTTTTTATGATGGCCTTCTCAATATCCGCTACTGATATTTTCGAGGCTTGATTGAGGACCAAAGTTTCACCGCCAAAAGTCATTGATGAAAAATAGTATTCTTCGTTGAATTTAGGGTTCCTAGAGGGCAAAATGGCTTCAATTTACGAACACGTTTATCATATCACGCAACACGTTTCATTTGCATATTATGCTATAGAGCTATATTCAGAGCCACGGATGTTGAGTTGAAGAGGTTTTTTCCTGCAAAAAGCCTAGAATTATTTTAAAATTAGAATAATGCATATATATATATATATATATATCTGACAAGGAACGCAAATCATTTTTTAATGACTTTTTAAAGTCATTTTTAGCACTAAATACGTATTTCCTTCGGACCAAATCAGGATTGCATCGGTTCAAACACTCATGACAATCAAGGACCTTCATACCTTAAATTCTTCTAAGTTATTTTCAGCATGTAAATAACCCATGGAGAACCAAAGAGCGGACGAGGGAAAATCCGCAAGTTGGGTTCGTGAGATTTAGCTCCCCATCCATTTTTTCCCCAACGCTCGTTCCACATTTTCACTCGTTCCCATGGTAAAATAACTGAGTGACTGGTACAGGCTATGAATGAACAAGCAGATTAGTGCATTGTAAACGCATTTTAACTAAGTGTATTCAATTTGGGGCATAAGCTTCAACAGATCTAGGGACAAGAAAATTGTATTCACAGAGATAGAATACAAAAACAACACCATACCACAATATCCAAGATGATAACGACAGTTCAATACAACCCTCTTGTATTTTCCTAATCGCCTTTTCTGATCTCCAACCAAAAATTTAGGGTATCAATGAAGTTTCTCTTTGGCCTTTAGATCTTGACTAAAAAGTGTCGATTGCTGCGGTTTTTTATTTGGCCGAGCGATATTTTCAAACGACCCCTATCAAGTGAAGGTGAGAGTTAGGGCTATGAAAGCCGTACCTAAATTGTATAAGAAGGTATTCAGTAAATCTGACCAAAAATGGTATAACACTTGCAAAGCTCTCGTTTGTCTCGCACCAATTTAATTTCTCTAGCCCTTTATTGCGTTATTTCGTCACGTATAACCAATATTACGCTTCACTGTGACGCATACCAAACTTATTTTGATAACTGAATACAACTTTCGTGTTCACTATCCTTGTCCGGTTGGGTTGACTACAAAAGAAGAGATTAAAATCAAGGAAAAAACTTGATGTACAGGACTGAAGCATTAGAGGTCAGCTAAGGTAAATTTATCGACAGCGAATTTCTAATTTGGCATGAAAATAAGCAAACACTGACAGGCGGATGTTTTTATTCCAGTAGATCCAATATGGTCAGTTCGATTCGTTGGAACCCTAACTCGCCAAGAATGTTTTAATTCTTGACGAAATGCGCAGCCACGACATATTAGAAGTGTCTGCGAAAATTCAAACCAAACATTTGCATTGCTCAGCTATTACAGAATTGGTATTTTGAATTTGTTTGGTTCAAAACCCCTTGTGATCCAACTGTAACTGAAGTCAATTAGCTTCTTCAATCTGGGTGGAAACTTAAAGGCCATCAGTTTTTCTTTAAGTTGTGGCACAATTAAGCTGAGTATCTCAGTAGATGAATTCCTTTATTGTATTGTTAGGACTCACAAGTACAGCTCCAGATAAAAAGAAGTCCAAAGAGAATTTTTCAAATCTTGCTTAAGACATCCTCGGCCTTTGAAGTTTGAAAAAGACTGTCTTCGCTAACAGGCTCAGGAAACACCAATAAATCTGTTATCAAACACAGAAACTATGGCAAACCGATCTGAGGATGGAAACCATACTACAAATCAAGAGGCATTTTGCATCAATACGTCGTTTGGAAGAGAACTGCATCTGTTTCTTGTGGTGCTAAATATTTGCTTGGGTATAACCGCATTTACGTGGAATGCTCTCATTCTTGTCGCATTGCAAAAGTGTTCAGTTCGCCCCCCAACGAAATTGCTATTCCGCTGTCTTGCCAGCACAGATCTTTGTGTGGGTCTCATTCTACAGCCACTCTACGTTACTTATTTGGTGATCAGAGAATCTCCTAACGTTTGCCGTCTTCAAGGAACACTGACCAGTATTGCAAGTGGAATATTTTGTGGCATGTCGTTGACAACATTAACCGCAATAAGCGTGGAAAGACTTCTTGCCCTGTTGCTGGTTATGAGGTATAGGGAGGTAGTTACTCTAACACGCGTTCGCATTCTGGTGGCTATAATGTGGGCTTTCTGTGCTATCAGTTCGGTGCTGTTTTTCGTAAGTTTTTACGTCGTTGTAGGAATGGCCAGCGTCATTATGGTACTGTGTTTAGTTATCTCTGTCTTCTGTTACACGAAAATATATGTCGCTTTCAACCGACACCAGAGACAGTTGGCACACAATACCCCCCAGAGAAATTCCAAAAAACCTGGAGGAGATATTCTCCTGAGCACGCCACGATACAAAAAGACAGTTTCCTTCTCATTGTTATTGCAAATGGCGTTAGTGACTTGTTATCTTCCCTTTGCAATTGTTGCAGCCTTGTTTTCCTTCACCGAAGTACGATCGTCACTTCTTGATTTCGCTTGGTTCGTAGCATTGTCGGTCGTTATGTTTAACTCAACTCTGAACCCGATTCTTTACTTCTGGAAGATCCGAGATGTGAGACAGGCAGTAAAAGACACAATGAGAAAGCTTGTTGGTCACTAAACGCTTAAAATGGGATGAGACAGATGTCATGGATTAACAAAGAGAAACGGAAATGACTTTTTACCTGACTTTTTGCCAGAAGTCTTTATTTAGCTCTAAATACCTATTTCCTATGGAGTAATTCAGGATTGTATAGGTTCAAAATACTTATTTTATCAAGAGTCCTCATACCTTAAATTCTTTCTTGTCTCACTTATACATGGCTCGCACTTGTTGAAGGAAAAACAAAGAGCGGACGAGGAAAACCCTACAAGGGAGCCGTTCTTGATATTTGCTTCCCACCAATATTTATCCCCTCCCCCCCTCCCCCCACCATTTGTCCCTACAATAAATTAACCGGGCGGCTGTCACAGGCAATGAAGGAGATGGAAAATTGTTGAGATAAAAATGCAGTTTAATTTTTCAACGCAATTTCGGAAGGAGAATCTAACAGATCCTGGTTTAATTAAAAATTTTTACAGTTTTGGGATATATTTCAAAGACAATATCCTATCATGATATCCAAATCTGATAATTGCAGTATGATACAACCCTCTTGTTTTTGTCTGATAGTCATCTCAGTTTACCGACCAAAACATTAATTTAAGATATTTGTGGAGTTTCTCTTTGGCCTTTGATCACGAGTACAAAGTGTGCCGCTGTGATTTTCTCCTCTTTCCGAGCGATTTTTATTTCGTCCTAACGAAATGAGGGTACGATACTGAGTTAATGGCAAGGAAAGTTATAATTTAACAGGATCTTAATCGAAAAAAATAGATATTGATGAATCTGGCTAAATATGGTATCTGATCTCACTTACAAAGCTGCCGTGAGTCTCGCAGACATATTTTTCTGGCCCTAAAATTTTGTGCGTCATCCTGTTTCAGATAACCAATATTACGCGTGATTTTAATTAAACCATATCACTGAAGGTAATTTAGTAGATGAATGCATCTCTCGTGACACTATCCTCATCCAGACTGGTTAACCTCAGTAGCAGAGAACAAATGTAGGAAAATACTTCCAGGACGGAACTAAAACACTAAAGGACAGGTAAAGTTTATTTAGGGACAGTGAACTTGTAATTTAGCTTGAAAATGAGTAAAAGCGGTTGTCATTTTGTTTCAGTAGACTCAGTATCATTAGTTTGATCCACTAGAACCCCAACTCGCCTAAAATGTTCTAATTCTTGACCAAACGCGCTTTAGCCATGCATTTCCGCACAGGTAGAATATCTCGCAAATAGTCAACTCAAATATTTGCATGTGGTCATGCGATCAGCTATTACACAATCGGTATTTTGATTTCGCTCAGTTTAGAATCTCAAGTGATCGCTGAATCATAACTAGTTTCAATTAGCTTCTTCAATTTTGGTGAAATCTGAGGGTCACTTTTGCAATTGTGGTATGATTTAGCTCAGTATCTGAATGAATTCCTTTTCCTTGTTGTTAGAAATCACAGCTCCAACGTATTTAGTACCGAAGATCATAGTACATATCTTGCTTAAGATATCCGCATTCTTTGGAATTTTAAGAACACTGTCTTCGCCAACAGGCCGCTCAGGAAACACAAATAAATTTGTTCTCAAGACAAGAATATGGCAAATCTATCTGAGGATGGAAAACACACTACGAATCAGACAGAATTTTGCATCAATACGTCGTTGGGAAGAGAACTGCATCTGTTTCTTATTGTGCTAAATATTTGCTTGAGTATAACTGCATGTATATGGAATGCTCTCATTCTCGTTGCATTGCGTAAGTGTTCAGTTCGCTCAACAACGAAATTGCTATTCTGTTGTCTTGCCAGCACAGATCTCTGCGTGGGTCTCATTCTGCAGCCCTTCTACCTTACTTATATGATGACATCAGAATCCCTTAACATTTGCCCGCTTATAGCCACAGTGATCCGTATCGCAGGTGTAACATTTTGTGGCATGTCATTGACAACATTAACCGCAATAAGCGTGGAAAGACTTCTCGCCCTGTTGCTGGTTATGAGGTACAGAGAAGTGGTTACACTTAGACGCGTTCGTGTTCTGGTGACCATACTGTGGGCTTTTTGTGTTATCCTTTCGATGTTGTTTTTAGTAAGTTATCACATCGCTGTAGGATTAGTTAGCATCGTAATGGTATTGTGTTTAATTGTCTCTGCTTTCTGTTACACAAAAATTTATCTCGCTTTTAATCGACACCAGAGACGGTTGGCACACAATACTCACCAGGGAAATCCCAACAAATCTGGAGAAGAAACTCTCCTAAGCACACCTCGATACAAAAAGACAGTTTCCTTCTCACTGTTATTGCAGATAGCGCTAGTGACTTGCTATCTTCCACTTGCAATTGTCCTTGCTTTGTTTGCCTTCACCAAACTACATTCGTCAATTCTTGACTTCGTCTATAACATAACATTGTCTATCGTTGTGTTCAACTCATCTCTGAACCCGATTCTTTACTTCTGGAAAATCCAAGAGGTGAGACAAGCAGTAAAAGAAATCATCACAAAGGTTGCTTGCCACTAAACGGTAAAGATTTGATAAAACAGCTGTCAATGGACTTGCAAAAAGAAAAGTAAATGACTTTTTAATTGACTTTTTGATGTCTTTCTTTTAGCTCTAAAGACTAACTTACCGTAGACCAAATGAGAGTTGCACCGGTTCAAAAAACTTATTTCATCAACAGTCTTTATTGTCTTACTTTTACAAGGCTCGAAGTTATTAAAGGAGAGCAAAACAGCGGGCGAGGGAAAAATCCGCAAGCTGGGTTTTTGAGATTGAGTCCCCCCATCAATGTGATTTTCCCTTGCTGGCCCCACCTTTTCACTCGTTCTAAGATGAATTTTAATTAACTGAGTGGTTGGTACAAGCTATGGACGTGAAAGAAAATTATTGAATTTAAAAAGCAGTTAAATTTTGTGCATCCAATATCAAGAAGAACCTCTAACAGATCTTAGGGACAAGAAACCTTTGTATAGATTTAGGAACAATTAGAACAATATCCCACCACGATATCTAAATCCGGTAATGATAGTTTAATACAACCCTCCTGTATTTTTTCCTGGTCGACATCTCCGATCACGAGCCAAAGCATTAGGATATTGATGGCCCTCATCTTCAGCCTAAAGGGGTTGATGACGAGTACAAAGTGTGTTATTGTGATTTTTCTTTTCAAAAGCGATTTTTATATCTCCCAAACAAAACAAATGAATTAAGGTTGTATACTGAGTTATGGCTATGAAAGCTATTTCCAAATGGAATAAATAAATATTGATGAATCTGACCAAATGATAGTCAGAACAATTACAAAGCTCTTTCTTGTCTCATACACTAACATCTTCCTTGACTCTTTAACGTGTCCTCTCGTTTCGTGTAAACAATATCACGCTTGATTTTAGCAAATAACAAGCTAGTTTTAGTAACTCAATACACCTTTCAATACAACATCCTTGTCCGGCTGAGTTAGCCTCAATAGGAGAGGAAAAAATCAGGGAAAAACTTCAAGTAGGAAACTGTAAAGGACAGGTAAAGTATATTTATGGAAAGTGAAATTCTAATTTGGCTTGAAAACGAGTTAAAAGGGCAGGCATTTTTGCCTCAGTTTGATCCGGTAGGACCCCAGCTTGCCAAGAACGTTCTACCACTGGACAATTTGAAAATGTGTAGCCACAGCATATCAAAAATAGTTTATCTCGCGAATAGTCAAAACAAGTATTAGCATTTGCGTAGATAACTAGCATAGAATGTTCTAACTCTTGACCCCGCAAATCAGAAATAAATTATCTCACGATCGAGATGAATCAAACCATGCAAATATTTGCATTTGCTTAGCCATTACATGATCGGTATTTTGTTCCCCTTAGTTTGAAATTCTCAATGATCCAATCATTACTGGAGATCATTAGCTTCTTCCATTTGGTTGAAACTTGAAGGCCAATGTTTTCAATGGCAGCATGATTAAGCTTTGTATCCAGATGAATTCGTTTATTCTATTATTAGGACTCACAGCGCCAAATAAAGGAATACTGAGGAACATGTTACATATCAGCCTTGAAGCTTAAGGAAGTTAAGACTGTCCTTGCTGAAAAGATCAGGAAATATCAAAAAATCATTCTGTTCTTATGACACGAAAATGGCAAATCTATTTAGGAATGGAATTCACAGCACCAAACAAGCAAATTTTGCGTCATTAACACATCGTTTCGAAAAGAACTACACGTGTTTCTTGTAGTTAGTGCTAAATATCTGCTTTTCTATATCTGCATTTACGTGGAATGCTCTCATTCTCTTAGCTTTACGAAAGTGTTCAATTCGCCCCCCCCCCTCCCCCACGAAATTGTTATTCCGCTGTCTCGCGAGCACATTTATCTCTGCGTGGGTCTCATTCTGCAACAGCCGCACGTTACTTATTTGATGATACCAGAAACCCCCTAACATTTGCCATCTTATTGGAATACCGATCAGTATCGCAGGAGGAATATTTTGTGGAGTTTCCTCGACCAAATATACCACAATAAGCGTGGAAAGACTTCTCGCCCTGTTTCTGGTTATGAGGTATAGGGCAGTGGTTACTCTTACACGCGTTCGTATTCTGTTGACCATTCTGTGGGCGGCTTTCTGTGGTATCAGTTCAGTGCTGTTTTTCGTTCGTTTCTACGTCGCTGTAAGACTCTGAAAACAGACCACTTGATAAGGGATTACCGCTTAATACAGTGCTGCTTAATACCGGTTCTACAATTGTAAGACAAAAGCACGAATGATAGAGTAGAAGTAATTTAATAATGGTCGAATTATATTTTCCGGCTTTTATCAGAGTAATGCTGCCTTGCGGGAAGATACATGAGAACAAATTGTGGTACACATTATGATGCTGGGTCAGGAAACAATGATAAAACTAGCGAGCAAATTTCCGGGGTGAAAAGAAGGGAGGCATTGGTGTCCTTGACAGTACGTTACTTTCAGGACCATTTGGCCGAGAGATCCTCTCAGCCTGCCATCAAGGAGGCTGGAAAACACGAACATGAATAGAGAGCTCAATTGATTAGGAACCGAGCCAGGGGGATCCTGGTAAGTCTTGAGGTACTAATGAGGCCCCTCTTTGGCTTGTATGATGATTTGTGACTAAGATATACAGTCGAATCTGTATTTAGAGGAACCATATTAAGCGGTCACCCTATATTAAGCGGTCAGTAGTCAAAGTCCCTATTTTGTTTCCCCTTAATCACTGTAATTTCACCTCTATTAAGCGGTCGTGGTCACCCTTTACGAAGTCCCAACGGCCTGTTTGTATTGCCCTCCACCTGTATTGAACCGTCACAGAAAGCGAAACCACTCAAATAAAACTAAAAATAGTATTTCAAGTAATTTTTAATTCATGTTTCTCTTCCATAACCAAAGTAAGAGATTCTGTACGTTAAGAGGTCAAAGAGGCGCTGTTTATGGTTTTCTATAATACCCCTAATAAACGGAACCCGTATGAAGCGGTCACTCCGCCATTCCCCGTGGGCGACCGACTGTCTTTACAGAATCATATAACCTATGTAATTTGCTTCTGAAGAACCAAGAATCTTAACCAGTGCTAGACTCTGTTTTTTCGTTTGCCGGTCCGTCTCGCTGCATAAATAGATACAAGCCCGTTGATACGCATGGACGGGCAGCGATAAAGGCCGTTTCAAGTAAGGCGCAGAGAAATTCGTGACTGTTGATAGGAGTACTTGCTGGGTGATACTGAAAAAGAAATCTCATTCAAACTAAATATATCTATTGAATATACGCGCTGAGAATTTCAGTTAACTAGCGTCAAATCACCCGTACCCAAAGATATATTAAAAATATTTCGATGCGCTTACAGGCCCCCTATTAAACCAGCTTTAGTTTGAACTGGGTCGGCCTGTTTAAATGTTTCCAATAGATATTAGAACGAATACATCAAACTTTTGGGACCACCTGCTAAAGCAGGCCTCGGTCGTACGTGCTGATTTGTCAACTCATTAACACTCGCGCTTTTCTAGAAGACCTTAGACCTAACCCTAAGCAAAGGAATCTTATTTGCTATGTTTTTCAAAGGTTGTATAGGCCCTATTACTTTTCAGTAGTCCTGTAAGTCTCCTACTGATTCACTGAATCAATTTTGGTGCTGAGTGAAGCCAAAAATGACGCCAGGATAATAGAAAATCAGCTGCGTTTCCGTGCTCAAAGGTTGTTCGTGTCTAACCATGTCTGTGTGCCAATGGCAACTGACCCGGAAATTGTCTGTTGTAAAAGCACGCCACCAATCATATTGCTTTACCAAAATAAGACTATGTTTTGCAATGTCATCATAACACGCGCGATGCCGCGAGGGCAAAGAATGACGTATGATCACGTGAGGTTGACCGTTTCGTACCAGTCTCAGTCTTATTCTCACCGAAACATGGAGCGGGTCGTGTGGGAAATTTTCGTACTTTTGCTGTTCTCCCTGGCCTCAGAATGTGGGGGAATTTCGGATAAGGCGGCTGAAGAACCTAGAAAAAGACATTTGTTCGTACAAAGAAGCCAACCGCTGCCTGGCTCTTCGAAAAAGTTGTTGAAGATTGAATACGAAGAACCACCTCGGTTCAGTGCTGAACAAGAGGAACCTGAATTCTTGCGACGAGTTCGTCGATCGGTGGATCCCGACATGAATCCCGAAGCTCACGTGGTAAAATGCTTCATTCTTTAAAATAATTGTCGAAAATATGTGTTGGCGAGGTAGAGAGACTTTCAAGCGTTCGGTACATACGCGATTGTCAAAGCAATATAATTATTAAAACTATGATGTCATCGGCTGCATGCAAACACCTTTAAAGTTCTTCCATATAGTTTACATTTCTAACAAAAGATTATTGCTCAGTTTAACTTATGGGGCATTTTTAAAATGCATATATGAGTCAATGATCGTCGAGGTTTTTGCATCTGCTAGCTTTGCATAAGTACAGTGTGGTTCATACCAAAACAAATTTAATGCGAACTTCCTGCTTCACTGATCAAAATTGGAGCGATATTTGTCGGAGCAGAGAATTTGACCTGAAGATCTAAATTTTATTTTCAGTAGTTCTGAACGGTTGTGATATAATATTTCTCCACCGTTGTACAGACTCGTTCAGCTTAGAGTTATTTCTGGCGATGATAATGTGCAGTGTTGATCAAGTATGTGAATTTCTTGTGAGTTTCGCACCGAAGCCGTTTTTTAGCGGCAATTGTCAACAAGGAAAAATATCAGAGCACTTCTGCACAATATTTTTGGTTGTATTAACTTTAACATGTGACAGTTTTTGCCAGGGAATTGCATACGATGTAGTGCTAGTCTTTTCGGTTGGTTTCAATACTTTAATTAAGACGTTTTGAAAAGTGCACAAAAATGATGTTTAATGATCACATGACATGGTGGTAGAAATATTTTCAATCGCATTTGTTTGGTAACTACAAACTAAACGTTTTCCAGTGCCAATGATCCACATGTTTGTTTTAAAGTTTGTTTCAGACCACACAGCAATAAATCTGGTTAAAGTCTGTGATGTCACTCTCCCCTGATATCATACTCTTTTGTCAGTCTTTTAAGCTTTTGATAATGCTGTGTTCCTAGAGGACCATTTTTAAAAATTTAGGATGCTCAAATGTGCAAAGCTTTCATTCAAGCACAGTTTTTTAGGTTGCTGTAAGGAAAATGTTTGTTACCTTTGGTGTCTATGCTCGGTTTGAGCACACCCCTTGTGTAAGTAGGTTAATAAACACTGTGAACCAGTTTGTGTTTCGAAGATCCAATGCACATCTTGTATTTTCTTTAACTGGAAAGTCTGGATCTTATAGTTGTGGTCTCTGACTTACACTTGGGTGGTGCAATATACTCAGGAAAGGTTTGGCACAATTTCAAGTTCTTCTATTACAAAGGAAATTTTATTCTAGATACGCATGTGTTTTGGTTATCTGATATCTTGAACTATCACATACTGTATGTAATTTCAAATTTTAAGGACTAGGCTTCAGAATGCTTATCAAGACTCCACCATGTCGAAGTTTTTTTATATTTTATTCCAAAATTCTAGAGCATATTTTGTGCCCATTTAACCAAAGAATTATTACATAATGTTTTGAAAGAATTTCTTGATTAATCAGTAATGTTGTGTCTCACTGCATTTCTTTATCAGCTGCACTTATGTTTCTATTGTTGGCTGAAAAGTTACTGTAGAGTTGAAGAATTCTACGCATACATGTATGTTGACAATCAGCTATCTTTTGAAACAAATCTAATGAACAGTTACAAAAATTAAGTGTCATGGCTCAGCGAAAACACAGCATTGTCTCTAGTCTTTGTATTATAAACTATATGTTAATGTGCCTGTCAAAGAAAGTGCCGTTCAGCTGTACGTGTATTTGCATAAAGCAATAATTTCCCAAAACGCATTCTGCTTTTATAATGTAAAATTTATTTCTGTCAAAATGAAGCTTTCCATGGCATATGTTTTAATCACCTGAAGTTTTGAGGACTTATATTTTCAATCATTTTACTTTCAGTATGATTGTGAAATACTACAAAGTAAACCATCTGTTTTTTAGATTATGTAGAATCTTGTCATACCCCAAGTAGGTTTTACTCAAACTGGATTTTATAAGTATTCTTCTCTTCGTTGGAGAGAGTGGCAGCTGGCTTTTCCTAAGAGTTAGAGTCTGGCTAATGTAACATCAAAACAAAAACTAAACAACCAATTCCTTAAAAGCAAAACAGGAGCCTTGGTGTGAAATTAAAACAGAGCAGAAAGTGCATGGGAGATCATTGAGTGCCTAGCAATGTTTATTTAAATGTGAGAGAAAAGAATTTACAAAAGAAATGTAACTTGATAATTAATTTAGAAGGAGTCTCTGAAGTCATGCAGGGTTGGTAACACATTAAACTGGGATAAAAACCACTGCCTCTAGAGATGAGAAAGGAAAACAGAGTGCAAGCGAAGTGGAATTTTGTGAAGGGTTGATGAACATTACATTGGGTAACGATTTACTAAATTCTTGAAAAAAAGACAGACTTTTAAATGGCAAAAGTTTTAATATTTCAGATTGGAGTTTATTGTGTTGAGGTCAGTTTATCTCATGCATTTTTAACATGGTTAAATTGCCAAAAGTGTTGAATAGTCTGAGTATGAATTTTATGGTAATTGTAAAAAAGATTAAATTTCTTTGGAACCATTTGTCTAATGTGGATAAATATATTTGATGTTAAAAGGTTGTAATTTAAACATTATTCAATTTAACTCAACACTACTTTTATATTTTCCTTTGTTACAGAAACATTACTTTACAGTCCTTAACCCTTTAACTCCCAGAAGTGACTAACATGTAACTTCTCCCTATAATATCCATGCATTGTCCAGCAAACAGGTGATGAGAATACCCAAACTTATCAAGGTGAAGTTGGTATCTTGATACAACACCAATTTCTTGTAACTGATTAACAAGGAAATGTGTAATAGTAAGAGGGGAGAATTAACAATCAGATCTTGGGAGTGAAATGATTAATTAAAGAAAAAATATTGAACAAGCTACATGTAATTTGGAATTATTTTAACTTGGAAACCTTTTTAAAATACAAGATTTGTACTGCTCAAGCAAGGACTCAGATTGTTTCTTTTTGTAAGTGGCTGCTGACGGTAGAACAATTATGCAGCCATGAGCATGTAGTTTGTCTTGCAAATAATAAAATCTTAACAAACAACAGCATAGCAGTAGCAGACTGTTGGTAATTGGCTTTTATTTAATCCATTGAATCCCAAGACCAGATCAAGAGGGGGCATTGGGGTAGCAGCTAGAGGGGAGGGTTGAAAATCAGATCTTGGGAGTTTAAGGGTTAACCTTGTAACTTCCAGATGTGATGAACATGTTACTTCTCCCTTTTATAATTCGTGTATTGTCTGGCAAACAAGTAGTAAGAATACTGGGTACTCAAACTTATCCGGCAGAAGTTTTTATCTTGATCTAACACTGAATTCTTGAAACCAATGTTTGAAACAATTAACATAGAAATGTGTAGCTGCTAAAGGCGAGAAATAGCAATCAGATCTTGGAAGTAAAAGGGTTAAAACTTTGTCTTTAAAGAAACCTTGGATACTTTGTTACATTCTCTTATTTTTATGGACACTTACATGTATTTTTTTTTTTATTAACAGTTTAGGTTTAATGACAGTCATTACCATGCCTATGTGCATTGGGCTGGAGATCACAGGGATACCATCGTAGTGTTGATGCGGGATCCTATCCCTACAGCGCGGAGCAACAGTCATGTGTGGATATCTAGGAACTATGGTCAAAGCTTTGTGAATCGTACTGGCTCGTTTAGGACTCCAAATGGATTTGCACTCATTGACATGTTTTATCCTTCTCCTTTGGATAATACAAGAGTAAGTGAAGGGTGGGACATTCACTTGGTTTGAGGAAATTTTGTCAAATTGGCCATTTTTGTTACTGCATGTATTACTAGGTGTGGCAGAGAGGTTTTGTGTAGCCCTGTGGTGATATTAACAGTGGACATCAAAGACGTTACTTTTTTTGTCCACTGTTCTCAGGTGGAGTTAAAGTTTATTTGGTTGAAATTTTTAGGAGTAGATATTGTAAACAGGGAGAATCTGGAGGAAATCCCTTGGCAAAGATAAGAATAAAGAGCAAACTCATCTCAATCTTGATAGCTGTGCACAATTTGTGATCTATTATATTGTGCCAGGTGTGGCCTATAAAACCTTCTACAGTGTTGGTGGAGTTCACATTTTCTTGTCTGTACAGAGCTAAGTTTCATCAGAGTCTACTGATGAAGATACTGTACTAAGTAACTTATGTCATCTACTGATTGGACCAGATAGTGTGATTTATGTGAAATTTTATTTTTTCCTTTCAGTATCTCTTTGTTGACAGACAGCACCGGATGATATACAGCACATTAGATGATTGTCAGACTGTTATAAACAGCAGTGTTAGCTTTGTTGCAGATGAAATCACCTTCCACTCAACCATTAAAGATGTTGTTGTAGCTTATGATGCATCAGCAAAAAAGGTATGTTTTCTGAACCCTTAATACCTTAATATCATCATCCATGTTCTCCATCCTCTTCTCTATACATTTCTTGCTGTACAGACAAGGAGAATTCATTTAACAATCAAAGCGGCTTATGTTAATGATTATTTCTTTTAAGGAGTAATTAGATGCTGGTTACTCCAAGGGTTGAAAAGGTTGAAATTTAATGGTTTAACCCCTGAGAGTGACTGGCTTGGGATTTCTCCTTACAGTCTCACCCTTGGATCAAAACTAATTACCAATTTAAGAAGCTCCTACAGTTGTCAAACAAATACTCTTTGTCAGTACCACTGGTATTTTAAAGCAAACAGTGTGGAGAATATGAATGCTGATGTTGGGTGCAAAGAGTGAACCAATGCCTTATAGTTATGCAGCAGAATCACTGGGAAGGTTTCAACTAATGCTCAGAAGTGTACTATACACCCTTTGAAAGCTTGCGACCTGTATATATTAAAAAACATCAACATGAGGAACTATTAACAGTATCAAGGAGATATAAGAGAACTGACTCAAAACTGAAAACATAAAACATGTATCAACTGCCAAATTTTTTAAGTACTGATACTCTTAGACAGATCCTCAGTTGAAACTCTTAGAGCACAGCCTACTGTGGTGTTACTAGTTTTACAATCCAGGTGTATTCCAGAAAAAAAGTTGAAAAATTGCAATGGTGCTTGGATTGGAGGGGTGGAAACGTTGTTACTTCAGTTCTTTGCATGACAAATTTTGGAAATCCATCACATATTCATCAAATATTCACAAAGTTGTGGAACTTTATGTCAAGGAAACTTTGTCTTTGGGGTGAAATGGTTAAAGCACAGTACAATTTATGTTACTTTTAATGTACACCTTACAATATGTGTAAAAGTTGGTTAGAGATGAGCAGTACCAGAGCAGAGAGGTACTTTTACAATGTACTTGTAGAGCGAGGGATAAGATAGGTCAATATTTGAAAACTTGACTGAATAGATACTCCTCTTATTTCACAGCTCTACTATTCTGCTGATTTTGGGTTCTCTTGGAACTTGAAAGATGAGAATGTTGTAACATACTTTTGGTAAGTCTGTTTTGTCTTGTGATGTTTTTTCTTATACTTTATGTAGCCTTTAACCATGCGTAATATTTTTGTATGATCTTTCACAATAGGGGCATTCTTCCATGGGACAATCCCAACACTTTATATATTGAGCGCGAAGAGTACGCAGGTACAGCTGTATGCTTATTTATAAAATAATCTGAGTAATGCATGCATTTTGAGTGGTTCTTACCTATGATCTATGAGATGTACAGTACCACTCAAAAGTAGGTTGACAGGTCCTCAAAAATTGATCTTTGATCCTCAATTCTCAATCCTCGATTCTTGAAAAACTGTGAGGATGGAGGCTTGAGTAAAGTTTCAAGATGTTCAAGTTGAGTATCAAGACCCTCAAAACTCAGTGCTTTTCTCAGTATTTTTGGTATTTTTTTTAGTAGTCAGCAAGGGAATAAAGTGCAGTATGTAGTGGGCTGGAAACAAGTGATTGCATAAAGCAACCAAGCAACTATTCCTCTGGCACCTATTCCCCTTGTTTTTTGTAATTTTCTTCACAATTTTATGTGATCTTTTTGAGTAAATTTGAAAATACATGTTTGCAATAGGAAAAAAATTTATTTCAGATCAAGACAGTTTTTTTTTACTGCCTTCTTACATAAGCCTTTGACCCATAAGAGTGACTAGTATCTAATCTCTCTTTACAAAATTATCCCTGAATCACACATTGAGGTCATGATAATTAAGGAAATGATCACCAACTAAAAGAAGCTTTTAACCCCTTAACTCCCAAGATAAAATTATTAATTCTCCCTTCTAGCTGCTACACATTTCTTTGTACGTTCGTTATAAGGATTTGATGTTAGATTAAGATATAAACTTCTACCTGATAAGTTTGAGTCTTCTCATTACCTGTTTGTTGGATACTGTATGGATATTATAGGGAGAAGTTATATGTCAATCACTTCTGGAAGTTAAAGGGTTAATAGTTAAACAAGTCTTCCTTGTCAGAACCTTATACATGAAGAATAGTACGAAGGATATACATACCTGTGCTGATGTTAGGGTGTAAAGGGTTAAATTGCAGTGCAAATATATGAATTCACTTGGATGTTTATTTGGACCCAATTCATTGACCAGCTCCTAGTTGGCTTGTTAGCTCAATTGGTAGAGCGCTGCACCGGTATCGCAGAGGTCATGGGTTCAAATCCCATACGGACCTGAATTTTTCCAGGTCCTATTTACAACTACTCGTTTCAGTAGTGTTCTTAGCTGCGTGGATCTCTTAATTTCATCTCTCCACCACAGTGCAAATATATGAATTTTCATATATCTAAAATCATCAGGTTAAATTTTGTTTCCTCCAATTTTCAGGTGGCTATTCCAATGTGGTTAAAACTGACTATTTTTCCCACTTCTCGGCACTGTTGATAACACATGTTGAGGACTTTGAAGTTATTGATAACTACATGTTTGCCACACAAGTTAACACAGTGAGTATTCTTACCCAGTTTAAATGTACAGTTGTAGTACAGTAGTTAATTTAAATGGGTCAACTAATGTGCATTAACAACACAGACTGAGATATTGGTGTTTGTTTGCCAGTCATTGGAAACGAATGTTTCTACAATCTCTGCAAACATCAGGTTCAGGGTGTGATATGGTGTGTTTCCATGTCAGTCTATACTGTAGCTTGTTGATTAATGTAGGGTGCTGAGGAGACAAGAAGATGCCTGAAAAACACCCCCTGATAAGTTGCACAGAAGCACTCTCTTATGACAAAAACAAACACGTGTAGAGCTGATGAATGAAACAGTGAGGCAGTTTCTTTTCAGCTAGGAGAGAAATGGCTTTCACAAAACCTCCTCTGTAGTCACAAATATGAGCTATTATTTGCTGCACTCTATAAAATTATTTTCCAAACAAAAAGCTGCGAGTATAGCTTCCATTAATCTATTTGACAAATTTTCTCCCATTTGATCATAAACGATACTTGGAAGCATCAAACAACTGCACTCAAAGGTTTATCAGCCATAATTTGTTTGGTGCAAAGTGGTATACTCTGGTGAAATGATGTGGCTGTTTTTTTTCATCAACAAAAAAAATGGCATCAACAAAAAAGTGGCTTCACAAAAATGTTCTTGCTGATGCAAATACGAGTTGATATTTGCCGCACTGTATATCCTCCAAATGACAATCCATGAGTGTAACTATCTTTAATCCAATCAAAGATGCTTATTCCATTTGATCATAAAAAATATGTTGAAGTTGGCATATGACAATTACACTCGAAGCTTTCCTGTCATTATTTCTTTCATAAGAACCAACACTGAAATATCAGGCTTTTCCAAAAGCCAGTTGGCAACATGACCAGTACATCATTTCCTGAAACCACTGTAGAAATTGTTTCTTTTGGTTCCAATTTTACTGCACAAGACATATTAAACTCTGAAAGACACTTAAGTGCTTCCTCAAGAGGGAATTTGAAACTAATAACTTCACAATCTCAGTTTCCCATCATTCTCTTTGAATGATGCCCAAATGACACATTTGGCTTGTGATTGACAGCTGGAGCTTAACTGCACCAATCAGGAACTCTGTCGGGTGAACCGAGTTTTGCAAAATAGCAATGACTTTGGGCAGGTGTAATCTTCACTCCCTGACCCACACCCCTCTCCTACTTTTTACTGTTGACCACCCCCTTGGTACAAATCTCTTTCTCTCTTCGGCCCTCTGCTGCCATAAAAATCAAAGATGGCGGCTGTAATTTTCATTAAGAAAATTCTAAGCAATTGCTCACCAAAATTACACCTGCTCTGCAGGCTACCCTGATTCTGACCATACAATGCTGTAAGTGTTTATTGTTTGCAGCCACATATGCTGTCAGTTCTAATTTGTAACCTTCTCCTCATTTTCAGTCCCACCAAAACTTAGGGAACATGATTCCTGTATGTGCTTCAAGTCAACCATTAATTTTTAAATGTTATATAACTGTAGTTATCATTTTTCACAGTACAGTCGATTTGTTTACGTTATAATTATTCCTAGAACACACTGTAAGCGCATGTATTTTGGAGTGAGTTTTGTTGATTTCCTCTGGAAGCACAGTGTTTAAAGTTGTCTTTGCGAGAGTTTCAAAATTTTTGCTGATTTTATCCGTGAGCAGGGAGAACTTCATGTATTTTTTAGATCTTTGGGTGAAAAGCTGTACTTTCCTTTTTCTTTTAGTCCTCAGGGCGTCGTGTCCTTACTCTGATGGTATCTGTGAATCGAAGTGATTTCCATCCAGCTGAAATTCCCTCAGATGCTCCATCTCAGGTTTGAATATTTCAAATACTCTTTGATTGTTGTTACAGGACTGGTTAGTGATATTCCTTGTCTCTCAGTTAGTTCATGTACGTGCGCAATGACTGTTCAATTTTGCTGGCTGTGATAAGTCTAAGACCCCCTCGATTAAAAAAAAAAAACTTTTTCATTTGAAATCTCCCCCCTCTGTTTATTCCTTTAACTCCCTTGAGTGACCAAGACATAATTTTTCCTTACAATATCAATACAATATCAACCACATAAGTGATAAGAGTAAAGGAAAATATCAATTTGGGGATAATTAGTTGATCCAGTACTTAATTCTCTGAACTAACATTATAAGAATTGTAAGGTTGACAGCATGGTCATGTTACTGTGCTGAATTGAAGTGAACTTAAGGATTGCTCTCTCTGACCCTGAAAATACAGTGTAGATTGTTACATGTTTATGTAGTTATGGGAAAATATTGTTTGCCAGCACTGAACTCAGTGACCAATATTGATCCAAAAAAACTTGTGACCTCTCTCGGAAAAACGTACACTAACGGCTTTCCTTTAAACGGGTGAAACGCACGGCTACCGAACGGGTAACAAACGGGTAACTCACCCGTTTGAACGGATGCTATCGAACGGCTGAACGGGTTATTAAGTATTCCGAATGGCTTGCGTAAATTTTCGAACGAGTTACCCAAACGTCTGAACGGCTTGCCAAAATTTTCTTACGGGTTACCCAAACGACTGAACGGCTTGTCAAAATTTTCGGACGGGTTACCCAAACGTCTGAACGGCTTGTCAAAATTTTCGAACGGGTTACCCAAACGTCTGAACGGCTTGTCAAAATTTTCGAACGGGTTACCCAAACGAGTGAACGGCTTGTCAAAATTTTCGGACGGGTTGTGAGGCGTGAGTGGTCCAGTGGTCTGAGCGCTGGACTCTGGGTCGGACGGCCCGGGTTCGAGTCCTGGCCGGGGCACTACGTTGTGGCCTTAAGCAAGCCGCTTCACTCACCTTGCTTCGTCTTCTCGGATAAGACGTTAAGCCGGAGGTCCCGTCTCCTGCAGGGTTTGGGGTAGGAGACGTTAATTTCCCACGCACGAGATTACTGTGTGATGGATGTCCTCCCCTGGGTTGGGTTGGGTGGATTTAAGAGGGGTAGTGCCCCGTATGGGACTCCATGTCCCGCTGCACTAACCCAATTGGCGTCTGTCTATTAGTAGACGTACCCAATAAAGTTGTTATAAAGGTTACCTAAACAACTGAACGGCTTGTCAAAATTATCGAGCGGACCACGCAAACGACTGAACGGCTTGTCAAAATTTTCGAACGGGTTGACATAGACGGATGAACGGGGTTATGATTAATTTCGAACGGCTCATGAAAAACGCTCGCCATAAAGGCCGAACGGGTAGGTTATCCCTCCGAACGAATGCACACATCCGGTCCGATTCAGGTTTTGTTGAAACCTCACGTTTTAGTGTACGTTTTTCCGTGAGAGGTCACAATTGGTTCAGTACCCCATCTCAACACTCCTTCATATTACATTTTCTGGATTGAGTGGCTCACAGCCATTTTGATTTTGTCCAGGGCAAGTAGCAGGACTCTACATATATTTATAATAATAGTTCGAATATAGACGTACCGTCATTGGTTGAAAGAGCGTGCTCTATGAGAGTATAGAGCATAGAACTGAGCTAAAGTTGTCACGCCATCTGCCAAATTGTACTATGTCCGACCTTTTCCGAGACTTCTTTCGAGCTTTTCTTTCGTTAATTGACAGTGAAATTTCGGAACAAGCGAGCAAAGGTTTGCAAAAATGCCAGGTGCATAAGTTAGGTTACTGTAACGTGAGCAGAGACAAATCCTCAAAGATAAAATAAAATAGACAGTCCGAGTTTTAATGGTTTTCACGCTCAGTTAGATTGCATGTTTACGTACGGTAATAAAAATCAAACATAGCTAACACTTGTATAGTATATAAAGTTTCATTTTCAAAAACAAAACAGGAAGGATGAAAAATATAACCTGGCATAACTGTTAAAATTCATACTAATCGTGACGGTGTCGGAGCGACTGCGATCATGCTGAGGTCTATTGCGACTCGCTCATCATGGCGATCTACGGTCATCGCAATGGAGCAAGCCTCAGGAACTAAATCGACTACCCTTCGAGTGGAAAAATAGAAGCTAATTCTGATTACCTTTCCGATGCGTTGAGTGGAAGGCCTCATTAGTCACCGCAGCCGAGTTTTACGTCGCTGTCAATCCGAGCGATCTTCATATCCTAGTGAATTCGGCTGTTGTTCATTCCTAATGCACTGGGCCTGAACAGTTTGTTTTCTACTTGTCATGTGAAATAACTCGCGTATTTTTTGTGAGCCACGACTGGGCCGAATTTCACTGAACATTTCACCTTCAGATTCTGTATTAGAAACTGCAAGAGTGTTAAATTCGACATTCCGAACTATTTTGTAAACTATTGCAGAGTATGAACTTTGATGGTTTGACATTTTTGACAGCTTTAGTCTTGTACAGCCAATCAGATTATTTGAACCGCTCTAACAGGGATTATGACTAGCTTATTGTAGCGTGCTTTATGAGAGTATAGAGCATGCTGACGACACTGTTGTTCTCTTTGGAAATGAAATTTGTTTTGAAAATTGAAAGTAATTCTTGGAGAATTTAACGGATTCTTTATTATAAAACTAATAGAGAAGCCTTGACTGTGTTCTGTTCTGTTGTAAAGCACTCAGGAAGCGGCTAGAGCACTCAAGGGTTAGAAGCTAACTCCTACTCAAGAAGTAGGCAAAAACACTTGACTACGTCTCGTGTTTCCCCCTACACTTCTTTCGTACTTTAGCCGCTTCCTGCGTGCTTTACAACAGAACAGAGCGCAGTCAAGGCTTCTCTATTTGCTAAGTGTATTCTATATTCTGTGATTGGTGGATTTAGCTTAGTGGAACTATTATGATTGGCCGCTTACCTTAGGTGTCCCATTACAGCCAAATGTTCGACAACAACTGTACAGAATGATCAGTGAAAAATAAAGCAGCTAATGTGTCAATCACATTTGAGGAAATTGTAATGGTTATGATTAATATAGCTCTTGTATGTACTTACCAGGATTTCTATGTTGTCGATGCGTCTGAAAATCAAGTTTTCCTAGCAGTCACTCACGATCGCAGAACTACTCATCTCTACATTTCGGGCACTTCTGGCCGTAAGTACAGCTTGTCTTTGGAAAGGGTGCTATATTTCTCTCCAAACACCACCACGGCTTGGCTGAGGTAAGACATTGTTTTTAGTTTCTACAATGATTTCATAAAGATGTTGCAAGACTCTCCTGTCATGAAGCTCACCCAATTCGTTCTGAATGATTTGTTCCTGCATCAGGCACTACATAGATTTCTCGTTTGTTGACCTTCACAAAGTCCAAGGCTTGAGAGGGGTGTATATCGCAAGTCAACTCACTGTTGGTGCAGTGGGTACTCGGCGTATCATGACCAAGATAACATTTGACAAGGGTGGAATGTGGCAGCCAGTTAGTGCCCCTAAATATGACAACCTTGATAAACCTTTGAATTGCAGTCTGGTGAGTCCTAGTTAGTTCTTAAGATGAAATGTGACAAGAATGTCACATGTCTCCTGTTTAAAATAGTTATTGTTATACAGCATGCATATTGTATATGTAATTTCTCTAGTAAGCTTTCCTATCTAGTAGAACTTCAAGTCTCTCTCTCTCTCACAACTCCCCTTTTTCAATAGACTTTCTATCTTTTCACTCCCCCAGATGAAAGTTCTTTGAGTATTACTTGTAGTTGAGTTGTTGTTTATTAGGGCTTGGTAGTGTTGAAGTATGAAATATACTGGCATCTGAAAGCCTTTGCCAGTTCCCATGTTAAATGTTGTCTTAACCAAAGAAAGGCGTACACATACTTAGGGCTCCAAGCTGGAACTGTTTTTGGTTGCTTTCATTGGGCAGTTTTGGACATTAATAGGCCATGCACATGTATGGGGTATATTTCTGGTTGGAAAGTGTTATCATTATACTTTTTATCTCTTTCCCAGCCAAATTGTTCTTTACACTTGTCGCAAAAGTTCGGCCAGTACTACCCCTACACCCGCTACTCTCCTATGAAGTCATGGACTGCAGCCCCAGGCATCATAATGGCGACAGGTACATTGAAGTGCAGTTTTTTTGTTTTTCTCTATGTCGCATTATGTGAATACTCCTCCATTCCTCTTTTTTCTCTTTCACCTCCTCTTCTTTCTTTAATCACTTGCTGTATCTGCAAGTTTTAAAATACATTTACATTGACCCTTCAATTCCCAGAAGTGATTAACATGAAACTTCTCCCTATAATATCCATACAGTATCAAGCAAACAGGCAATGAGAATATTCAAACTTATCTGATAGCAGCTGCTATCTTGATCTAGCAACAAATTCTCATATCTAATTTACAAGGGAATGTGTAGCAGCTAGAGGGGAGAATTAACAATCAGATCTTGGGAGTTAAAGGGTTAAAGGGAACCTCATTTTGCATATACAATACTTCCACCACCATCCCCTTCTTCTGTAAACTTCCACCTCCTTTTTGCTCCCATTGTAAAAGTTATCATAAAAATAATAATAATAATAACTTTATTTTCCGAACCGGCTCACGTCAGCCTGTCTAGCCCTACACACGCCGCTTTCACTGTGGTTTTGTATGGGCTTACGCGGGTCATATGATAATATTCTCTATTCCGTCTTACTTTGACTTTCAATGTACTCAGGTTACTGACATCAATGCCCATATTGTAAATTTTCAGGTACCTATGGCAAAAACTTGAGACTGAACAGTGACATCTTCCTGTCAACAGATGCAGGCTTGAACTGGCACATGGTAACCAATTGCATTTGTATAATAAGCTGCATAACGCACACTCTGATTGGTTCTTTCTTATGAGCTTGTAGGAGGGCAGAGTCATAGATACGTCCCTATTAACAATTTTCAGTTTCTTTATTATATGAAACAATTAAATTTCATGTTGCCGCGAGTCTGTACAGTAAGAAATCACAGAGGATGTCAAAATGTGATAAGAACAGCAGTGACACACTCAATCTACCTGTGTTACCGAACAGACGTACACCATCATAGAATATATTAAATCTAAATGTGCCATTGTAGAAGTCTAATTTGCTGAGTTTACTAATATTATGGTAATTCTAACAGCCTAACGGAACTGAAGACATCATCACTTAAACCAATTCAGTCTCAAAGAAAATACAAGGAAGGGCTGCACATACAACCTGCTTATCACCCAATCATGATTTTTTTGTGCTTTTGATTGGTTGATATGATGGCATAAGATTTCCACACCAATCACGCATTACTGTCGAAGAAAGCCTATCCAATCCTATATACATACACTTTTAACATTCCATTGAAACCTGCTTTGAAATATTTGCGAAAAGTTTGTGGTACAAGTTATGTGTAAGATATCTCAATACAAAGATGATCTCGCTCTGTGGTCACTTCTGTGATTTTAAATGGCTAGAGTGGCATTTTAAAAATTTTCTGGTCTTTCTGTTTAAGCTACATATACTTCTTTTTTTTTTTTTTTCTTTTAAGTGTATTTTGACGACGCTAGTACTAGCGGCACTAACACTACTAGCAAGGGAGGATTCTAGGGTATTGAGCTTACTTTTTATTTTCTCAGATTCTGAAACGTCCCTTTTGGTGGTACAACCTTGGCGATCATGGTGGAATTTTCATCGCGGTTCAGAGAAGTAGACTGACAAACTTGATTTAGTAAGTAAAGAACAAATTAATTCTGATCAGATAGAATTAACTGAGACAGCATAATAAACTCAAGTTTGTAAGAAATGTATTCTGAAATAGCTTTTGAGAAGGTTTATCTTAAAACTAGCAATATTAAACTCTAACTTTGCTATAGTTTGCAGAGTAGGTGTAATTTTGATGAACGAAAATTAGTGCTGCCATCTTTGATTTTTTACAGCAGTGGATGGCTGGGGTCAGAAATATTTCGTACCAAGGGGGTTAGCGACGTTCAAGAGAAACGAGAGGGGAGGGGGTGGGGTAATAGAATTGTCGTCTTTTTTACACTGTTCACTCTTAGTGTAACGCCACACCAAACATGGCCAGCCGGATAAACGATTGCGAGCTTGTAACGCTAACTCGTCTTAATAAGGCGCCTGCACTACAGGCTTTCTTTCCGAAGAAGAAGTCATTGTTTTTTTTTTCTTTTTATCTTTAGTTATAGCTGGAATGAGGGAGAGACCTGGTTGACTTACAGGTTCTTAAACAGCACCAGGATGAGAGTGTATGGTCTCCTGACAGAACCCGGTGAACAGAGTGCTGAGTTTACAATCTACGGGTCATATCCTGGGCATCACAGATGGGTTGTTGTTCAAATTAATTTGAGAAAGGCACTCGGTAAGTCATTTATGTACTACTAGTCATAAGCTATTTCAAAATTTTCCCAAGATAGCCCCATAGCGTTTTAGCCTGATTATGACACCGCGCCGGGGTTTTCATGGAGAATTTTTTTTGTTTTCTGCCATCATGGTTACTGAAAGTTACCAAAATGTAAAATTTAAGGGTAGGGCTGTTGTTTCCTGTCGCAAAATATTTACATCAAGGTTTTCGTTCTGAAGCTAAAACGCGACGAAAGAAGGTGCTTACTTGCGGTTAATAGACTTTGCTTTTAATTTTTCCAACTATTCCAATTTGCTTCGGTGAAATCTTCCACGATTTTTCACAATAAGTGACATTTGTCCTGCCGATTATTCTAGGATCTAAAAAATTAGGGGTTAGAAAGGGAGTTTCTTCGCTTTTTGTTTTTTTGCCTCTTCAAATTTGAATTGGTCTCATGAATTTTCAGGGGGTTCAAGTAAATTTTGAGCGATAAATAATGAGCAGTTCCTAATCTGACCCATTTTTTGACGTTAGGTTCTCCATGCTTGAAGGATAAAGACTACAAACCATGGATACCATCAGACGAACGGAACGGAACATGTTTGTTAGGAAGGAAGACCATTTACGAGAGGCGTATCTCTCATGCTCACTGTTATAACGGCTACGATTATGACCGTCCGATCTCATCTCAGAATTGTCTATGTGATAAAGAGGACTTCGAATGGTAGGGCTAATGAACAGCAGAGTAACATTTTCTTTTCCAAAAGCACACAGTTTATGTCACATTTAACTCCAGTAAATACCAGTCAAGTTAGCTGCTCAAGAGGTTAGCCTAGGAATTAACCCCTGAGTTAGTTAACTTACAGTATTGCCCGCTTGTAGCAGCTTCGCGCATGTTAAGTGCGAATTACACAAGCCTCCAGTTCGTGTGATGGCGCGTGTGTGGAAGCAAAGTTGTACGCTTCGTTCCTGGTTTACTTTTTCCCTGAGGTAACAAGTTTCTGGCTGGCGAAGCATGTAGGGCTCCACACTGATTAAGGTCCATGTCCAAGCTGTTTTTGAAACTCCTTGTGGACGTGTCAACTTTCATTCGTTTCAAATAGAAGTGCATGAGCTTACAGTACATGTACAAGCCTCATCCAGTATTTTCCACACAGATATGATGGTGATAAAGAGTAAAATTGCATGTTGTATTCAGGCCATTTTATGCATTTCCAGAATTTCACAGTGTGCAACTATTTCCAGTTAATGTATTTTACTGTATCTGCCATCAAGTTAAAAGTACTTCTGTAAAATTGCAGTGATGTGGGATATATCCCTGACGCCTATAATCCCGATAAGTGCGTATTTGACAGAACCAGTGGATTGTCTCCTACAAGTATGCCAGTTTATTGTCCTCCTGGAAGCACCTACCGCCGCACGAAAGGGTATGTAGGGATGAGGACTAGTACAATAGAGAGGGTTCAAGTTGAATGTCGAGAGTAATTCGGGATCGCTTTCGTTTTGCTGTATTTCGCTCACTGATTGATCCAAAAAAGGCTCACGCCACTTTCTAGACCAATCAGATTGAAACTAATCAGGACTTGGTCACTTGCGTTTACCCGCGCTTCAAGCGGTTTGTCAAGCGGCTTGTTTTCACTATGAGTTCTCCGTTGCTCCTCGTGATATTTTTCTTTATTCTGATTGGCTGTCGTGATTGCTTTGGTTTTCTGAAAGTTTTGGTTTTCCGACACTCATTCAAATGCGCTCGAATGTACATTAGATAAACATTTGTAATGAACGCTGAAGAACGAGTAGTCATCAACACTTTTGAAGTGCAGTAGGAATTAATTATTCGTGTGAAGCGTCAGTTCTGATGATGACTTACGTACGAGTTGATTTAACTCTTCACACCCTAACATCGGTATGCATATTCTCCAAACATTTCCTAAGGTGCTGACAAGGAGAATTTGTTTAACGATCAAGAGCTTCTTTCGTTGGTGACCATTTCCTTCATTCTTGTGACCTTAATGTAAGGGTCAGCGGTGATATTGTCGGGAGAAATTAGATGCCAGGAACTCTAAAGGGTTAAACGCTGGTACATGTCACTGTCAACAGTTGTTTTCAGGGCTTCTCTTAACCAGGCGATCGTCCAACACGTACATGTACTTGATCGATTGTGACTCTCAGCTGTACATGCCATTTACTGAATTGTGCATATGTTATTTAGCTAATAACCATCTTAAGCATTCAAAGCATCAGCATCGTGTCTTGACAAATAGTTTTTGATTACTCATACAGACCACAAATAAATGGTACTTTTTCAACTTACACTATTTTTGTATTTGTGTTCCAGTTATCGGAAGGTTGCTGGAGATACCTGTTCAGGAGGAATGGAGGATCATTTTTCTGCTGACATGGTCTCTTGCAGAATAGGACGTAAGGAAATCTTTATTTATAATTGGATGTTCGCCCCCACCTTGCCCACTTTGTCTCCAAATCTTTGGACTTGTTTCCCTACAATAAAACGTTTTTATTTCCTGTCGAAATTTTGATATCTCCGAACATCATGCAGTTTTCACCGCGAAATCGTAACAAGGTTCGATCAACTTGCAATTCCTAGCCACACTAAAGACGCACTTTAGCTCCTTTAGGAGCCAACAGTTATTCGAAAAGCAATTACCAACGAAGGCAGCGATAATTTTGACCAAGAGAATACTATGCAGTCGCTCGCCAAAATGATGCCTGCCCTGCGGGCTAGTTTGGTGTGAATGGTTTACAAGCACGGGCGTTCACTTTTATTGCTTTGGTGACCGGCGAAGGGTTCAATATTGGATCCTGGTGTATTTTGCTTGTACTCGGGGAGTACCAGTTCATTTTCTACTACCACTTGGTGTTTAATGTCACGTTGATGTTTTGCCTTATGCGGTATTTTGTTATTCGTTAATGATTAGTATCACACAAATAATTCATTTTCCTTCTGTGTACTCAACAGCTCAGCCGCAGTTCTTACTTTACGCTGGACGAAGGTTCATCCGGAGAATCTCACTCGGCGACAATAGAGAAACAACTATTCCACTTGGAAGTGGGTTGCAAAATGTCATCGCGTTGGACTATGATTACGCACAGAACTGCATCTATTGGGCCGACATCACCCTGGACACCATTAAGCGTTCTTTTCTCAATGGCTCTGGTAGGTTGAAACAAAATTGTGCAAAACTGGAATGGGGACGACGCAGTTGCGAGAGCGCTCGACTACCAGAACTTTGGCCCAGGTTTGATTCCCGGACCTGGCGTCATTTGTGGGCTGAGTTCGTTGTTCGTTCTCGTCCTTGCTCCGAGGGTTTTTCTCCGAGTTCTCCGGTTTTTCACCCTCCACAAAAACTAACGATTCCAAATTCTAATTCGACCTGGAAACAGTGGACAAGAACCTCCTTGTGGAATTTCCATTGCTGAATCCCATTATTATTGTTGTTGTTGTTGTTGTTGTTGTTGTTGTTGTTGTTATTATTATTATTATTATTGCAGGAAAACGTAAGGATGCCTCCTTAAATAAGATATTGACAAGGCGCAATCGCGTAGCTTGTCATTACCATAGCCTAAAACAATTCGTAAAATAAAGAAATTCTCAAATGATATTAGAAACCCAAAAAGTTATGGGTAAAAGTTTGGCCAGTTCATAGGTCCTGCGCAGTGAGAACTTTGAAACTCCGTGCAATGTTAAGGGTACTTGAGATGACTGCCTTTTGCATATCCAGTAAGATCTTATCTGCCCTGACACCTACAAGTTCTTTAATACGATCTAGTGTCTTTCTTGATACGCCTCCGAGCCCTATTATGATTATTATTATGATTATTATGATTATGATTATTATTATTATTATTATTATTATTTATCGTTTTTCTCACGATGTAGTCACATCCGGTGTTCTCTTCGACGTTATGCCTGGAGAAGACCGGTAAAGTGTAGTCGAAACGTTGTGATCCACTTTGGAAGTGACATCCTGGAGTTATATTTACTTTTATCTGTTGACAGGAATAATTGAAACACTGCATGGTGGAATTCAGCAGGTGGAAGGACTTGCATTAGATTGGCTAGCAGACAACATCTATTGGATAGATGCTGTTGGAAAGAAGCTTGAAGTTTCCAGAGCAGATGGGCGTTTCCGTAAAGTCATTATTAGCAACCTCGACCGTCCAAGGGCCATAGTCTTGGATCCTGTGGCTGGGTACATGTACTGGACAGACTGGGGAACCCATGCGAAAATAGAAAGGTCTTATATGACGGGGGCGGGTCGCGCTGCAATTGTATCATCTGACCTTCAGTGGCCAAACGGAATAGCCATTGATTTCGTTGCGCGAAAGTTATACTGGACTGATGCGGGTAAGGATAGAATTGAGAGGAGCAACTTGGATGGAAGTTACAGACAGGTAAATTGTGTTTATCGCATGTTACCTGTCTCTTAGTTCTACACATGAACAAAGGGAGTGTTAAAGAAACTGTGAGGCGGCGTCGGGGCGGGATTACAAGATAATTTGGTTGGTGAGAGTTGATAATATAAGTCGGCTACTGTAGAGAGTTTTTTGGGCGGACTTTTCAAGCACCAGCCTTTCCTCTTTCGCTCTGACGAAGGTTAACGCGCAAAACGTGAGCTTTTAAAACTCTATACAGTGGCCAATTTACTTTATTCACTCAGTTCGCAAAACGGAATTACCTCAGTTCCACCCTCAACTTTCCACCAGGTTATTTTGAAAATAATTAGTTTGCATTCTTATATAACCCGTTCACCATGTGCACGTTCATTCTGTGGGATGCCTTTGTCTGACCACGTTAAAATTCGCTTGAGTGTCGTCTTACTCAGATATGGTAATTATCAACGTGGTTTTGCTCCTCATTGAAATTAAGCCCTATTTAGCTGGGGTTGATACGAAGATGGGAGACCACACACAATATCCCGTGCTGCTGACTTTTTTTGTCGCGTTCACTTTTCGGAGGGAGGCCAGGATTAATTCAAAATTGATTTTACTATTTTCCACGCATGACCAGAGAGACTGAAAGTAACGACGCCTCCAGCCCTCTCTTTGAAAAACATTTCGTCGAGAATCCTTGTTTGAGAGGCATACACGATTATGTGAATCATAAGGCCCCACAAGCTGCGGGCTGAGAGGAAAAAGTAAGAAAAAGAACGGACGATGGTCATATGATAAAACGCTTATTGACTGAGTAAGTTCGGGCTGGACGGAAAATATTTAGCTATCGGTCACGAGACCTTGAGTTATGTTTTTCCCTGTCCTATCCCCCTTTAGTCATAACGTACGTATTATTTTGTATATAAAGATAAACTGAAAGACCATAAACATTTCCGTGTTTCTTAGGTAATAACCAGAAGGGGACTTCCCCATCCGTACTCGATATCTGTGTTCAAAGATTCAATCTACTGGGATGACTGGTCAACGCAGTCGATTAAAAAGGCGAACAAACGAGACGGTGGTGCTCGGCAGACTATCAAGTCGGGTGTGCGTGGTCTTATGGACGTGAAAGTTTTCCACGAAGATGCCCAGATAGGTTAGTAAGGCTCGTCGTTTGTTGATTTGAAAGGAAGCGTTCAGATATGGAACGAGTTAAAGTGCAGTTAACCGTTCAACTCCCAAGATCTGGTTGTTAATACTCCCCTCTAGCTGTTATACCTTTCCTTGTAAATTGGTTACGAGAATTTGGTGTTAGATCAAGATAATTTCTATCTGATAAGTTTAAGTATTCTCATTACATATTTGATGGATAATGTTTGGATATTATGAGGAGAAGTAACATTTTAACCACTTTTGGGAGTGAAAGGGTTAAACTGATAAAACGTCTTGTATTATGACCACTTATTAGAACATATGGGAAACAACTGAAATGTTTAAAAGCAGGTATAGAATTTAAGTAATGTCGATGTATAAATTTCCTGGTAGAACCCATTTTGGATCGTATGATGTAACGGTTTCCTTTATAATCACGAAATGGCGCTTACAAAATTCTCTACAAAATATCCCCACACTTAATGCTCCATTCCCATTTATGTCAACAAAATTCGACCTAAAAGATCATTCTTAATAATTATTATCATTTGTTACACCTGTGAAGTTTTATTTCAACGAATTGGGTAATTCCTGGTCAAACCATGACGTAGCTGGTCCTAAAGTTACTACAGTCCTCTTACTTTAGCAAGTGCTCAAGCCTCGAGAAACTGCTATATTTATATTTTTACCGAAAAAATTTCTGGCGATAGAATTGAATCAATGTAATCACTATGGGGGGAACTGCAAACATACCCCTCCCCTAACCCCACAACAATCAACCAATAATAAGTTGGAGTTAATTTTTAGGGAAGGGGTAGGTGTGTAGATGATTAGATACTGATATTGATCCATAGAGTTCCTCTCTCTGGAGTGAAAGCTGACACTGAATATTTGGTTTTAAATCGTCAGGTAACAACTCTTGCTCTCAGCTCAAACTCTGTAGTCACCTGTGCTTAGCAGTACCAAACAGCTATGCTTGTGCATGTCCCGATAACATGAGAACTGTGACATCTGTGTCTGGAATTGTGACGTGTGAATGCCAAACCGGTGAATACATGGACAGTAACGGAGAGTGTACCACAAGAAGTGAGTACTTTGCCATTACTGTGACAACGTTATTTCGTAGGGAAGATTTAGTCAGGCTCCCAGTCTTGCCTCCGTTAAAAGCTGTGTTTAGGAGTATCATGAAGGTACATTGGGTCAACCTGTAAGTTAACTGGATCGAAGCACTCTCATTAAAAATATCGTATTAGTTGTACCTAGAAATACCCAATAATAGTTAAATGTAAATCCCTGGGAACTCGATCTTCGAAACGTAAAACTTGATTTACGATTTTCGAAAACTTCGAGGATCGATAATCTATTATCAATCGATTACACGTTGTTGTATCAATTCTTTGTAACTTTTGTAGCTGGCACTTGTGATCCAAATGAATTCAAGTGTACCAACAGCAGATGCATCCCATCCCACTGGAAGTGTGACCATGACAATGATTGCGGAGACAATTCTGATGAACAAAATTGCCGTATGTGACACGCTTAGTTACTTTGAGAATTTGCATGATAAGCTGAATTATACACGTATTTTGATTGGTTCTTAACCCTTTACCGCCTAACATCAGTATCCACATTCTCCATACTATTCACCATACATCTCCCAAGGTGCTGACGAAGAGAATTTGTTTAATAATCAAGAGCTGCATTAGTTGGTGATCATTTCCTTAATGTTTGATTAAAGGGTGATATTGTAAGGAGAAATTAGATGCTAGTCACTCATAGGGCTTAAAGGGTTAACTGTGGACAGACGCGTAGCTGAATTCACCATCAACCACATTTTGCCCTTTTATCATTTGAAACAAGTAGATCTGTATGTTGCCGTGCGTCTGTCTAGTAAAAGATCATAGAACACGTCAAAATTTGGCAAGAACATCAGTGACTCACTCGACTGGGCTTCCTGTGCCAACTCTTTGTTCTTACCACATTTTGACGTCATCTGTGATCTGTCACTGAACAGAAACACGCCAGCATAGGATCTTTTTGTGAATTTGAACCTACTTATTTCCAGTATCTGCATGACCAGCGGCTGTTTTGATAAACCTTTTCACTTCCAGAATTAGATATTTACCCTTACAATATTGATGCACATGTATATTGTCTAGCAGAAGGGTTACAAGAAGAAAGAAAAATACCGACTTGAAGATAAAGTTTGATTGCACTCCGAATTCTTAGCGGTAGATTTGTGAGAAATTTGTGAGACAGTAAGGAGAATTGATGTTGAGATCTTCGGAGTTTAAGGGTTTTTTTCCCCATTGATCATTTAAGGTACCACTGAGGATTCATAGTTTGCACTTTGAGTTTAAAGTCAAGGAAATCCTAAACCTAAAATATTGCTTAACAATACCTAAATAGCTGGCATTTGGTAATGTTAATCATCAGCCAGCTCTTGTTACAAGTACATCCTACCCCCCCTCCCCCCTGTGAAGGCAGGCCTTGCACCTTTGCTCACTGATACCACAGTTATGTAGCCTGCCATTAGCTGATGCTTCTAGATTCACGGTGTCATGTTCAGTAGGAATCTAAAAGTTTACATGGGTGCTGAGAGCGATTGATAGAAACGCTTCTGAAAAGTTAAATCCCGACAGGTGGATTACGAAAAATATTGAATTGTGTAAAAGATGCCATCGGACTCGTGCTTCAATTCCAGTATTATTCCCCCCTTGGCTTATTAAAAATTGATGTTTTCCATGAGTGAAGACTTCGTCTTTTCAAGTAATAATAAATTCATCTTGATTGCTATTTGATTATTTTCTTTGGATGTTAAGTGGTTAGATAAGCTAATAAAAGCATATAAATTTTGTTTTACAGCGTACGACACCTGCAGCTCGACACAGTTCACATGTGACAATGGCCGTTGTATCTCGGCGTCCTGGAAGTGTGACCACGATGATGATTGTCATGATATGTCTGATGAGAGAAACTGCCGTAAGAATGACCCTTTTTTGAAAAATAATTTTATGCTGGGAACTCTATCTTTTACTGTACGCAATTGCTTTGAAATTTGCCTTGATATGTCTGATGAGAAAAACTGCCATAAGGCTGGCCTGAAATTTTAAGTTATAAGAAGAAATGTTTACGCTGGCAACTTTTTCCATTGCCGTAATAATAATAATAATAATAATAATAATAGTAGTAGTAATAATAATAATAATAGTAGTAATAATAATAGCAATAATAATAGCCATTAGCTGATGCTTAGTAAATAATAGTAATAATAATGATAATAATAGCCGTCAGTGCTTGCATAGCGCTTATCCAGTTCACTCTGGCCTTGCTTTGTCTGACGAAAGAAACCACCCAAGACTTACTTTTTGTGTTCAAATTTATTCGTTTCTATGAAGTTTTAAAGCAGACACCTTTATCCAATTCTGAAAGAAATTGGTTGTCAGTAAAAAGACTTCTGTACATTTGGAGATTGTAGTGTATTAGGACTGGCAAATGGCGAAAGTGAGAAAACTGGGAGCGAATATCAGTCCTGTTGGAATAGTCCTCACTGTGAAGGGAAACTCACGGAATGTTAGGTTAGCGAGAAAGGGAAAATCAAAGAACGATGGGAATGAACCGAAGGCTTTACACCATGGCATCAGTATGGATATTCTCCTTACTTTCCTTATACATTTCCTATGCTGTCCACAAGGAGAATTTGTCTTAAACAGTTACAGAGCTTCTTTAGTTGGTGATCATTAGGATAATACTGTAGGGAAAAATTAGATGCTAGTCACTCTTGGAGGTTGAAGAGTTTTGAGTGGAGGGTGATGCCACGTATTGCAAAAAAAGGAACCAAACCGCGGCTTGGCTGTCATTCACCCCTGAGAGTGATTAGCATCTTATTTTTCCTTTCAATATCACCCCATGAGTCAAACATTAAGGACACGAGAATAAGGGAAGTGATCACTTACTAAAGGAGCTCTTGATTGTTAAACAAGTTCTCCTTGTCAGCACCTCAAAAATTTACGGAGAGCAGTATGGAGAATATGCCCACTAAGTTTTGGGTGTATTGGGTTAGCAAGCTTGAGGACGTAATGATCATTGTAACAGTAACTACACCTCGCAATACATTATGACTAATATGATTGTGCTTGGTATAATGTAAGTCATTTCTACGTGTTTTATCTCTCCTTTATCCAGCGTATCCTTCCTGTGGACCAGATAAATTTACATGTGACAACAAACGCTGCATTCCAAACCGTTGGCGTTGTGATTTTGACGACGACTGCCGTGATGGCTCTGATGAACGGGGATGTACGCCAGGTAGAAATGCGTGGTGAATTTTTTTTCCGAAAGAGATATTATTTACCTTAGTTACCAGCAAACATTACAGACATAACTTTGTAATGGGTCCACGCATAGCTTGGGATGCCATAACGTTACCCTCTAATAGTAAGCCTAGCTTACCCTAGATTTCTATGAAGCTTAATGACACTGAGGTCATCAGAGCACGGAATCTGTATGTCTAAGGTTCTATTCCCCTTGAGTTCTCAAAATTCTGTTCCCCGGTCGTGACAAGACTAAAAAGCATCTTTCTTTGATGCCTACTGCACGTTGTCATCTGCGATCACAAAGAAACACGAGGCAAAACTATGTATACTTACGCTCACCTTCAACATCCTTCGATAAATCACCTTTCACAACGGTATCTGACTTAGTGCTCATTTACCATGTTCATTGCATACGCTTCAGAACCTCACTGGTGATTTGTTACTTGGGCGAACGAACCAGAATTTTGACCGAAGCCGCCACGGTACTCCACAGTTAATACAATATGGCTCTGTTCAAGTAAACCAATTTAAGAGTCAGTTACAATCTACAATACAAAAAAGGAGGGTACCCCCTCCCTCCCTCCCCTCCCCCCCCCCTCCCCTTCCTCCCCTTCCTCCCCTCTCTTCCTCTCTCTTTCCCCAAAAAGAAACAAACAAATTAAAATATTTGACCTTGAGAAGTATGCAAGGTACTGCAACATGGACATGATTGGCGGTGAATCATGCTTGTATTTTTTGTTAATATACATCCATGTGATTGTTTTCAGCACCAGTCACAACAGTAGGACCCGCATCCTGCCATTCATCCCAGTTCGCTTGCAACAATGGCCGATGTATTCCGAGCAGCTGGAAATGTGATGGCGATCAAGACTGTGGAGACGGATCCGACGAGCCAAGCAGCTGCAGCGGTATGTCAACTAGATTTCAAGCATTGTTCCCTTCATTTGCCGTACAATTTATTCCTTCCTTTCTTCACCTTATCTAGTTCTCTTTTGTTTGTTTCGTCATGTTGAATCGTTATTAAATAATCTTTAATCGTTCGTCTGCCAAGGGTGCCTAGTGGCTTGATGGTAACCGCGGGCGGGCGGGGTTGGAAGCAGGGTGAGGGTTGGCGTAGGTAACTGGCAATGACATCCTCTCGAAGAGGAGAAGTATTGCTGCTAATCACTGCGGCAGCTATGCGATTCAGTCGTTTATGCATGTTTCCGCATTTCGGGCAGTGAGGTTGGATGAGTCTGGGAAAAAAAAAGATATTGTACTTTACAGTCGAAGAAATTTGGGGAAATTATTTTTCTGTAACAGTTACTTTTGTGAATTACTCTTTTGAAGTATCCGTTACAGAAGTCTTCCTATTTCTATTCATTCCACAGCACGCACATGCACCTCAACGCAGTTCTCTTGTTCAAATGGACGTTGCATCCCTCGTTCATGGAAATGTGATGGGGAAAATGACTGCGGGGATGGTTCTGATGAACAAGGCTGTACCTGTAAGTTCGCTGTAGAGTAATTTTTGATTGATTATCTAAAGCAATCCGGTATTCAATTGGTTTTACCTTATTTCGCTTGTTGATTGTTCCAGAAAGCTCGTGCCATTCGCTCAACTAATCAGATGCAAAACTAAAACCCATCTCGCTTGGTCGCCCGCGATTTTGTTCATCCTGAGTTCTCTTTGGCTCTCTTGAGATCCCGGTCTCTCGTACCAGTCTCTCCTCGATCCAAAATCATTTCGTTCCAGGCTTTTTGGTTTCAATTTTACTCTCTCTAGTTCTTAGCTCTTCTCGTTCTTATCTCTCCTCGCCCAAAGCTCTCCCTCCCAAAAGTAAAAAGTAGTTAAATTAAGTAAATAGGAAAAGAGATAGCTAATACTGCCTGTTGCTTATCCACAATTTTTGCCGAGGATCAATTTGTCAGCACGTTTCTCGTATCTTCTATTCTTTTTTGTAGATACAACTCGTCCACCCGTTTCTACAATACCCTGGACCCCATCTACGAACTGCAGCAGTTGGGAATACCAGTGCAACAATAGACATTGTATTTTCCAGTGGGATGTCTGTGATGGTGCCAATGATTGTGGAGATAATTCAGATGAGTGGTACTGTGGTATGTATTTGGATAGGAGATCTCACACGGAAACTAAAGCAAAATAGCGCTATTAAAGGTCCCGTGGCTTAACATGTTACTTTACAGCCAACCCTTTCGTATGCAACCACACTATGTGTGCTCGGTTCTGGAAAAAATTGGAGGAAATAAGTTAATACAGTCAAACCTGCATTGAGCGGGAATGGGCGGGGTGACTCCTTAATACAGGTTCCACAGATGAGGGGTATTATAAACAACGATAACGACGCCACTTTATGGCATGGTTGACCATTTCATGTACAGAATCTCGCTCGAAAGTACCAGTTACTTTGATAATGGGAGAGGAGCATCGATTTACGATTACTTGAGAGATTATTCTTAGTTTTGAGTGGTCGTGCTGTCGGTGACCGTTAGACTTAGGTGGAGGACAATAAAAACAGGCCGTTGGGACTTAGTAAAGGGCGACCACGACCGCTTAATAGAGGTGAAATTGACATTAATTAGGGGAAACCGCTTTATACGGTGCCGCGTAATACAGGTTGGACTGTAAATCGAACAAAAAGGAGCTATAGTTTAAAATTTATCGCATCCCTTCGACCACAAAATAATGCTTGAAGAAATATTTTGCATCTCCGTATGAAGGGTTATGTCCAAACTCTGCAGAATGCTACATGATGATATGCTTTTTAATAACATCTCAATCATCCCTATTGGTAGGTACAACTCGAAGGCCTTCTGTAAATACGACAACATCACATAGACCCTGCCATTTCTGGGAATTCACTTGTGATAGTGGCCAATGTATTAACAATGGATACAAGTGCAATGGGCGAGATGACTGTGGGGATAACAGTGATGAAAGAGGATGCTGTGAGTAGAACTTCCTCTCTTTCTAAAGTGAACCCACATTGTTGTGTAGAAAATCAATGGTTTGCATAGCGAAATAGCTTTAAAGTTGTTCTCCCTGCTGACTCATAATCAGTTTCCAGATCATCCAGCTTTTCATCTTAGTCTTAAAGTGTTGTAGAACTTCTTCGTGAATTCTTTTCACTCGAATCCTTGAAGTAACTATAACTGGCGACTTAGTTACCCAATCAACTTGAAACTCAAGAGGACAGTTTAAAAGCATGAAGATCACCGCCTCATAGCGCTCTTTCACTGTGTTCCTCAAGATCTTTGCTTTCGGAAATTACCAGTTAATGCACTCGGAACATTTTCATTTATCATTGTTGAAATTGAAATTACACATCAATCCCAATGTTCATGCGAAAGGAAATATTTATTCATAACTGCCAGTGCTCAAAATTTTATTCTTTCGCCATATTCTAGCTGCTCACGTAACAACAGTGGCGCCCTCCACTGCCCCGGCACCCTGTCCAAATGGCTGGCTTCATTGCGGACAAACACAGTTTGTAATCTGCATTAAAACGGAGTGGTTGTGTGATGGACAACCTAATTGTCCACAGAGTTGGGATGAAAGGCCAGAGAATTGCCCAAGTATGATTTAAAATTTTTTCGTTATACGTTAATTTAGTAGTTTTTCTTGTCCTAAACAGTTTGTTCTCCGGCGATCTGAATTTACCATCCTATTGGACGTCGTATATTTAATCACACTACGGATAACTTGTCTCGTCAGTGCTGATTCTTCAGCTTTTTGTTGGATTTTTGTTCCTTTCCCATATGTTTCTTAAATGTTGCTCTTTCTTTTCTCTCAGTTATCTTTTCTTGTAAGATAAATTTTTGTATCCCTTCACTTTTTTCAGTCTACAACAAGCATCCTATCAAATGCGTTCAATGATATTTCCTTTTGAGGTAGCCAACATATTACCATTTTTGTCATTGCATAAAGTTCCCGGACGAATTTCCTTTGCCATTTGAAGATCTCCTCAAATTGCCCTGTTTGTTCAATGTCCTGTTAGAAAAAAGTTTTTTTTTTTAGTTGGTGAAACGTACCCTAACATACCCACTCACTAACTGAAATTGTTCTCATTACTTTACTCAAAGAAACTACCAGAGTACCCATCACGTGCTCAAGTGACCAGTATCAATGTACTAATGGCGGTTGTCTTCCCCGCTCTTTTGTGTGTGATGGAAGGGATCAGTGTGGTGATGGTTCAGATGAGGCCGGCTGTGGTAAGAAGAAGGATACAACACATTTTGTCTCCCTCAATATGTTGTAATGAATTGGTGCTGAAATGTGGCATGGTCATTTGTGTCTCCACCAGAAGGTCCCTTTGGGTGGGATGGGTGATGATAGGGGAATGAAAAGTTTTAATTTGATTAAACAGAACCTGATTTTTTATTCGAGGATTGTATCGTCGTGGGGAGACCTTAAGTGAGACTCGTTTCCAACTTAAGCTGGAAAATAGTTGAGCAGAGAATGAAGTTATTGGCCAAATTGAAGTGAAGACTTGGCAACATTTTCTGATCTTGTACCTTGTTAAAAAACTATAATTGTGACTTGTTTGTTTTGCGTTATGTTCTTCTGACGCGCCTCTCTCTCGAATGATGGTGAAATCATAGTAAAGTAATCTCAACAACCAATCAGAACAAAAGAAAGGATCACGCGGAGCCAGTAAGAATTCAAATTAAACACATGAAGATAGCCTGATGCGTGGGAAAATAGGTGTTCACTTAGCGATTGGTTTTAGTACTCCATCTGTTTGGTTTAGAAGGTGGAGCAGTCCTACAGACGAACCACGGAATCAGAGCTCAAAAACGTTAAAAAACAGCAGCAATACTATAGTAAAATGGCAGCATGTTGGAAAAACCCAAAATTGACACGGTTTTTTCCCCTTAGGTTAAGACGTAGAAAGTAGAAAAGTTAAGCTTTCAAATATTTCTGCAGACCGTCTTACTGCAGGGGTTTTAAAAATCTTTTTAACACCATAATTTCATCCTTGAAGACCACTCACCGAAACTTCTGTGGTCCTATCGCAAATACGGATTTCGGGCAGGGTGATGCTAGCGATTGTTCTCCATCTTGAGCTTTCCAAATAAATTGGCGCCGCGTTAATAAATGTGTCACTATGCTGTTATTTTGGATATTCTCTAGGAACTTGCTCAGGCTTCTGGTGCGACAAAACCCAGTGTTTACCTGTTTCACGGAGGTGTGATCACATCCCGGATTGCCTCGATGGTAGTGATGAGAGGAACTGCAGTGAGTACCCATTATAATTTCTGACTTGTTGTCGTATCGTCTTTGTGTAATCTAGAGGTCGAAAGTTTTGGCAGGCGATAAGAATGAAAAAGAACTAAAACAAAACAAATCAAAAGCAAAATAGCAATTTAGCAAGCAACCAAACAAACAAATAATCAAGGAAAAAGATAATGATCAGTTTGAAGAAAGAGAAACAATAAAACAACTAGAAAACGTTTTTATCGTTCATGGTTTTTGCAAATAATTATCGAAAACGGATTTTCTCTACAAGTCAAGAGAGTCGTAGAACAATTGTTGCAACATTTGATTACTGAATTTTTTATTGAATGCGTTGCCAACTGACCTTTAAATGGTTTGCTGAAAACTTGGCGAGAGTATCATTTTTCGGATTAGCGTTTTTTCTCTCCTTTATTTTCTTGTTTATATCGTATTTAGTGCGATTTGCTTTTTTGGTTCAAGATATCACATGGGAACTTATATTTGCGCTTTTATGATGAAGTAGCGGAACATCGATAAAGAGACAAATGTAATATGCCTACTCGTTGAGTCACCGCACAATCTATCTTTATTGAACCTTACTGATCAAAAGGGCTGAATCGATGACAAAATCAAATAAGAAGCCCCAACATCCCATTGCCATCCCCCTGGAATTTTCATACTTCACGGTGGACTGCTAGCAAACCAATCAAATAGACATCGGAAAAAAAAAAGTTTTTATCAAGTCAGTAACCTTGTGTCTGGGTTTTTATGTTTTTCGTTAGGTACCAATTTGCAAGTTAAAGGCGTTCAAGTAAGTACTCTCTCTGCAACAAGAGTTCATATAACGTGGCGCCCAATTTCTTACCAGCCCCCTGGAATGACTTTTACTGGGTACAGGGTCTCTTACCGGTGAGTGAACAAGAAGTAAATTATTTGAATGTTATGCTGTACAGGGCTGCCAACTGGTTTGAAACTAGAAGACATACAAGACATAGTAGGCAGCCAGAGGATTGCACATAAGATTGGGAACTATTCAGTTTAAATGTACCAGGCGTTCCGCGACGTTCGCACAAACCTATGTGCAAATTTTGAACATGGAGTTTATTCTACTATCTAAAGCTGTGACTAGTAAATTATACATTCAATTTCATTGTAACGGGCAATGGGCTGCAGTGCAAATTTCTTTGACGGTATTTACAATTTTTCATCAGAATTTAAAACTGAAAACTAGTACACTGAAGTGAAAGTAGGCAGTTTCCGGTTCTTTTTGGGAGCTGTGGGTAAAACTTGTAATGTGTCGCAGAGGAAAACGTGTATCTTTTGCCAGACTTAAAACTTACCTCTTCCTTTGTGGATGTTTTCCCTATTAGAGCTGTCAGACTACACTCTGTGCCCGTGTCAGGGAGCTGGCAGCAAGAGGAATCCCCAAACGTCAACTATCATGTCATCGGATTTCTACAGCCGTGCTCAGAATATGAATTCAAGGTTCAGCTCCTTGTGAGCGGAGCTCAACCAGGGCCATACTCTTCGACCGTGAAAACGACAACTAAATCTATTAGTGAGTGGTATTAGTGCTCGTTAAGCGTGTGATCGTTTCATGGTTGCTCAGCTGCTTTAAGTAATGTAGATACATTCAACTAACTGATACCAACTAATCAATACTGTCTGAATAGAGCGGCTCTCCCAGTGAGGGAAGTGGTGAGGTGGAAGGCAGGGTGGGGGAGGGGGGTGGAGTGAACCTAAGACCCTTCATGCAACTGCAGTAGAAAGGTCCGGGGTCTGTTCACTGGTGTGGTGTGTGACTTTGCGTGAAAGTAATCAAGAATGAGATCAGCGATTTGTGCAAACTGCTTGGATGAGGTTGGCTGTGTCAACTTCATTCGATGCACAATTGACGGCTGTCATTGCTTGTTTTTTTCTAGGAACCAGTAAACCACAGCATGTGCGACTTTTGTTGGCACCTGACGATTCGTTGCAAGTTTCTTGGGATCCTCCAACCACTTATTGTCACCTTATTACGAACTATGAGGTAAAACAATCGGAAAAGGAATTGTGTGTTCATTGAGGAATTAAAGATTTTGATGTTCAAATTGACAAATTATGTTTTTTAAATAGATAGATATATTTATTCAATGATTAATTGATTGATAAATTATTTGAGTGATGGATTAATTGACTGATGGATTAATTGACTGATCGATCGATTGACTGATTGATTGATTGATCGATTGACGGATTGATTGATTTATAGATTGATTATTGATCAATTAATTATAGATAGATTGATCGACAGAGTGATTGATTTATTAATTGATAGATTGATGATTGATCAATTGGTTGATTGATTGATTGATTGACTGATTAATTGACAGATTAATTAATCGATTGATCGATAGATTGACTATAGATAAATTAATTGATTGACGGATTGGTTGACTGTTATTCATTTTATTTACAGGTTGCATACAAGATGACCAGTGAAGCTGATTTCCATACCAAAGAAACTGGCAATGTCTATTCGCTTTCCCTTAATCTTACACAGGGAGTTCATTATAGCATTAAGGTGAGGAAATGGGTGTTAGTTCTTTCTTTACCTTTAAACTCCCACGAGTGACCAAGACATAGTTTCTCCTCACAACGTTAATATGATATCAAGCATACAAGTAATGAGACTAAAGAAAACTAATAACTAGGGAATTGCTGGTGTAATGCCAAATTCTTCGAACTAACACCTTGCAGACTGTAAGGAGAATTATCAGTGAAATCTTGAGATTGAGAGGGTTAAGCGATAAGGCATTCTCAACAAATGTATTACAGACCTGTTCCGTGAGTGGCTGGTAAAGACCAACTCATGTTCAAACGATACTGAGAATTTAAATATGAGTAGAGAACAATTGTTTCCTTTGTATGTTTATATTACTGGGATTATCCTCTCTGTTTTCTGGATTTGAAAATGGTTAAATTGTATTTTCGTCCGCACTATGATTCGTTTATGCGGAGAAAAGTGGCGTAACGGTGTTGTTTTGATATACCACCAAATTATTTGTCACGAAGAATTACATGGAAATGTTTTTAAGCTAAACGAGAGAATTGGGCACCAGACCTTGAATGTTAAAGAATTGAAATAAATAAAAGTGCGTTTAATTTTGTTTTTCAAAGGTGAAAGCTTTCACCGGAGACAAGGGTGGTGATGGTGATGGTGAATATTCCAAGGTGCAACCTGTGTATATTCCAACTGTAGTTCAAAAACCGACAGGTATGATTGGCTTCTTGTTAAGCCATTAACCTTTCATTTTCCCCTCTATTTGCGTTTTTTGTCCCTATGAAACTGAGTAGTAGTTCGATGCGTCTACCGTTTCTGACGGTGCGACATCTTCCCCTCCGCTTAATATGTGAATATAATACTGAGTTCGTGTTGTTGCTGGCGGGATTTCCTAGCTGAGAGGACGTAGAAATGCACGTGCTAAGGTATTGTTTTGTCTATTGTATTGTATCTTTTGTTTCGCTGCGTTCTCGTCGCCGCCGTCGTCGTCGTCGTGGTTTTCTGAAAGTCCCTAGTGTTGATGGATGGGCGACGCTAAGAAGGAAAACGGCAACATTTCCGCCATTTTGCGCCTACCCGCTCTTTTGCTTGTCTCCATTGACATAGAACCTGCCACAGGTTACCCAGCTATCCGAACTTGTATTCTGTTAGATTGCTGACAGCAGCTCTCGGTTAGGCGGACCTTTTTGGGCAGTTCAGCTCAATAAGCATTTCTGCATGAAATTGTCGGTAATATTAACAATAAGAAAATATTTCTACTGGGCGGTGAAACTAATCTGCGATTGCATCGGTTTTTCTTTACTTCGTTGCTTTGCGAGAAAAAAAAAACTCTTGCTTCTTTCAAAACCTATCGGATGCATTATCTAAGACCATTGGCGGCTGGTAATTCGTTATTTCCTTAGCCTTGAGCCAGTAGTATGCATGCAAGACCAACTCTTTTCTATCGTATTTCAGCGCCAGTAAAGAAACCGCATTACACATTTCTGAATGACACTGCAGTGACACTCGTCTGGGGAAGTCCTACACATCCTGTGCGGGTATTTATCATATGAATGATATAAAGGAAATGAGTTCACGATGTTTGGTCACCAGAGACCAAAATGTTACTTCTCAGTCAGTACTTCTTTCTCACCAATCCCGCCACAATTAAATGCCGCGAGGTGGGACCAAGAAAAAATAATCGGCGTCTCTGAAAGGAATCGAACCAACGACTTCTGGATTAACAAAGTCTCCTTACCCCACCAGTCAGCTCCAGAGACTTTACCACACGCCCCACAACCAGACACGTGACTCTTCTACATTCCTCCCCACTTCACTCTGCTTGGATTATTGATGGGTACTGGAAATTGCCAGGGCAACTTGACGAAGGGTTCGATGTTAACAAATTGGACCTGGGATATTTGTATGAAAAATTAATCCCCTCATTTGCTACTGCAAAACACTGTGTGGTATTAGTCATTTGCAAGGGGCTCTCTGAAGAGTGTCTTATTGGGCCCAAGTCTGAGAGGCCTTATTCATTACGCGAAGATGGACGGCGTTTTCTCCTTTTCATTTATTTATCTGTTTATATTTTTCTAGGGTTATAAAGTGTATGAGTTGACCACCGATGGCTCGATTCTCCTCGTTACGACGACTCAACATAGTTACACTGTTTATTCACTGCTCTCGCATAGCACATATTCATTTGTAATAAAACCTTACAATAAAGCTGGTGAAGGTCCTCCTGCGACAGTAGAAGTAACGACTAATGGAGGTAAGTCTGAGGTGGCGGGTATGGTTGCTGTAACTTTTTGCTGGACAAAAAGAGGGTGGGTTGCGATTTAAATGGCTAGGATGTAATGATAATAGCCCTCTGTTTTTGCCTTCCGCCGACTGATCGCTGAAGGGCTGGTGACAAATCAAAAATCAAGGGATGTTCCTTCCTAGCCCCACCTCATTTGCCTCGCGCTCTTCGCTTGCGTCCCGAATGGTTTTGCGTTCGTCCTCTGCTTTCTCCTCATTTCCCCGTGAACTTGTCAAGAGAATTTGTCTTTTTATCGGGTCAATGCCATGTGGCTGTATAAGTAAGTGTCATATGTTCATCCCTTTGCTTAACAATGGATTGACTCTAGGGAGCAGAAGGATGAATCCTTAACACCCCAGCGACAGAGGGTACATTCTCCATACTCTTCTCGGCGCATTTTCTATGTTACTGATAGGAATGCTTTGTTCAGGAATCAAGAGGCTCTTTAGGTGCTGATTATTTTCTCCATTCTCATGATGTTTGATTCAGTAGTGGTACTGTGAGGGGAAAATTAAATGTTAATCACGTTTAGGATGTAACCCTTAACTCCCTGAGAGGGGCTTATTTCTCCTTACGGCATCACTGCTGAATCACACATTAAGGTTATGAGAATTAAGGAAATAATCACCATCTAAAGAAGCTGTTGATTGTTAAACAAATTCTCTTGGTCAGTTCCATAGCAAATGTATAAAACAGAGTGGAAAATTCGCATACTGATGTAAGATGTAAAGAGGTAAAGGTTTGAGAAAAGGGAAGCTGTTCCTTCGTTGTGTTGTCAACTAGCTGCAGAATTCCTAGCTTGTCACGCTCACGACTAGAATCAGGCACCATCAATATTAACCTTTTTACTAACCGAGCACGAGGGCTGCACTGGGGAATATTGGCCCAAGGTCGTGGCAGCTTGGATTGAGCACCGACAGGTCCGTATAAGAACGACCGAGGGCCAATATTTCCAACTACGGCTCGAGCAAGCGAGGCGAGAAGGTATTTTGAACGTGCCGGCTTCTGTGAACAAAAATTCACGGCTTGTGACCGTCTCCTTGGAAACGGTCCGTATGGTAAAATCCCGACCAAGTAAGAACCAATCAGAACGCCCGATTTACCTCAGGACTGCCTTGCCATATAATGATATTTCTTTCCTTTCCTTGATTAGGGAACCCTCCAAGAGATGTAAAGGCGACTCCGTTCAACGACACAAGCATTACTCTGTCTTGGAATGCACCACGGGGACACAGTCCGGGTGTGGTTAGTTACAATAACTTTTTTGGATCCCAAATAGGAGCTTAGTAATCTCTCTGTTCAGTTGTTGCATCGCTTATACCATAGCGTGGTAATTATTGCACTTAGGACGAACTTTTAGACTAATCATATATTCTTACAAAGAAATAAAAAAAAGCGGCACACGAGCGTTGGACTAGTGCATCACTTATGATCAAACTTCATGTTCGCGTCTTCTATGATCTTTATCTCTGGAACATACAAGTCAAATTTGCATTTGTAAGTTGGAAATAGTGACTTAAACTCTAACTCAAACTCTAACTCTAACTCTAACTAAATTGTAAACTTCTAACTCTCACGAGTGACCAAGTCAGACTTTCTCCTTAAAATATCAATACAATACCAAGCAGACTAGTCATGAGAATAAAGAAAAATATCAATCAGGGAATTATTGGTTGATTCGATTCCAAATGCTCCAAACTGACATCATATGAATTTCATAGCAGACAGTAAGGAGAATTACTAATGAGATCTTAGGAGTTGAAGGGTTGAGCAGCTGATATCATTATACCTGCTCTAAACTGACGTCTGCTCTCATAAAATAAAGAGCCATTTCATTTACACGAGGTCTAACCCAAGGGGATTATTAGTTGATTCAATACCAAATTCTTCATTCTAGTATAACAGGAGTTGTATGACAGACAGTAAGGAGAATCCCAAGGAGATCTTTGAAGTGAAATGGTTTATGCTTTGGAGCTTGAGCAGACAATCGCAAAAAACTACTTCCTAAATGAAATTTAGGCCATTTTGTTCTTAAACAAACAAAAAGTACAGGTCAATGTCAGTATTTCAGCAACTGCGTACCTACCCCTCCCTTAGCCCAACTACAGTCAACTGATAACAAGTCGGGGCTTATTATTAGGCAGGGGAGGGGTGGGGTGCGCAGTTGCTCAGATACTAAAATTGATCTAAAATGCAGCAGATAAAAAAAACAAAAACCAAAAACAAAATAAAACAAATAATCGCCATGGACGAAATAAAACTGCAGAAAAATGTTCTTACTCAGCCAAAACTGTCTTGACCATTTCTTCCGAAGATAAGTATGTGAAAATGTCTCCAGTTATTGCAAAAACTAAAGAAATAAGTAAAATTTACATTGACATTTTTTTTGGTGTTAAGTCTCATTTCCCATAATGCTTTTTACATTTTCCACTCCACAGAGATACTACATTTTCTACGGACGGGTGACCACTGGAGTCAGTTCATGGCCTGTGGGCTCCACAACGACTCTTAGATATGTAGTGAACAACTTGCAGCCGGAAATTGTCTACGTGTTTGAGGTGTCAGTGGGCTTGTTTGGAAAGCACAGTGTAGCAGCAAACTCTCGAACGAAAACTAGTGCGTAATTGTTCCATTAACAGCTCTATAGAGTCGATTTAACCTTTTCATAATCCATCATTCCTTTTTTGTTTTCATTATAAGTACATTGGGTGCCGATTTCTCGCCTTTACTCATTGGTAAGGCGTTTTCAACATTGCTGATATTGTTATATCCAGAGATGTGACGTCGGAGGTTGTCTATCGTCACAAATTTTGCTTGAATGTTCCAAGTCTCTAATATACCATCTTTTTTTTTTTTAGCTTTCCATCCTTGGCCAAATTTGATCATTCTTACTTTATTTTTTCCTCATCCTTGTGTTTTATCTTGATGAACCAATATGTTTTAGTCTCAGCAGGTCGAATACGGTTTTCATTTTCCTTTCGGCCATGTCACACAACGTCACCCCCACCCCACCCCTCCCCACCCTCCTAAGTAGCTTGTTACTTTACGAAACAAGGTACAGCTGCGGACGAAATCGAGGATAAGTTGTAACGTCACAAAAAACACATGTAATTTCTTGACGTAACACTGATAGTGATCTAACAAACTTACCGTTATAATTCACCAGACGCTGTCCACAGTCTTCAAGCTCGCCTTGTCAACTCCAGTAGTGTGGTTCTTACTTGGGAGGTACCAGTGAATGTGGGTGTTAGTAAAATTACTGTAAGTACTAGTCCCTCTCACTTTAGTAAAACTTCCAGGCAACCCTGTTGATTATAAAAAAATGACTTTCGTGGTCAAAACTGTAGGGAAGTTTTGATCTATAGATGCTGTAACTCCTCTGCGCAAGTGTTTTTTTTTTTCTTAGTTTCTTCATCTTTACCAGCATCCCCTGCAATCCTTGTGATCCATCTTGCACATTCCAGCACTCTTTTGCACTACTTAGCGAGAAAGAGGGAGGGAATTATATTTTAACAGACTAATGTGTCGGGAGTATTACGATATTGTTCGCCCTACCAAACTAAACATCAACCCTTTGTTAGCCTGTGTAGCACATCTGAATGAACATTGAAATTACAGATTGCCGATCAACACTTTTGAGATGGGAGAACTTCTATCAGATAATTATCAAAAATAGGAAGCGTTTTGGTGTCTCAAATTTATTATTGAGTCAACCGAACTGTAGTGTAATTTATTACTGTTGAGTACAGCACCCAGCTTTTCTAAGTAGCTATATAGAATAATGAGTGATTTTCTTTTTTCCTTAGTTTGTCTTGTTTTGTTTTCCAGGGATACCAAGTGACGAGGACGTACAGGGAGGAGTCTGGTACTAACACTGATACTCGATCCACCAACCAAACTACTTATGAATTCAGATATCTCCCTTTTGATACCATCGTCACTTTTGAAGTGAAAGTCAAATACGGCAACCGACTTGGCACGGGTATAAGCACCACCAAAAAAACTAACCCATTCACGGCATCTGTTAGGCCATTGAGGATACGAGTCGTAAACGACGTTGTTGAACTGTTCTGGTCTGCACCAAGAACGATCAGTAATAGTGCTCTAAAGGTAATAAGCTGCTGTTCTTAACTCCATGTTAGAACAACCCGATCTGGGAGATAAGTGTACCAGTTACACTGACGAGTTTTATTCAGTCCATGACAAGTTGAACTCTGTTAAATGTAATAGTACCAAAACAGGTGTGATTTTGGAAAAGGGACTTTTGGGAAACATTTTTCATAATTTTCATATCGACTGTTTAGGGAAAAAAAATCAAGTGATGTACATCTCTGATGACATGATTCTCGCTGCTTTGAATGATGATTTTCTTCTTAACTTTGCCTTGTTTTCTCTTTTCGGTATGAGGAGTATTTTTCCTCGTGGTAAATTGTTTCATTCGCTATTGTAGACAAAGTCTCGTTGTTAGAACAACCCGATCTTGGTGATATATGTACCAGTTACACCGACGAGTTTTTCAGTCCATGACAAGTTTAACTCTGATAAATGCAATAGTACCAAAACAGGTGTGATTTTGGAAAAGGGATTTTTGGGAAACATTTTTCATAATTTTCATATCGATCGTTTGGGGAAAAAGTCAAGTGATGTACATCTCTGATGACATTAGCCTCGCTGCTTTGAAATTATGATTTTCTTCTTAACTTTGCTTTGTTTTCTCTTTTCGGTATGAGGAGTATTTTTCCTCATGATAAATTGTCGTTGTTGACAAAGTCTTGTTTTAGCAGCCAAATTACTACACTCCATCGATATGCTTTGCTTTGAGGGAGGGACAGGAACTAATTACGTAGACCCAACCTTTGGCTCCGGTCAGAGTCTTACGGGAAGCAAATTGACCTTAGCCCAGCTCCCTCTTTGACAGATAAGAGCTTTTTTTCCATCTCCTGTCTCTTTCTTAATGACACTGGGTTATTCGTTTATTAATTATTTTGTTTGTTTTGTTTTGTGAAGTACTATCAGGCGAATTGGACGTGCCCCTCGTGTGTTACGAAGCATGGTACAAAAACGGTTGCTACAACTTCGTGCGTGTTTAAACAGTTGGAGCACTCCCGAAAATACACATTCTCTGTAAAAGCAGTGACTAAATTTGGCGTTGGGGAAGCCTCGATTGTTACGGCCACAATAACCCGAAACTTTGGTGCCGTTGGCAGGTTGAGACAGTTTGTGTCGGGAAACAATTTAACACTTGATTGGGATGTGCCATCTGACGTGGAAAAGAAAGATGTTCAGGTACGGGTCGTTCAAAACAAGATTTAAAGGTGGTTTATATATAGGTTCACTGCAGTAGTAATTTCATAATAGTGATAATAAAAATGATCAAAGTGCTCTGTGAGCAAGCTCGTGAATTGACAGATGACTTACATGATTTTTTGGAATATGTTTAATGTTATCTTATTTTAGGCAAATTTGTGGTTGATTGACATATTTAGAGTACGAGCATTAGTTCAGTGTTCGCCTATGTAGCATAGAAACAAAGTAACATTGGGATAAGAAGGCATTACAATTGAAATGATCATGCTATTACATTTGACAAGGGTGGATGATGTCATGTGTTTTAAACGTATATCATTTCTGTTTCTGGTCCAAAAGAAAAGGTTGGAAGTAAATGTGAGTGAAAAGTGAAATTTACTGTCTATCATCGTAAATATTGGAAAATCAAGGCAATACTGTCTTAATGAAAACATGAATGATTCCCTCTTTATCTAATGAGACAAACGGGAACGAGTTTTGAGTGATATAACAAAGCCCAGACTGCCACCGTCATTTTGGATTTCCGCCTGGGTAGATTTTGGTCACGTGCTAGGCAACGTATAATCAAGAATAAGATAGAATTTCATTTCAGGCCTATTAATCAATTTTGTGGTGTTTAACTTTCGCATTTTAGTACGTGATATTTATTTTGAATCTTCAAATTGTCTTGAAACTTTGAAAGAAAATTGTTCTTTAAAAATTCACTGAAAATCAGTAGCCAAAATTATTTGTTTAGGTGTTATTTTACTTTCGTGTTAACCTGTAATTTCGTCTGTCGCTGGCACCTCTTATTGCTTCATACAGAAAAAACACACGATACGAAATGTAACGATCGATTTTGTCCTCAATCTCACGCCATCACAGAAAAAGCTTTTGAACGCTTGTAAACTCGGAGCGCTTCGTAGTAAGTGATATTTCTAATGAATCTTCTGATTGTTTTCAAGTTCAAGGATTGTAAATCATAATTTTATGAAAAACGAAGGTTGTTCTCTTATTTCAGTGTGAATCCTCACACACGCCTGCTAGTCGCTGGCGCCGCTTGTTGAAACGAAAACGAAAAAAAATAAACTCTTCTAAGATTATCATTGGCTTATTTTTCACCCCACCACTATTCTTAGCAACAAAGGTCGCAATTTCGTTTGTTTATTACTCGCCAAAAGCCTAAAATCGAAAAAAAAAGTTTACAGGAATCGAGTGAGCGAGCGAGTGCCATTCTCCACATCATATCTACAACTCGCTCACGCGCATGCGCGCAATTCACGAGTTAAAAATTATATTGACGATGACGATGGTGATGAAGATGACGATGGCTATGGCGATGACGACGATGACGATGGCGATAACGATGACGATGGCGATGACGATGATGATGACGACGATGACGGTAGCGAGGACGACGATGACAATGGCGATGACGACGATGATGATGACGACGATGGCGATGATGATGATGATATTGATGTTGATGATGATGATGATAATAGTAGTAACATTAAATGATGATAAATTAAAAATGACATTTTATAACTGATATACACTGCAAATAATCTAACTGCTAACACCCTTTTGGTAAAACTTATTAAAGCCTTTCACAACTCTTAAAATTTAGCTATACGTACACCCACAAACAGAAAAAAGAAAAGTGAAACTACTTCTAGCTGAAAAACTTGGAAGTCTTCAAGTGAACAATCGATTGATTGGTCAATGTTTCATTTTTTGATTTGCATTATTTTTTTTTGCGTAATGCCTTTAAGTGAGGTTTTAAATGAAAAATAAAAACTATGTATTCCTTTTTATTTCTGGATTAGCGCCATCGTCTCCGGTAAAAACAGCCCAGTTGTTAAGAGAGCTCTGTCGCTTATTCTATGACAGAATTTTAGTACAGGTTCTTGTAATTTGCGCAATGATAACAGCCTTTCAGTCTTTTTGGCTAGTAGTTTTTCTTAAAATAGGATCAATCCCTATTGAAACCTCTCGTAGTGTCCACGCTAAATAGGATTTTGGTACATGTGTCCCTTTGATTTTGAACGCTAGCTGTTGTCGCGGAAAGTTCATAGGGCGAAGTGCGACTGACCATTCTTCTTAGATACTGCTCTGTCTATGTTTTACAGGTCTATCAAATCAGCTGGTGTGGAACCGGACACTACCGATATTGCTGGCGTACCAACTCAACTAATACCACGGGTAATGCAACTCAGTTCATGACACAGGTGCTCGCTGGCTACACGTACACTTTTTATGTTCAAGCTTACACAGCCTATGGAAAAGGTATAGCGTCCAGCATTCAAGTTATAGTGCCACCTCTTAGTCTGGAAGTGTGGTATGGTCGCGGAACGCGGACGGGCGGCAATTACGGATTAGAAGTATATCTGAACTGGACGCGGCCATGGTCGAGTAGGCCTGGAGACAACATAGTGAGTGCATGCTTTGTTCTTTGTTTTCGCTTTTGGTTCCTTTGGTTTTGGATTATAATTATCGTTGTTTATCACTATTAAGATGATGGTTGCTGGGAATGCCTCCATTAGCAGTAAAAGTTTAGTACAAGGTACTACTCACAAGTTTTTAAACACGACCGATTTATTCCCTCACTTCTTTGCAAACTCACGATTAAATTAAATACGCATGATTGCGCTAACATGCCCCAATCTGTCAATCTAAAATCTTATCTATTCTCAGCCCCGGTCTCCTACATGATTAAGATTGTAATCAGTATCGTTTGACGAACGCTTGTACTGTATTTATTGTGTTGGTTGTGAGTTTTTCTCTTTTTCCACGTTTTGCAACGTCTTATCGAGAGACACATGGAATCAACACTTTAGTGCTTCTGCGATAGTTGGTGTGCGCTTATGTCTGCTTCTTAACCCTGTGACCCCTAAAAGAGGATAGTATATAATTTTTCCTTGCATTATCACTCGTGAATCAAGCATTAATGTCACGATAATAAAGGAAATTATCAAAACTAAAGCCCTTAAGAAAATGTATCGAGGAGAGTATGGATGGAAGGGTGTAACGGGTTAACAAAACCAGTGAGGAAATGCAACAGTCTTACTCCTCTCTCTTTCTGTTTTATCCGATAGCAATATGAAGTGGAGTGGCGCTGCTCATCAGGATCAGGAATGGCCTACTGTTATTGGTGGAACAGCATCGTTGTGAATACAACCTCCGCAAAGCTGAATATGACATTCTTTGGAGTAACTTACATGTTCAAAATCACACCGATCATCCCTTCACGGGGGAAAGGAAAGCCCTATTCCTTAGCTGTCACTATGCCTGATTTTACTGCATCCATTGGAAATTTTACTTGTTGGGCCGAAGGCGCGTCAAATGGTACTCGTCTTGAGTGTCACTGGTCCCGTCCCACGGGCTTCGATCCATCTCGATTCTATGTAAGTGATAACAGATTGAATCTTAGCGCTTTTCGATTGAATTTTTTAGGGTATTTAAAACTGAGTAACGAAAGTAACTCAATATGACATCGTTTTTACTTTAATTCGCTCTGTGATTGGTCTAAAAACTTTGCGTCACCCTCAACCAATTCAATGCAGTCAACGTTGGTCAGATTTGGTTGATCTTAGTTACCTACGTTTCAGGCACTTTGAGTCCTCATTAGGTCCCAAGGAAATTTCTCTTTCTCCTGATTGGCTTAAACCAAAGTTATCTTAACAGCCAATCATAACAATCGTCAACACGGTGAGGATAAAGTGAGAACGCAGAATCATTTCAAACTTGCGTAAGCTCGTGTTTTTTTGAAGGTAGGAACTGCGTTTGGACTCTTTAGCCATCTCAGCGAATTAATCTCGTTTGCTTTTCCTCTTTGCCGAAGAATAATATCTACAGCAATTTTATACTGATTCTCGAAAGTAATCTAGGATTTCTCTAGTTTTGCTGCGCTTAGCTGTGATTTCCCCATAAAGTTCGCACCTCTCCACCTCAACCAATAATATGAAAAGCTTAATTTATCGCGACTCGGTTGATGGCGTTTTCCCGCGCTTTAAGCAGTCATTGGCTAATGACGACTGAAATCTTTGTTCTTATTGGCCATTTTGACGTTAATTTGGTTTTCATACACTTACTGAACGCTTTCTTAGCACTATTTTTCATCAGTGTTTATTTAGCCTTCATAAGCTCATCTAAAATGATGGCCTGAGCCTTTAAAATAATCACTTGTCAGTTACAAGGCTCTAAGAGTCACTGTTGTGTGATTTAATTTTGTTTTTGGTAGCACTACGACTTCAGATACAGGTGTGACGATTGTCTTTATGGACATATCGTATACAAATCCATCAGATCTATAAATCAAACCTCGGTCAGCATATATGTGGATAAAGGTCAACAATACACACTTTGGAACAAAGCTTATGCGTCATATGGATATGGAACTCAAGCTCAGACAACGGTTCTTATTGAGTCCACTTTACGACCTGTGACAAGTTTGAAAGCTGTAATTGATCCAAACAAGAAGACCTTTGTGCATCTGTCATGGAATGCCCCAGTCAACACGCGGGTTAAGGTTTGTAGTAACCCTTTAGCCCCTAAGAGTGACCAGCATCCAATTTCTCCCTACTGTATTACCCGTGAATCAAATATGAAAATCAGGAGAATAGAGGAGATGACATCCTGTTTTGGTTTTGAAGAAAAAGCGACCTGAATATTCACAATAATTCCAAAAGCCTATTGGTTTTGTCACGATACAATTTACCTAATCCCCCCCCCCCTCTCTAATTCTATAGTATTCGTGTAATTCCCCCACATTGGCAGTCGGTTTTCTATAGTCCCCCCTTCATACTCTGTTAGCGACGACTGATCTCCCCTCCGTTCCCTCCGTTCCCTCCTGAAAACCGTGTGATTCCTCTTCCCCCCCCCCCCCAAAAAAAATCCCCGACCTTCCTAAGGCGATAAATGACAACTGGTCCCCTATTTATTTTTTTCTTTCAGTTTTACATCTTAATTACTGATTGTCCAGACTGCGTTTCATTTACAACAATCAGAACACAATTGAAAGAGACCAAATACGCCCAAACCCTCCAGTGTGGAAACAAGTACAGGTTTACTGTTAGAGCACAAACCACGGCCAATGTGCTGACCCAAGAGAGCAGCCATACGCTAGAAATCGCACCACCTGTTGGAACAGTAGAGAACTTTTCAGTCACGTCTAGTGATACTCACAGGGATAATAGTACTCACAGGGACAATAGTACTCACAGGGATGATATGGTGGCGGCGAAATGTTCCGTGATGAAGTGGGCCCCCCCTAAGGAAAACGATTCTTATAGTGCACAGGTATTGTGAAACTGCCCCAAGAAATGCCCCCTCTAAACACTTACAATACCTTTTGATGAGCTGAGTATCTTCCCAATAATGGCGCTGCTCGACTCGTAATCTATTTTTACTCTGTTAAGTGAGGTGTTGTCCTTCCAAGGCTGAACTCTGATGGCTAAAAATGCCATTGAGTAGTGATAAATAGCCTGTATAAATAATCGCTTTTTCAATTATTGCTAGTGTCCTAAAGCACTTAGACATTTAAGGAACAGTCTGTGCAAAATTATTAATTTTGAGTTTTTTGCTGAAAAACTGAAAACTTCGAGCGAAGTCAAATAAAGAGTAGTCCCTCCTTTTCGCGAAGTCGGTCGCACGAGTTAAATAAATCTGCAAAAAAAAAAAAGTGTGTTGGATTATCAACCCCGGAGTGTAACCCAAAGTTTGATACTTATGTTTATATTATCTGTTTCAGTGGACGGGTTATCAAATTGCGGTGCGGACCACAGATGTGTTAAAGAATTTCGTAGAGGTCACCAAGGTGTCAAAAGAAACTCAGAATTATTCTGTGTGTGATCGTGAGGATAATGAATTGAAAGCTGGAAAGGAATATATTTTCGAAATCCGTGTCATCGTGCCCTGTGGCTTTGGTGCAACAGCTATATTGCATGCTCGTCTTGGCAAAGGTGAAGGTGAGTATTGCTTCCTTTTAGTATGGTTTCTTCATCAATTTTTGGCTTTCATTTTAATCAGGATCTGAAATCAACTGTTTTGTTTACTTCCTTGTTTTCATCTAAGTAAGGTCGTGTGAAATTCATTTGGGAGATTACAAGTGTTTTTTGCGTACATGCCTCACTGTATTTAAGCCACTTTTGACAAACTTCACAATTGTAACCATCCTCCCCTGCCTCCCAAAAGAATTTTACCAGAATGGAAACAGGTAGCTCTCGCTAACCGAATTTGTCTGTTCTCTTGACTGATAAGAATTTATTATTGCTGGAATCTTGACGCTTTGTTCAGTCGCAAATTATAAAAAAAAGACCTCAATAGCTTTTAAGAAAGTAGAACTTTGCCAAAGAATCTCCTTATGTGTACTTGCCGGTTAAGTACACCCTATCAGTTCAAATCTTGGTTTTTTTCTTCTAAGGAAATGTCAAAGAATTCTTAAAGCCAATACCAGTTGCAGCTCTATATGCATTAAACGTTGTAGATCTTATTCGACTAAATGCGGTATCATATTGCATTTATCGTACTCCTTCTCTTCAGCAGCATTGTTTAAACTCACCGTCGACTCTGTTTTAGGTTATATTCCAGCTCCCACCGCCTTCCCTCCATCCGCTGGAAAACAAACTGGGGGGGAGAAGAAAGGTATGAGTCCCGTGATATGGGCGGTACCTGTAGCTGTGGTTGGACTGATCCTCGTCTTGGTCATGACCTACTTCGTTCGTAAGTCGCGTCGACTGGAGCGCTCAATGTTCGCTCTTATGACAAGGAGGACCATTGATGACGAGGGCGGAGTCACATTTCATTCAGGTACTGATAGAAGGACACTTCAGTGTATTTAACGGTGACTTGAGACAAACAGATGGCATGTTTCTGAGAGGGCTTAACCCTTCAAATCTTAAGAGTGACCGTAAACTATTTTCTCCGTTCAATAATACTGCTGGAGTCATTCATTAAGATAACGAGAAGAAAGGAAATTATCTCCAATCTGAGAAGCTTTGATTGTTAATCAAGTTTTCCTTGCCAGTACCAAAGGAGTCATACAGAGAACAGAATGGAGAATATGCTCTTAGATGTTGCAGTGCAAAGGGTCAACTCTATCATTATCACGACTGCTTTTGTCGTGAAATAAAGGGAGGAGTCCTCTTTTTTGGTCATTTTTTAGAAGTTTCCCAGGATAAGGGATTGAGGAAGAACTTCCAGAGGCTGTGGCCATCAGTTTAGCGGGCTGGACCCCCGAATGAGTGGTTGTGGTCCTGTTTATTGGGAAGACACTTTGCTCTCTCAGTGCCTAGGCTCTCTCCACTCAGGAGTATAAATGGGTACTGGGGCGAGCTGTCAGGGAAGCCTAACGAAATGTTTGCAAGAAGGAAGGGGGAGTCAAAAGGGTGGACCTGAGATGGACTAGCGTCCCATCCAGGGTAGAGTAGCAATACTCCCTGTCGCTTTATGCAACAGAAACTAGGGTAAGCTCCCACAGTTGTACTAGTCACTCTTGTTTGTACTTTTACAGACTACGTTCTGATTGTAGATTACTTTTTTTACCCTCTAGACGAAGACGTACCCTTTATCCAGGGATTCTCCGACGACGAACCATTAGTGACAGCCTAGACCGCCGGTTAGCTGATCTGGATTGTTCCCATTTGTGCATAGTTTTATAGAGACCTTAAATTCGCTGTTCCCACTCCGTAGCTCGAACTTCGTTCTCGGCAACAGCTGCATTGGTAATGTTTTCATTTTTTAGCCCAGGAAGAGTTTGTCTAAGAGGCGAAGAGAAAATCGCACTTGCGCAATACTCCACGTGTGATCAGTTGTTCGCCAGTGTGATGTTGGACATGATTGGGTTGTTTTTTCATAACTAGGGTATCATCAGTGAAATGCAACCCGAAAATGCCTTGCATTATAACGATTCAAAACGTAGTCGAGTGGGAACATTAAGACAGAAACCTTCGTTAGATGTACGTGGTAGTGTTGTAATCTATTTTGAAACTATCGTATTTAGACGTAAAACGGCGCTGCAGCATACGTAATCTCATCTCCACCCAGATGTAGATGTTCAACCCTTTCACTCCCAAGATCTCATTAGTAATTCTCCTTACTGTCTGCCATACAGTTCTTGTGATGTTAGTTTAGAGAATTTGGTATTTGATCAACTACTTATCCTTAATTGATGGTTTTCTTTATTCTCATTACTTGTCTTCTTGATATCGTATTGATCTTGTATGGAGAAGTTCTTTCTTGGTCACCCATGGGAGTTAAAGGGCTAAGGGACCGGTCATTCTTTATCCCCTGGGGGTGGGGGTTTCACCTGGTCCCCCTCTTAGGCAATTAAGTATTTTAAAGATCCCCCTTCACTGGTAGTCAATTTTTGTTGTCCCTCTTTGAAATCTGTTAGCGACGACTGACGCCCCTCTGTCCCCCCTCCACCCCCCCCTAAAAAAAACCCATGTGACCAGCTTAACCCCCTCAGGCGATAAAATGCTCCCTAAACATTTTTCAAGGAATTTCATCGTCGTAACCTAGAGTTTAAAAAAACCTGGGGATGCCGATTTTCGCGTGCGCCCTAGCGATAGGGAAGTTTTTAACGACAAGTGAGGCGTATATCGGGCGTTGGGTTGCATTCCATCTACTGGCAATTCAAGGATTGCACTTAATTCGAAGTGTAGTTTGAATTATGATTCATTCCATGACAAAGGAGAAAAAACGCTGCCTTATTTTTATCTAAGACTACCAAAATAAAGTAAACCAAGCGACTAAGATAAAGAAAGAAAACGTAGGTAGATAACAGTTTTCGCGTTACCCTGTAGATAAAAGCCAATGCACAAAAATGGGATTCATAGTTTTAAAGATACCAGAAGAATAGGTTTCCCCGAAGTGTTTTCAAAAAGCGCTATCGTTAGTTTCAGTCACCGGGTGATACGATATCACTTGTTTTTGTTTGTTTGTTTGTTTGTTTGTTTTTTTTTTGACACGCAGTTATAATCAGGACGTATCAATAAGAGTGAACACTGCTTCTGTGTAGTTTAATGTAAGTCAGCCAGAATATACAGGCTTGGTAGAAATAGTGATTAAGTCTCCTCCAAGAGGAAAGAAACTAAATTTTGGGATTTTCAGTTGTTACGTATTGTTAAAAATGTAAAGAAAAGTAGTTCAATTTAAGGAAAGTGCCACTGCAACTTGAGGGAAAGCTGAGAATGCAACTCAGATTGTTGTGGTTTTAGCAGTTTACAAAGAGATTGTAAAAAAACCGGGAAAAAGGTAACACGTCAGTCTTTCTTCAGTTGTTACATTGTAATTTTTCCAGTGTCAACTATTTACACACCCTATATTAAAGCTACTTTTCTAGTTTTGTTTTTAAGACCGTTACTTATTTGTTTGCAGTTTTTCAGAAGCGTTATAAAGACGTAAACGTTTAGATTTTGTTATTAAAAAGAGCATTTTACCAAACAGGTTGTTGAGTTGATTTGATCCATTTTACTGCAGTGTTTCCCGTCAGTAGATGCTGTGAAATAATGCTTATCGTAGAAGTTAAGAGAATGAATTTTAACTGACCACACTGAACCAGTAACTCGTTTTTTCATGTTGGGATTTGAAGGGTGCACTATGGAAGCGGAGGGAAACGGGCGACGAACGTTTTTCCTCAGTGTTTGTTTGTCTGATTTAAAGCCCGTGCAGGCACGCGTAGTAGCACAGACCGTACGTAAACCTGTGCTGTGAAGCAACCTCGAATTCGAGGTGACTCCCTCGGGGAGAAGAGTCAGTAAGCGATATTTTAGATCCGGTGAGTATTGACCGTGGACCCATAACGTGTTAAGAACCAATCAGATTGCAAGATTTGTTACTTTTCCCTCCTTGAAAATTTGGATTGCGGTCCCAAGGATAGTGAAATCGTATTTCATCAGACGAAAGCAGCAAAGTTTGTAACATAACAAGGTCACCTTTAGCCTCACTTCTGTTCAAAGGCTTGGCAACCGATCACGCAACTGCAAAATGGACCATTGGGTTAGCCATCGAAATGCCACAGGGGATTATCCCCAGCTTGGAGTTCCTCAGGCTACTGCCTCTTATAGGAAGCGAAGCCACGTATGTTATCGAGAGAAGAGATGGTAAGTAACAACAGAGTTCCGATCTTGCCCCAATTTCGAAGCGATGTTTCCCGGAGCTTCTTATCATTTTTTTCGGAGTATCTTATTGGTTCGACATTCGCATTCGATACACATACGAGTTCTCTCTTTTTTTGATTTCAGGCTTATAGCCATTAGCGCATTACGTTTTCAGTTCTTGCTGTAACACTACAGAGGACAGTAGAAGACAATAAACTTCTCATAATAATTTCAAGATTGCGCGTAATTAGAAACGAAACTTTTCCTTGCACAAATATCTTCATAGGTGTGCTCAGCACATCATGAAAACTTGAGGAAACATTGTTTCTTTGAAGAGATAAAATTTTGCCATTTGAATTAGCAAATTATGCTCAGTAGATACGGAGATATAATTTTTCAGTTCTTGCCGTGACTTTACGATTGACGATAAATAATTTTTAAAACAATTTTACAGTGGCATCCACCGACGCATAATTTAAACCAAACTTTTCCTTACAGAAATATCTCACTAGGTGTGATGTGCGCATCATGGCAACTTTGAGGAATTTTTTTTAATTGAAAAGAGCACATTTTGTTTGAATCAGCGACTTTTACCCAAAAGAGCCGCTAAGTTTGCGAAGCGAAATAGTTGCGAAGTTTACAGGGTGACCCCAGTCAATGGAATGATAGAACAGTGGAACAGCGGAATAGCGAAAAGGTCAAACATCCTAAGACACGGAATGGTAGAATGCACTAAGACGCAGAATGACGGAGTATCCTAAAACGTAGAATTCCTTTTTTTATGAAACAAAAATCTCACAAAAATGGAGTCGCAATAAAGTAAGAAAATTATTTATATTTCACAGGCAAAACTAAAAGAAGCATTCCTTAATCATTATTGGAGGATTGGGGGACCGTTAGACATTCGAGCAAGCCCCCATATTCTTGATTTATCTTCATCTGATTCATCAGATCAGGGTACTAATAAATATGTGGGATGCAGCGGGTTTACTGTTTTGCAAGTGAATACAAATCTTTGGCAGCACCACCTTCTAGCGTCATTATACAACCATTTTTGTTCTATTTTGTGCTATATCAGTATTCACGTGCAGTCTTAGGCTACCTATTTTTCATTTCCTGTTTACAATCTTTCTCTCTTAGCTCTGATAGATTCCAGCGGTCTTCCACGCCCTTCCACGTCATGTTATCTACAATTCCTAAACAACACAATGCCATTCTCTTTAAATTTTTGTTTGCAAACAAAGGCTTCTAAAGATTCTTATTGCAAACTGTCCAAGCAATGAAATTTCCTCACAGCAAAGACGAGTCATTCTTCATTCATCGATGGTTTATTTTAAGCGTAGCCAGTTTCACAACGATCACAGACTTTTCTAATCAGCCATCAGTAACAAATCCATCACACAATTCTCGTCCACGCAACCACAAACGCAACCCTGTGAAACATCAATCGTGCGCTCCTGTGAGAACACACCGTTCTATCTGTTCTTCAAATAAAGCAATTTTGAAACTTTTCCCTGTCGTAAAGCAACAGAACAGTGCTCCGCAGTTCCCAAACGTTGCAATTGTTTAATAGGATTTAAACAATTTTCGCGTACTTTACTGATTGATGTAGGGCGGCTTTGCTCAATCTGGAGGGTCACTAACCTCTTGTTGTGGACAAAAGATATTTTGCCGTCCGCTGATTTACATGTCTAGTAATTACCTCTTGACGTGCTCGGTTAATTCGGTTGAAAAATTGAAAAGCTCGGTTCAACAGCAATCAAAGGGCAGTGGAGCATGCGAATGATATCGTGCTTGTTTACGCAATTATTATCGATGAAAACCGCCGCGAACAATTACTCAGACAATTGCCTAGCAGCTGTTCATGGTTGAACTGGCAACAGACAAAAATTTAAACGAACTGTGCATTTTCGCAGTTCAGAGCAGTAGCTCAAGTGCCACCATTTATCAGTGGTGAAATTTTCCTCTAGAATGCTTCGAAGACGAGGTTCTGCGCCAGCCGTCGTGCTACAACAACATTTCGCGGAATCAAAAGGGGTCATCTTGAGAGCGGACCGCATAATCCCTCCTTTAGAAACGCAGAAATTGTCCAAGGCTAAACGAGGTAAGAAGGATTTCGCGGAAAGGGGTTGCAGCCCTCCACCACAAGTTCCTTCGTCCCCGGACAGAAAGACTAACGAAGCGCGTTACAGTGGTGACTATGACAGCCCATCACCCAGATGTCCGAGTCCGCCTGGATCGCCAAGCTCCCCAGTATTAAGTAAGAAACCAATGAAATATCGATCAAGGAGAAGAGACAGCGAGCCTTTTGTGGGTCAGCCACCTGCGTCGTTAAATTCGCGCAACACGACATCGAGTTCGTTACATAGAAGAAGCAGCTCGTTCAGAGATTATAACATTGTTCTTCTTGGACAGGGAGGTGTTGGGAAATCGGGTAAGTCAATACTACGATGTTACGTGAGAAATAAGATGATGATAGCTTATACAAGAATGTTTAAAAAAGCCCAGTCATTATAATTGAGCCAACTTGAACCAAGTAGCGTGACTTTAGTAAACGGTTCCTTTTCTTTCTCTTGGCTCATTGTTGCCTCATGAAAAATAAAATCATTCCTTTCGCAGAATCCAGTTTTGTTTCGCTCTGACCTGCTGTGTTTATTTAAGATAGAATAATAATTTTGCCTTTACAAATTATTTGAATACCTGTGATCTTGTGAAAAGCTATGAAAACAAATTAAATTCCAATTATGTCTCATTATTCAAAGCCCATGCAATTTTTTTGAAGGGAAAAAATGGTTGTTATGATTTACAAACACAAAAAGTCGAATTTCATCAGTCCTTCAGACAATGGAGTTTAGTTAAGGAAATATATATATTTCAACTCCTCTTCGAAAATATTTGTTTCACGCGGCACCTTTGAGTGTGTTATTTCATATTTTTATTTGTTTAACTCAAGTTGATCGTTTTAGGTATTGGTTCCATAACTTTACTTTGTTATGGGGGGTCAGCCAAGCAACCCTAAATTCTAAAGGCAGCGATTTTCGGCTTTTATTCAAAATGAAAATGTAGTCATTGATTTACGTCAAAGTTGACTGATCGAACACAGTGCGTAGCTATAAAGGATTTAGGTGGGTTCCTAGTACTCAGCAAAGTTAAAGTGAAAGTTCCTTTGATGTTATCATAAAGAAATTCACGCCTGACAGCTTCGGAATTGATCGAATATGTAAGCTATTTAGTTGTATGTGATTGCAAGTTAGTATTTTAAAGGGCCTGAAGAGATCGAGACTACAGTCTTTGACTGCGGTAATTATACACTTTATTCTATTCAAAAAAAGTATACTTGGTAAATGTTGGCGGCCACTCATCTCATCAAGTAGTGGTTCGGTGCTTTGATCTCAATAAGAATTCTTCACTTTTCTAGGAAAAAAATCGTAATCCGTTGGAACAATCCGATATTTAAGGATAACCCATATAAATCCCATCTCATGAGCTTAAAAATAAAACAAATGGACGACACAAAATATCCTGTGATAAATTGGACGTCTCTGAAATGAGAAAGGTGAACTCAACATTTAGTTTACTGAAAAATACCTTTCACTACATTCGAAGCACAGTATGGCGCATAAGATATGAATCACTGAAAACTCATTCAGCTATGTTAGCAGAAATGCATGTAATCCTGTGGTATCAAATTAAATCGCGGTGTAACCTAAATACCTTTTTCCTGAACAGACGATGTCCATGCAGCGAACCTTAAAATGAGAACAATATTGTTGGGTTCGGAAGGAATTTGTGTATGTGTTCAATTTATTAACATAAGAATATGATCTGATTTTAAAAATACTGGCAATCTAGATGCTTTATTTTACTTTTGCGAAATGTGTCTCGGCTTTAGTCGAACTGATAACCCACACTGCCGTGGGTAATATGCATGATAACACATCGTACCACAGGTTAACCAGATAACATTTTTTGTGTTGCTATAAAAAAGTCTCATTCAAATTGCATTAATCAAGTGCGGAGGGTAAAGAACTTAATCAGATTAGAAATTCGGTTCAATTTTTTTGGCATTTTGATTCCTGACATAGAGTGTGGGTGCTTTATCCTTCCGGATAAATCGACTCATGGAGTACTGTAGCATGCACGTTTACACTGCGGCTGCCACAAATTCCTCTAAAGCACATCCAACAGGATGTTTTTGAGTGTAGCTGACTGGTCTGACTGCAGCTAAGCTTAACGTAAGCCTGGAATGGAAGGGGGGGGGGTACTTCGTGGTGATATACTACTAGAAGGAATCAATCCATTTTCACGACGGGATTGAGTGTAATGGAATTACATATTCAATCGAGTTACTTGACTGGAGTTGCACTTTTTCAGGATTCGGGCGCGACTACGGGGTAAGTTTAGTAAATGCGTCAATTCATTTTAGGATGACCTACTTAGAATGTTCTATGAGGCAGATGCATAAACAGAAAGTGACTCAATTAGGATCGCGAAAATTACGTTTGTCCAAAAGTGAGTAAGATGGGTCACTGATTGATCACAAAATATACTACAATGGGGTATTGACGGGTTCTGAGAGGCCAGCGGCACATACCCAGAAAAATTGACCTACGAATTGTTGTCAGCCAACCCATTCCAAACCCTCAACATATGAAGCAATACAATCCTTGATTACTTTTAACGCTCAACTGAATGTTGCTCTAAAATATAAAAAAAGTAAGTTATTGATTATGCGAATGAAGGTAATGTAAAGACGCAATCGGCAAAGCAGTTGGGTCTGGTGGTTTATAATTTGTGCTTTGTGACGAAGTATTTGCATCTGAATGTATGCAGTAAGACAAAATCATGGTTTAAAGGTCAATAACCAGGGTTCAGAACTACTTGCTGTTTACGCGATACTTATAGGAAAAGTCAACAGTACTACCACTTGATTTATTATGTTGAAGTCTAAACTGATTGTCTCGTATAGAAAGTGGACGCTTCAAATGTATACAATATTTAACTACTTAGATCACACGGCGTACGAGGTCATATTTAGGAAAATATTTCTATTAATTCTCAAGATCTGACTGTTACTTCTCCCCTTTGCCTGTTACACATTTCCTTTACAGTGTAAATTATTTACGAGAATTTGAGGTCAGATCAAGATAACTTCTACCTGATAAGTTTGAATATTCTCATTACCTGTTTGCTGGATAGTGTACGGATATCATAGAGAGAAGTTACTTGTCAATCACTTCTGGAAGTTAAAGGGTTGAAAATTTCACATCCTAAGTTTGGGATGCAACATCTAGATTCTTATCCGGCCCAGTCTTATTCGGAAATTTTTTGAGCCCTATTCTGTATCATGCTATCTGCAGAAAATATGTCTAGTTCTTTGATACAGTCTGTGTTGTAGAGGCAGTGATGACATGTTACTTATTTACTCGTTCATTTTATGTACACAGCATTGTTAGTGCGGTTTACAACCGGAAGATTTATTCATGAATACGACCCAACCCTTGGTGAGTTGTGAATTTGTTTTCTTTATCTTAATTGCAACAAAAACTTAGCACTTTGGAGACTGCATGACCAGATGGGCTGTTGGTGTAGGTACTCAAAATTGATGTCGTGTGTGCTTACGTACTGTCATGGCAACTGCTGACTGCAGAGAACAAAAGTGAACCTCTACTCTGTAAATCCTTCCACTTACCGCAGATAATTGATTAGGTTAATCACATGAAATCAGGGGTGCAAAAAAGTGTTTCTATTTACAGCTGCCTTGTTTAAAGACGTATAAGATTTCACCACATTTTGGTTCTTAGCCGGTGATTAACTAGCTTAGTCATAATAATAACACCCGGTTTCTTTATTGCATTTAAGCGGATTAAAAAATACAAGTAAAAGGAAACGACAAATCTTTTGAGGATTTTCAGCACGGAAGGAGCGGAGATCCTGACTAAACTAAAATTATATGGAGAAATTTGATTAAAAGAGTCACTGTAGGCTTTTACGTTTTCTGGATTTCGAGAGGGTTTCTCCTACGCCAACTTTTGGAAATTTCGAGATCGGGGTGTCCTGTCTTTGCAATCCAAATCTTCAGTTTTGAGATCAACTTTAAACGTATGGTTTTCGGTTTTTGGATCTAGATCCTAGCTCTCAATATTTAACTTTGGTTTCAATAACCATATTCCCGCAGTAATTTTCAGTCGGTTTTGAGTGATTTTTGCCTTGTTTTGGTAAGCCCAACCACCCTCTCTTGCACCAAATAGTTACATGGCAACAGTCAAAACCTGTACCTAGCCTCCATATATGTATTCTTGGGCGAGAAAAGCTTACAGTCTTGTTTATTGAAATGCACGGGAGAAAAAGGAACGAGCTTTTTCAACAAACCTGGCAAACTAGTACTGGCGATTAACTCAGTGACCGTTAAAGCTTATATGCATCGATAAACTTGAAAATAAATCATTGTAAAGACATATTTTCTATTTGACAGAAATGACGTACGATATGTGTGTTGAAATAGATGAGGATCCAGCGATTTTACACATAACTGACACCGCAAGCACAGTGAGTTTTAGTATAGACGTTGTTCTACATTAATTTTTACAGGTCTGGGGTGAATATGACATCAACTACGTACCGAGTTTTTGCAATTAGCCTGAGAAAGCAAAGGAAATCGAACTGAAAAAAGACTGCTTGAATTTTTCAATATTGATTCAACATCAATCCTCTCCTTTTTTTTTTTTTTTTTACTTTGAGCCGGCAAAGATCAGAAGCTCATATTTGGCTTTGCTGATCTCATAGAGCAGGCTGATCTCACAGAGATCACACGCGATTAAAATCAGTTTTTTTATAAATAATGACATACGCTTACGAGGAGAACGAAAATTAGAGAATAAGATACATCTACACTTATTTTCAGTACATTTTGAATTCACTTGATTTCTTATCGTTTTTTTTCTTTATTTACTTTGCTATTTATTTATCTACTTCAGAATGAACCGGTATATCTAAGCCAAAATGAGGGCTTCATAGTCGTTTACGCCATAGACGAACCGAGATCTTTTCAAACCGCCACGCAACTCGTCAAGCTCATCCGGGAACTGAAGAAGCAGCGAGGTCAACAAACTGCCATTGTTCTGGTTGGTAACAAAGTAGACTTGAGTCACTCTCGATCGGTGTCCCAACAGGAGGCTTTAGAGTTTGCTTCGGAGTACGAATGTTTCTTTCACGAGGCTTCAGCTGCTAGTAATATTAACGTGAAAGTTGCTTTCCACGACGCCGTTAGGCAGTTGCGGATGATTCAGTTGAACAAGAAGGCGAATGGACCAATGAATTCCATCAAGAATTTCTTCTCGCGCAGAGAAAATCACGATAAAGGGCTATTATTTTCTACAGAAAATGCAAACTGTAAAAAAGTAGGACGAGAAGTGGAGAAAGATGGCTACTTTGACTAAAATTTGCTGCTTTCCTTAAGTGAATTCGCCTGCTTTCTCAGGACCAGTCATCATTTTTAATCGCCTGGAGGGGTGGAACAGGGCGGGGAGGGGGGTTGGTGGAGGATTTTAGAGGATGACATGGTTGTCAGGGGTAACGGAGGGGTCAGTCGTCACTAGCATGATGGGAAAATACAGAAAATTTACTGTAAATTAACTGCCGATGAGGGGGGGGGGGAAGGGCCGTGAGAATATTACAGAGTTTTGTGGGGGGATCCGTTAAATTTCATCGTGACACAACCAAAATCCTCCCTACTTCCCCTTCCCCCGCCCTTTATTCCTTAATGATGACCGGTCCCCAATTTAACCTTGATACCTCGTCCGGAAAATTTCACGAAGTATAGACGCTCGAAGGGTGAAGCCGAGGTCCATCAAAAATGAGAGTCTGGCTTTTGCAAAATAATAATTGCTGTTTTAGCTGTTGTGTATTGGCTACAATGCCAATACCTTTCTAAGTGCTCTATGCTTCATAAACATCCTTAAGTGTTGTTCTTAGACATAGGGAAACGTTTTTATAGATTTTCAGGTATGGAGGAGCAAAATGAAATTTGCACCTGGTTCTTTTCTCTGCGTGAGGAAAATCCCACCTAAATCTTTGATTAAGCTTATGATGTCAGTCGTAGCATGAGGTTTTAGTATGAAATCAGAATTCTCCTACTCACTAATTCACTCCATTCAGATCTGTTAGACATTTAATTTATGCATTAAACGTGGATCAAACGCATTAGCCCTGCCTCTCCAATTAGATTTGGTTCAATCCCCAAACCCCCACTAACGCGCGCATGTGCATTACCTTCTCCTTTCCCCTAACTAAAGCCAAGATGTGTGCCAGCAACACAGATGTTCGCGCATGCTTAAAGAAGTAAATTCCCCACACAAGTGCCACATCTCATGGTAAATGTTTTCATAGAAGGCAAGATCAGCAACCGTGACTTTCTTGTAGACCTTCTTTTCAGACATCTGCTCGCGAAAGTGAAATCTATACCTTTCAACACCTCCATTGTAAAATATAAAACAAGTATATTCCACCGGAAAGACTTGAGAGTTCTGGTTCAAATTCCCCACCTCACCCAGGCAAGGTTCAAATTCCCCACCCCCGGGCACGAAGGACAGTCAAATGCCCGTGGGTTACCTGGGGGGGGGAATGTTGAAGCTTTGAATTGATCGGCGAATTACTTCCACTTTTTTATAAGTATAAGGCTTCACTGCAAGCGAGCTTCGCGCGCGCTTCGAGCTCCTCTATTCGAATTAAATATGTTCCTTCATCCAGTCGGAAAGAGGTTAAATAAACTGTAAAGTGTTTCGTCGACACTGAAACAGAATGAAAATTAGCAGCACCTTGTTCGCCCGAAAAGTCCATGATATTTCAACACTATCTGCAATGACTTTCTCTGGAAAAATATTTTTAGTTTTAGTTCTTTTCTAAGTTCTTGCTGATATTTCAACACTATGTGCAGCTTTCTCAATATATTAAACTTCCTTGAGGTGAAAATAGGTCTAAAGTGAGGCATCATTGTTTCTCGTTTTATAATTGAACGAAACACGCCATAAAACTCGGTGTCGATTATTTTGAACCTGCTTTTTGAAGTTGCAAAAACTAATTTGAATTACAAAGAATTTTAAAAATTAATATTCATGTTTGCACTCAGTCTTACACGTGGAAGAGCTTACGAACTACAAGAAATTTAAGCGTCTTTTTTGAACATCTACGGAGTCCAGAGCAACGTCATTTCGACTCCACTACCTTGGATAATGTCTGGTCTGTCCAGGTCGGCGAGTGTTTCTTATGCTGGATGAAATGGTTCAGATGCTGTGTCGAGGATTCATGCTCATTACTTTGAGACGACCTTTCTTCAGGTAAATAACCTCGTGGAAAGATACGTTTGGATATAAACGTAGTTTCCATCATTCTCGTTGTAGCTCTTGCAAATTTAATTTACGTGGTCAATGTAAGAAGAAAGAGTGTAATGCACATAACACAGTGTAGGACAATTTTTCAGTGGCAGCCGCTATGAATTTTCTTCTTAAACGTGATTTTAGTGGCAACGCGAGAAATTTTGTACTTTATTGTCCAAGTACTTGTCGCCATTTTACATAATTCTCTTTTCATTCCTGTACAAATTTTTTAAGTACCGTTAGCTTTTATGATTATTGTGGGTTGACCTTGTAAATGTGTTTTCATCCACACGGCTCAATCTCTTACACTTCAAGCCTGCCAAAAAAGGAGAGAGTAGTTGGGAAAACGATGTGGTATAGACCCTAGTTTCTGGTTACCAGATGACTGGTTCCTATCTTTGATACAACGACGCGTAGGGCAGTACTTGCTTTGGTAAAATTTCCGCACAGCCCCATACTATTGTAAAACAAATCTGTTTCCCGATAGCAATGTCTTGTTTTTGTCATTGTTTTCTCTATCCAAGAACTGAATGCATAATATAGTATGGGGCTGTATAGAAATTTTACGCTTGCTTTTACTTATTTTGTCAGGAAACCTTACAAAACGCTCAACGGTAGGTAGCCTACTATGCACCTGCCTCGAAATAAAAAAAAAAAGTGGCTGTACTCTTTGTTATTTAGTTCATACTATACAGCAGGAACCAGACTTCACTCTGGCAGCTGTACAAGCCAATCCTGTATACAGAAATAGACCTTTATTTGAAAAAATTTTTCTTTCGCTCTGTTTCACTATTTTGAATGTAAAGGCACGTAACTGCATTTATCTTTGAACAGTATTGTCTATGTATGTAACTGAATTGAGGGTTGGATCGTCAAAGATTGTTAAATACTGATACTACTCTTTGTTTTTGAGTGTGTTATGTCTATCTATTGGGTGTGTAGGTTTACCATACCTCTGTACCTCTGCTACAGACATTTAATTTACTTTTTCCGTCCAGCTCCCTGTCATTTTTAGCTGCTTAGTCATTATGCTGGTACTCTCTTATCAAAATGTGATCTGTGCATTAGCTGCTTCATTGTTCTATTATCATTCTGTACAATTATAATCGGACAGTTGGCTGTAATCGAACACCTATAGTCGGGCAGTTGAAGCAGCCAGTCATATTTAATCTACTTAGCTAAATCCAATAATCACAGATTTGATCACAATACCATAGCAACAACCACTTATCCCAAAAAAAATATGGGGAATTTCCAAAATGGGGGAATTTTTTACTTAGGACATTGCCTCTGCCGGAGATGTTTGTTCTAAATTGTAACGGTTATGATTAATTGGTAACAGAACTTCGTATCGTCCAATTCTGTCTGTAATCATACTCGTAATTGACAAATCGGACTTTCTCTTCGCGGTCGTCCGATTTTCTTTATCACTCTTATGATTACAGACCGAATTGGACTCCAATCAGTCCTATTACCATTATTAATAATAATTAAGGATTACTTTCTATTTAATACATTAGTAAAACTTGATAAAGGGTATAAGGAAGTTGTTGTTGTTGTTAAGGTATTACACTAGTAAATTTAAATGACATTTTTTTTAGGACTGTCTTCCTGCATCAAATACGGGGGCTCTACCCGAAGTTTTCTCTCTCTCTTCATGTGTTGATTTCTATTTATAAAGAGTCTACTTGAAAATAGCATTCATGGATTTTTGTTACATTTACCTAAAGAAAGGTATATATATTCATATCCTTTTTCTCTTTTTCAGGTAAGACAGCATCAAACACAAATTGAAACAACTTGAAAATCAAGAAAGGAAAAGAGGAAAGAAAGGGTAACATCCAATTAGGTTGGTATCTATCGTTGTGAAGGATTAACTTATCTAAGCCTATAAATCTGGTAAATCAAAAACAAGCTTAAGTTTGAAATGAAGCAATTCTATCGCTTCATATCCAATGGTGACAATATTGGTATCAAATTACCATGGCAACGGTATGCCTGTCAAATACCTTTGAAGTTCTAACGTATCTAGCCAACAGCCAAAGTTAGATCGGATACTCCCAATTAATTAAATATTTTGTTTTCAAATGCTTAGTACGTTAAAACCATGAAATTTACCTATGCCTTTTTTCAATAAGACTTATAAGGACATAAATCTGTCTCCAGAAAATGTGGTGGCTCCAAATGAGTCTCTCGATCCAGACGTAGGCCTTTGCTATTTAGAAAGAAAATTAAGTATTCAAGTATCTGAATCTATTTACGTCTTCATGATACATTTGTCTTTTGTTTTCTCCATCACATCGGATAGTATCACTAAGGAAATAAGAACACAAGCAAGTAAAGGAAGGAAAGAAGTACACAAAAACTTCTAACAAGGTGAGATAGTTGGCTTTTTTCTAGACCTATTCGTCTGCGTTGAACGATTTAACTTAGTTTTAGCGAATGTTCGCAATTCGAAACTAACCCACTTAATAGTGAAGAAAAACTGCAAACTAAGAAATGGACCAATTTCTTCACTGTCTGATTTCTTGGATCTCTTTTTGATTGAGGTAGCTTTCAATAGTTTTCAGTGGTGTCTGTTTGATGAATTAATTCTACCATATGCATGAACAGTTTTTATCTGTTTATCTGTTTCACCAGCAGAGTCAAAGAAATACCTTATCATCAATGTGCATGACTTTTCATTTGACCAACCTAATTATTATAGCAACGACTTTTTCAAATTATCTTGAAGTTATTTTCATGACTAGAAGGTAATTGTAATAATGATACAGCCAGATTATCCAGCTTTTCCTTAATATTTTTTCTAGAGATTACTTAATGACAATGTGCAGACATTTTAAAAGGTATAATTTTCTGGCCTAATATGTTTCGTATCTGCCCAAGGGCTCTCCCAAGACCTTGAATTAGTTGAATGTTACATTCGAATTCCTACCCGCATCAAAATGGTGGGCTGAATCTAGCCTGGCTAGATTCAGACCACCACCACACAAAGGATTAGCATTTTTTTTAACCTCTAAATAAACTTAATACTGCCGTAGGCCACGACTAGAAGATTTTTAATTTATCTCGGACGTTTTACCTTACCGAGGCAATATTTTGATTCAAGACTAAACTGATAATAAAAGAATAGGCAGTCGTCGAGCTTATTGATTCACTGAGCACTGACAACTGATACTCGGCCGGCGAATTTTCTTTCAAAACATCTTGTAGCTGTTGCATAATAGCCGGGATGATGGTCATAAGATGTTAAAGAGGGCTTTCATTTAATAATAAATCTCGGTCAACCTGATGCCTGAATGTCTCGACACTTGTGGCTAGCACAATTATAATGTGCTTAGGATTTTTTAATTTCTCAAGCTAAGTTGTATCATTTTTTTAGATCTACTGATTAGTCTGGAGTATGTTAAATTTGTCAGTTACGCTATTATTGCCGTTGAGACAGCTCTTTGAGCTCAGTTGTTGATGGTCTCATCCCTTGAGACAGAGGAGAAATATCGGCGTGCTCTTTCAATTATCACATTTTATTTATGGTTTTATTTCTAGGAATGGTTCTAAGGGGGTTCGGTACGAACGAGACAGATTTTGTTATCTTTAATGCTTTCTTCTTGAAATTTGAGTAGGAGAACAGTATTTTGCGTTGACAAGGAATTTGCGAATGATGTTAGTTATAATTCAAGCAAGCAGAAACTAAATGTATGCAATTTTTGTTTGTGAATTCCTGCGTGATCTAAGGGTAGTGGCTGGCAAGCACAGATTAACTGCTTCTTGTTGCATGACTAAAATTAAAAACAGGCAACTGAGATGAAAACGTAAATTGGCCAACGTAAAGAGTTTAAAGGCTGACGTTTCGGGCGCTAGCCCTTCGTCAGAACGATTGGAAATTAAAAACTCTCTTTAATTCTAAGTTGAAGTCTAAAATTTATCCTAAAGCTATTTCCACGACAATAGATAGAAAAAAAATTATCGACTTTGCCAAAATGTTCAATGATGATCATTTGGAGTTTCCATCATGAAATCCAGGTTACACTCACGTTCATCAAGTTTGTATAAATACAAATTCTTAAAATTCTTAGAAACTGAATTTTACTCGTCTAACCTGATTACCAAATATGTGTTTCTGCGACAAACCAACCCTGTACTATTATCGCTCGAGACAGCAAGTTTAAATCCCAGAGTATTGTTAATTTACGGTTTATTTTCCTTTTTCCGCAGACTGACTGGTAAATATCAGTTCAAGCACAAATAAATCAAGAAAAACTATGATCCAGTGGAGACAAACTTTATTTGGGCGTACAAAACAGACGCAGAACATTTCTTTCAACACTATTTAGAGTCAGAGCCAAGATTCAAACGCAAATACCAAGAACTGGACAAATACCTCGCTTTTGATTCTCACCACCCTATTTGCCATAAAAAGTCTGTAGCCAAAACTTTACTTAAGAGGGCTGACTGTCTACCATCTTCACTCGATTCGAAGGCTGAGGAGAGGAAATATGTTTCTAGTGTCCTAAAGGCAAATGGCTATACAAAAACCTTTCTCCGTAACTGCCAAAAACCAGTTACAACTAGTAACGCTCTTGATGAAAGGGAATCAGCGACTGGTTTTGCTGTTATTCCTTACATTCAGGGTGTTACGGAACCCATCAAGAGAATTTTGAATAGCCACAACGTTAAAGTTGCTCAAAAACCTTTTCGGACTTTGGGACATATTTTCGCCAAACCCAATGATCCTGTCACGAAAGAACAACGAACCGACGCCATTTATTCTATTCCTTGCGATGACTGTGATAACGAACACATCGGACAGACCAAACGTCAGTTTGGTACACGTTTAAAAGAGCATCAAAAATCGGTTTTCTTTTGCAAAAAGGAAAATTCAGCTTTATCGGAGCACACATGCCTAACTAACCATACAATTGGGTGGGATAATTCTAAAATTATCACCACTAATCGGCGTTACCACCAGCGCCTTTGCTAGGCGGTTTGCTTCCTGACGCCTATTTACACCTCGTCAGAAAAAAGGCCGCTAAATAGTGATCATATAAAAGGACCTCTTGTTGCAGCGTTTAGATCACCCCTGATGAAGGCACTAGACCTAGAGTTGCGAAACGTTGGGTCTATGAATTGTAACTTCTTCGGTTACATTCATTAAATCTGTAAACTAGAGTAGCATTAAACCATGTCTAACTGGAAAGCTGTCATTTCGTGATTTTTGGCGATTCAGTTATTGTTAAGGGCTTTTAGTAAGGAAAAATGTTCCCGCCAAAAAACTTGAAAACACAGGCGCTTAAAGTGTGCATGTACCATTTTGTACGTTATTTACTCTGTAAGTATCTTCTGTTCAAATGTGGCGAATTTTCCCGCCAAAAGACAAATACGGCGCTCAAAATACGCATGCGCCATTTTTTTTTTTTACCAATAAACTGAGCGTTAATTTACTTGTTGTCTTTAATTATTTCAATCAGTGAGGAAGTTAATAAGCAAAGTTTCATTGTTTGTATTGTTTTTCAGCAATATTTACTCAATAAACCACAAAAGTTTCGTGTTCCGCAAAGCATTTTATTTGCTTCAAATTAATTGTACTGATTAAAAGATGTCAAGAAAAAAAATTCCATGAACGAAACCTAGAAATTGAAACTCTGTGTATTTTTGCTCCTTGAAACAATTTTAGAAAGCGAAAGCAAAAGCATAAAAAATTTCAAAATGTTGAGTAGCGGTGTCAGACATCCACGTGGCTGCACTCAAATACAAAATGAAGTCCCGAATGGAATTAGCGAGCCAAAAATTTTTATTTGAACGTTTCACTGGAGAGATATTTTACAATCCTACGTCAGTTATGCTTTTCTCGAAGCCACGGCCCTAATTAAGTCTTATTTCGAGTTGAAGAGCGGCTAAGACCAAGCAACCAACTCTGCTTTGTCGTTGAACTGAGCTAATACGACTCGTTCAGATCTCTGAAGGTGTTAAAGCGATATTTTCCAAAGGCAATGCTAACCTGTTGTTGTAGTGACAAAAAAGTGCTTTCGTTGCTCTTCTTTAGAGGTCCAATGTCTTCTTCCTTCTAGTGCAACGTAAAATTTAGCACAACGGACGGCACATCTTCACTGTAAAACGGACGGCGTGGTTTGCTGAAAATTCCACAACTTCTGACGAATAGGGATTACCAACTGCACCAAATAATCGGCTATACGTCACAGATTTGGCGCCTAGTTGCGTTTGTACGCCCTGCTAACTAATCAAGTTAAATAAAAGGCATTGTGAATGACAGGCTGCATTTGACAAGAGGAGAAAATGAAATTCACAGCAACTGAATTTTGGGAAGTACTTTGTGATCAGGAAATTACTCAGATTCTCGAAAATAGCTGAATTGAAAGACTAATAGCATCAGAAGCAGTAGATCTCAGTAGTAAATAAAGAAATTTTTAAGGTCTCATTTTGAAATTGCATGAATAAATGAATGATTGTTTGTTTTTCTCTTACGAAGGGAACTTAAGAAATAACAAAAAGACAACGGAGATGAAGATGATGCCCTGTAATTTACAGGTGAAGGAAAAAAACATGAAGAAATTAAAACGCTTTGTCACTCTCCCATGATGGAAAAATAAGTAAGCATGCAAATGAATTAGAAGCACCGACATCCTTTCACTCAAAAAAGGAGGCAATGTAGGTGCAGTAATCCTAAGGGCGAAGAATGATGAATAGGTACAACTGAAATAAGTACCATAAATTTGAAAGGTTGGAGAGGAAGATGTTCACTCGCCTCGTCTCGAGCATGGGACAAAGAAAAAATTCTGTGTCCCCATGAGGAATCAAAGGTACGTATCATGAGGTAGCTCTAAGGAGCCTTTAATAGGTATTTATTAATTTCTAATCTAATACAATAACCGTTGATTTCCTTTATTTACAATCTATTTGCAACAGACGCTGTAACACTACATTAAAGCTTGTATTTTACTCTCTCTCTCTCTCTCTCTCTCTCTCCAGGTAGGCGAAATTAATTAGGCGCCTGTTTTCCTTCCCACCAACTCAATCAGGCGGGTAGCCAATCTATCAAATAAACAGTCAATGATAGTAACATTGAAAACATCTTTAATTGGACTTGCCAATCATCAAGAGAAGATCGAACCAAGAGACTTATATCCCCACTCCCACCTCCACGTGGTTTTTAACACAAAAAAAAAAACGAACTAGGACAGCGACACCGAACAAAGGGTTTTTATTGAGTTCGATAATAGTTCTGAATGTGCTCGTTAAATTTATACATTTCCTGACTGTCGAAAACGAAACAATCACGTAAAATTGCCAGACTTTGTATAAAATGAAAAAGAGAACCCCGATAGCAACTATTTACGTAAAGGGGGTAAGTTTCTTAAAAAACTGGGGGGCTGCGTCAGTGAGGGAAGGGGGGGGGGTTATCACAGAATTTATCATGTAAATTGGCCAGCGTAGCTATAGATACTCTTTGTGGTTGCTAATTTACCTTATCAACTCAGTTAATAAAACCAAATTATCATATTATTTGAAAGTCGACTGCAACGTGACCTTCATACGTTACGCTGAAGAGGAGGCCAGCCGCCATTGAAGCCTGTTTAAACAGCACGTTATTCGCAAAGTTCTCGATGCGAATGTTACTTCTTTTTTTAATCAATGTTGTCTTTGGTGTCGCCACCATGATTGTATAAGGTCCCTAAGTAAACTTGGCGTGGTGCCTAAATGTATTGTAGAAAAAAGACCAGCTAAACGAAATTCGGATAAGATACTTCTATGTTCCCCAGGGACCTCCGAAACTAGGTGTGATCTAAAAATAGTCAGTCTCTTAGACTAATGCACTCTCGCCATCACTAGACTAGTAACTATTAGAGATGCAAGAAATATTGCTTATGTTAATGCTGACGGCTATTGATTGGGTTTAGAAAACCGAGGGAAACAAAATAACAACAACCCTTGGTCTGATTTAAAGCGCCTCATATCCTCCCCCACCACGCCGCTGGTCTATCTCGTGGGAAAAAATCAGCCGAATAACGATCTGAGGGTCGCTAATTAAATCTTTTAACGTTAAATATACTGGAAAAATAGATCAAATTTTCATCGTCAAGTCTCAAGCTTGTAGACCATCTATTTGTCTTCGCTTGCTGACGGACTGCAATCTGCGGCTTCATCCTTTTTCTAAATCAGAGAACAGATTTGAAAATCGATTAAAAGTATAGTCCGCTTGTATTCATCGTAGTTCACCATATTGAATCTTACTTCAGTAGACCACTGACCAGTTGCGATATTAGTCTGCTTGTTCAGCAGGATCCTAAAGAACGGCACACCAAAGAAAATTGACTGAACTTATCCGAATAATGTCACAGGTACAAAAGCAGAATAATTGTCATTGCTATTGTCATTATTATTTTCGTTATTATCATCACGATCATAGGCTCATCATCTGCATTATTGTCATCGTCATCGTCATCGTCATCGTCATCGTCATCGTCATCGTCATCGTCATAGTTCTCGTCACTGACACTTTCACTACCATTTTCATCATGACTGTCATTATCGCTATTATTTTTATTAATTCTTTATCTTTTCTCCCTTCAGTGCTTCCTCTAAATTCCTACCTCCTGCTTTTTGTTGGTGTTGCGGGCCAGTTTCTCCTGCTCTTTTTCGGTTTGTTTACTCTCCTTGTTGCGGTCGTGGAATATCTCTCGTATTTCCTTGGACACACCCATTAAGTTCGACTTGCCCTTTGACGGACTCCACCCTCCTTTACCTACTATACTGCTACTATCCACACTTTTCTCAGGAGGACTTGAACCTTCAGGGAAGTCGGCCGTAGCAGCCTTAACTTCTTCCTCCACAATGCGCATTCTTTCGTAGTTTTCGTAGGCTTCCCGTAGAGGCACTATCATAACAGGGGCTACTTGAGGAAACAACTGCAAATAAACCATAAAAGAATTTAAAAAGAGACACAAGTACAAGGCGGCACAAAGGGTCTAAAAGTAGAGCTGGTCCCGTTGGATCTTCGTCACAAGTAACCAAACCCCTTCCCCACTCCGCACTGCATTACGCTTCACTAACAGTCACTGGTACCCATTTGAACTCCTCGTTTGCAAGAGGCAGTGTGAGAATAAAGTGTCTTGAACAAGAACCGAACATATTAACGGCGACCAGGACCCAAACTCATCCCTTCCGATCCAGGCTTCAATGCGCTTACAACCACGCCAATGAATTAATAAATTAACGCACCGACCATTGAGCTGATCTACATTTGAGTTTCTATCCATATTCTAACATTTTCTGAGTACGTTTTCCAAACTGGGTAAACTAATATTGGACAAACGAAAAAAACTTCTGAAAAATGAAAGATCTGAGAGGCACTTTAGGTTTTCACGACAACAGTTAGCTTAAAATTGTTACAAATACCTTGTTCAACAGCTCAAACAGCGGAATCAGCACAAACTTGATGAAGCCGATCTGCGCGGTCGGTTTACTGACTTTATCACGGTCCATGAAAGGAGCCACAGGCAGACCCTCGGCTTTTTCTCGATCACTCTGGAAGTATGGAGTCAAATAGTATGTCATGGGCACACCAAGCTCCAGTATTCACTCCTTCCCAAAAAGGCAAAAATTTTAAGCAGATACCTCTATTTAAAAGCGAGGCTTAACGCAAATCCTTACTTTCACGAATGAGGTTGTACTCTTGGCCTCATTTTGACAATTTGGATATTTGGAACTCATAATTGGCCGCTCGTACAACTGTAAGTGCCTTTTTCCTTTCGTAATTAGAACAGATGTCTGATTATGAGGGGCGATAAAAATGAAAACTAAGTACTAAAGTCTATGTTAAAGCTCCTTGACCGAGGTCAATCTTTTCTCTTGTTATCTTAGTGTAACTGAAAAGTACATGGGAAGTTTTGGATCAATATCGATAACTGAACAACTGCGCACCTACCCCTTCCCTAACCCAACATTAACCCTAACTTGTTATCAGTTGACTTTTGTTGGGTTAGGGAAGGGGTGCGTAGTTTCTCATATACTGACATAGCACAGTTGAAAAAAGCCCCAAGAAAAAAATCTTAAAAATGTTTCTGCACCAGTTACTTCTATTGGCCATGGTTTTTGGAAGTTGATTCCCTGAATTACGATTGGTTGGTTACTCCTCATTCTAACCTGCATGAAGTATTCTTCAAGAAGACAGTCCGCCCAAGGTTCAGATACATCTATTGGACGAACTTCATTTGAAATGTCGCAACACTTTATAAGAATCATCTTGAGCTAATAAAAAAAAAGGGACAGCTTTTAAAAAAACAGACATTTTTAAAAGGTTGTTCATGTAATAAATGGGTATTTCCCGAAACAGACAAAAGCCAAGAGCGAGGAACATCGGGTACAATCGGGTACAACTCGGTAGACTTCGTTGTGGGCCAAGAGGTCGTTTGTATTCTAGTGTTACACCCACTCACTCACTCACTCACTCATTCACTCACTCATTCACTCAATAGGACAACATTATGGCTTCGCCTCCATGGAAGGCAGTATTAAAAATCAACACCTGAATTTTCTCCGCAGACGTAACAAATACGTGTTAAAACAACCCTGACAGCTACCGTGAACAAATTTCGTTCATTCGCTCACCGAACTAACGTAATCATCGTTGCTGAAATCAAAGGTGTCCAGTTTACTCTTAAACCTCTCCACTATCTCACTGTGCCGAGCCATGTCGGTGGCCAGGATCAGCATCACAATTTCCTGTGAAAAAAAATTTATTACAAAATGATAGTTATGGGAAGGGAGTGCAGGTATCTCTCCCTGAAGTTAGTCCAAAGCCAAGTCCCACATGCATGCCTTAGGTACAAAATTACTTTTGAAAGCGCCCTCTCCCTAGGCTTCCTTACCTAATGCAACCGGAAAGTAGAGACGCCGTTGTCTGGTAGCGAGCGCGCAAAACTCTAAATCAATGGACGGATCAATTTGACGATGGATTTGATTCCTCTTCTGCGTCAGCACAGCTCCTGATTCCACCCTCATTAACGTATTTGAGGGTATTGACGAAATGTCAGAAGGATAGTAAAGGGAGAGGGGTAAGGAACCAGTTGTATCTCATCAAGGGATCCAAGGGGGGAGGGGGCGGGGAAAGCGATACAACCAGTTCAAAATAGATTCGTGATAGCTTTGGGGTGTTTTAAAATTGTTGTTGTTGATGTTGTTTGTTACGCCACCTACAACAGCTAAAAAGAAGTAAATTTTTCGTTCTCACTCTAAATATCATCGTCGGTATGACTGTTAACTGTCACAATTGTGTGACGAGAACGCCACGATCCTTAAAGAATCGTATTGTCACAAACAAAGGGCTTTTCAAAATTTGAGAAAAAGAAACACCCACCTCTATCGACATAATGGTTAAAACAGGGGACTGGTAGGAGTAAGAGACAATTCTCACCTGCCGAATCTTCTTCTGATCCTCCTTACTAAGGTTGGCAAATATGTTACAGTCCGGCTGATAACAACAATACATTATAACTAGTTATTGCCTGATTGTGCAACTTTTTTGACATATCTTACACACATTAGTGTGACAAGTGTAGCTTGTAGCACTGATGATTTGGAGACATAAAGTTTGGCGGCGAGAACGTTTTGTGATTTTTGATCGTGATCGTGCACATCATCATAATTCTCTTTCAATTTATAAGCATAGACTATGGCTATCATGTACGAGATTATTTCAAAAGGGCGAGAGCTAAAATCATTATTAAACATGGCCGTTATTAACACTTCAACTCCTAAGATCTATTAGTTAATTCTCCCCTCTAGCTGCTACACATTTCCATGAAAATCAGTTACGAGAATTTAGTGTAAGGTATAGATAAAAACTCAAGTTCTGCCTGATAAGTTTGAGTATTCTCATTACACGTTTGCCGGATATCGTACGAATCTTATGGGAGAAGTTACATTTAATCACTTAAGTGAGTTAAAGCGTTAAAAGGATATCAGATACCTGACTAATGATCTCAAACGCGATGGCTGCGTGATGATTTTCCAGAGGTGAGATGTCATTGTAACGAATGGCAAGCTCCGTCTGGGCGTTGATCTGGTAACTGTAGATATTGGAAAAATTAAAGATCAGACAATAAGTTAAATCAAAGCAACTTTTTACTTGAGGGTCGAAAGTAATCCAAGATCGTTCTGCTTTTACTTCATTCTGCTTTGTATATTGTTCCAGAAAAATTGCGCCATCCTCTCAACCAATCAGATGCAAAACCAAAGACAATCGCGACTAGGTCTGCCGCGTTTTCCCGCGCTGCAAACAGTTTTCTTGTTAATTTTCACTTGGGGGGGGGGGGGGGAGGGTGTAGCAACACGTAGGCAAACCTTTGTTCTGATTGGTAGCCGGGATTGCGTTCGTTTTCATATTCCGACACTCCACTGAAAACTGCTTTACACATGCAGTTTGATTGGCTGGCTATGGTGCTGTTTTTAATTTGAACAACTTACGTGTTGTTAAATCCCGGATGATCGAGGTCATGGCAAATGCAGGCGGTCATAAGAACAAGCAGGTCCATTTTTGAAAGCAAGTCTTTTAGGTTACACAGATGGACGATGCAAAACATCTGATGAGAAAGAAACACGCATGAGACCACTTTTATATTGAATGTATTGAAAACTTCTGGTCAAAAAAGGAGTGAAAGTCTTCCTTATACTTTTCATTGTTAAAAGTTTTCAGGCACACATGTTGGAAGAACTGTTGGGGTCCGCCACAAAAAGATTGAAATTTGCAAAACTAGCTCCACAAAGTTGTTGTGTGTCCACCGTGTCCTGGTCGGGTTGGAAATTTAAGTATTGGCTTTTGTGGAGGTAGGAAAACTAGCGAAGCCAGAGAAAACTCCCGAGTCAAGGATGAAAACTTGGGAAACAAGGATGAAAACTCCCGAAGCAGGGTCGAAAAACAAAAACACACTACTACCGACATATAACACAAAATTTACGCCAAACCAGAAGGGGACTTAATGTTCTTACCCCTCAGCCATTCTACTCCCCTCGTTTGAGCAGATGGAGCAAGTGCGTAAACTTCTTCTTCATTTATTATTTTCTCCTTACAGTATCTTCAATGAATTTCTGTTCTTCAAATTGAGTATTGTTCTAAGTTTTACGAAGTAAAGGATTCCTGGAAGAAAAGTACTGCCTCAACTCAATCCCAGCTCCCCCTCCTCCCCACCGAAAATTTTTCTTCCGGTTACCAAGAACTTTAAAACAAGGTTTCCTAAATCTGTTTGTATTTTTCGACTCCCTCTTGGTGTAGAAGACACAGGACATGTCACAATAGAATACCGACTCATCAACCGACTGATTTCACCTGTTTTCCTCGTTCTTTATTTTTGTTCTCTATTGTTTTACGTTAACTGAATCTTCTACACCAAGTAAGATCCTGTTTTTCTCAGTAAGTTTCATATACACAGTGAGACAGGCCTTGATCGTTACAAAATTCTTGTCCGTGATGCAAATGAAGCGAGAAAAGCTTTAAACAACATCTTATTGAGAGGACGTCACTTACCATCTGAGTGACACAAAAGCAATGACGAAAATTGTGGAAAGGATTGTTTCGGTAGTTTTGTTGAATTGATACCTGTGAAGTTTGAACCAGAAATAATATTAGATGTTGTAACAGGTAAATAAACATTTTCGGTTTGACGAATGATTTCTGAAATAGTTGGTTTCAGTCTTATGACTGAAAGAGAAACCACTTATCAACCCTTTCACTCCCAAGATCTAATTAGTAACTCTCCTTACTGTCGCAGTACAATTGTTATGATGGTAGATCGGAGAATTTGTTACTGGATCACATAATAATCCACTTTTTGATATTTTCTCTTGATTCTTATCACCTGTCTGCTTGATATCGTATTGATATTGTAAGGAGAAATTCTGTCTTGGTCACTCATGGAAGTTAAGGGGTTAATACTTCTGTCACTCTTACCAAGAAACGCCTTAGAACAACTGAGTTGATTCCAAAGTCATCGATTAGTCCAAGTTCCTGGTACATATGTTCCATGAGTGACAACATCTATAAAACGGAGATAAGACCTGATGGATTATCATAAAGAAAAGTTAAGTAAATAGACGTGCACACAGACAAGTACAGACGCAAACATGAAATCAGAATGATGAAAAAAGCAAAAGAGAGACAAAACAGGGACTCCATGCTGCGACCGTTTTGGCCGCCAAGATGACTAGAAAAGAACAAACTTTGGCGTGTGAATTTGCAGAGTACGTTGCCAATTAGAAGACCAAGTAATATTGCACATAACACAACGGGTTAACTATCATAAATGACTATCATCCCATCCTTTATAAAGGCTGAGTTATAATTACTCATTTTCGCTTTATGTTTTAAAAACTGAGACAATTTCCAGCAGTTTAGCTTCGTTGGCTTGTACGCAGACTCAGTGACCTTAATACAAATTTACGTCACACCTCATTTGGTTCCCAGTGCCATATGTTGAAAATTGGTTCCTTCAACTGCTCTACCGTTGTTTGAGACAAGGTATACTGCAAAATAAGTTTACATTTAATTGAAAACCTATTCGCAAAAGATATATCCAGGTATGGGACTAGATATATCCAAGTGTGGCGGTTATACGGAAGAGACTGCCGTCTCTAATTTTTAGCTCACGACATGACACTTTCGATTCTGATTAATTTATTCATCAAAAATGGATTAACAATCCAGCTCCAATCTCTCCTGCTAAGTTATTGTTTTGTTCCACTGTGTCTGTCAATTTTTATAGGGGGACGAGAAAGGCGTGAAATCTTGCCCGATAACATGATCGTAAGCCATACATGTTCGCATTGCGGACCTATTTTTTTACTCAGCTGCCTTTTCTTTAGCTAATCCAATTCATCCATGAGCTGCCTCACAGGAGCCTTTAATTATATCAAGTGTTTAAGCAGCTACAAAACAATCTCTTGCCTAAGATCACCTTATGTTCACTTTAAGTTACCTTGACAAAGTTGGGCATTGGTCGTGAAATGCTGATGTTCCTTTTATTATTCTTGTTTGTCTTGACATTGTCTTTGATGGCTTGCCAAGTGATTCTAGGATTGTTACGAGCAAAAACGATCACAGTTTAGCAATTATCAAAATATCATAAGCAAGATAGTGGCCTTCGATTCTGTTTCTGTGTTTTCTACATTTTTGTACTCATCAGCCGGAAATATTTTTTCCTTTAGTTTGCACCTTCTTCATAATTAGAGTTCAAGCTTGATTTTTCTTCCATTTCTCGTCTTTCCTTTTTTAACCGAGGGAATCCTTTAATTTTTCCTTGACGTGTGATTTAACTCAATATATGACATCGAATTTTTTCGCTAAGCGTTTCCAAGTATTAGCAATATTTATCATAGAATAGAATATTTCGACACCTTCATAATAAGATATGTAATGTGCTTCCGTTCTATCATTTGCCTGTGTCTCACTTGGCTTGAATGTTTAGGCAGAGAACAGAATAGAATAGACGATCTCCGGAAAACGGGACTGATCTGAAATATGCGCTCGAGGGATTCACATTTGGAATAAGGATGACAGTCTCTTACCTTAACTTGAAGGTCTCTCGAACACATTATATCAAATTAGAAAGAGTTTCGAATGAGTGCCATAAAACCAAATCCGAAGTTGTTATGTGACCACGTCGCGATGGATTTTAGTTTTAAATTTGATCGCCTTGGTAGAATGGCGCGAGTTTTCCCAGCCAATCAGAGACTGCAGAGTAGAGTAAAATCACACGATCCCGGATTACTCTGGACATTCAATTTAAAAATATTGTGATTAACACCAAAGGGGAATGCACTAGATTCTCATCGGATCTGAAAATGAAGTAAAAAAAAGAAATGTGCGTAGATTTTTGGAATAAATACCTGTCTTGACGTATTTGTTCCCTTATCTCGGTGATCTCTGCACTCAAGTGCTGCATTTCAATTGCCTTCAATGCCTCAGCTTTAAGCAAAAGGAAAGTAAGGGGACCAGTTTCAAATAATCATAACTGTGATTTTTTTCTTATGACGAGTTAAAGACGCTTCGTGGAGATTTGTGAATCGTAGAAAAAGCAGCTCATCTTTGCCCAAACATCGATTGCTATCAGTGTTTTCTGGTGATTTCTATTCTTAATAGCCTCGCTACAATTTTTAATGAAGAAATGTAAAATGGTTTCCGTGTTTACATAGCCTGATGTAAACACTTGGGAGGTTGGGAGAACATGAGATAAGCGTAGGAAACCACGACGCGAAGCGGAGTGGTTTCCAGCTTATCGAGTGTTCTCCCAACCGCCCAAGTGTTTACATCAGGCTATGTAAACACGGAAACCATTTTACATTTCTTTTATAAAATAACTAATGAAAGAGGAACGAAAACCGTGTTTACATACGCTCATGTAAAATGGTTTTATGGCCAATCAGAGCGCGCGTACTATTTGAATTATTTTATAACATAATTTATTCACGATTCAGCGTGTGTTCATGAACTATGAAGCACGCGGGAAGTTTAGAGAAAATGCACAAAGGTGTGTAAGATGTGCTCGAGTAACCTTCTACTTTTCTTTCCAAATGCGACAGTTGTTTGGCCAATTCGGACTTCAGCTGGGACACTGTGAAGGTACTGGAAAAAAATTAACAGTAAAAAAATTGGTGATCAAGTATACGCCAGACATTTTTTATCATAGTAACAGGAAATAACCTGAGCCATTATATGTGCAAATATGAAAATTCGTGGTGGCTTTTCAGCAAGGAAAAACAAACAAAGGCCAAGTGATAAATTCGTTATGAAGAAATATTCATTGAATGTCGTATGAGCAATTGACCAGAATTTGCATGTATTCTCTACGTAAGACTGATATTTTCAACCGAGTTAAAACAAATTTATCTCTAACTCATTAAATAATTCATAAAATCAAGCTTGGCCAGAAGTCAGTTAATGTTTATCTAACCTGATAAACTTATCAGCAACTTGGCTGAGCACATTTGCAAAGACCTCTTCGTCTCCTAGATACGAAGAAAAATGGAACGAAAATAACGTGAACAAAGGAAAGAGAAGAAAATTTGTAGTAATATAAACCTTTTGTAATTCAAGCATGATTGAAGGAGATAAAAAAACGAAAGGAAAAAGGATATATCCACCAAGTGTGACGAAGGAGAAAACATGCCCTCAGTGCCAAGCGCGGGAAAAATAAACCAATTACCATGCTGGGAGAAATATATTGGACTGTCGGGGTAGATTAGCTCGTACACAACACGCAAACGGCGCCGAGAGGCACCGAGAGTCTGATCAGCAACAGTTTACTTGACTCTCCGAGAAAACTTCCCGTTGAGGACTCTAAGCAAGATCAAGGACAAACCCTAACACGACTAGCGATGTTGGTCATCGTACGAGAATTAAACCTGACTATAACGGTCAGGGACACATCACTCAAGAACTTAAAATAAATTTGTGGTCTTACAGCACGTAACAAACCAAGGCTCAAAAGACTCGCACAAAGATTTCAAGATAACCTAACAGGCCTAAACAATTCCCAAATATTTAGCCAGAACGTTCCTAAATTAAGTAGTCCCCAAACCGACTTCTAATTTTTGTATTTCATAACAAACATACAATAAGCTCCAACTGCGAGAAAACATATTACAAGCACCAAGTGCAAGAAACTCACAACGAGCACTAAATGCGGGAAACTTCACAACTAGCACAAGCGGGGGGAACTCGTAAATAAAACAAGGGGGGGAATTCACAACGTGGTCCACGCGCTGGAAATGTCCAACCTATGCCAAGCTTACCGCAGAGGTACCAAGTAATGTCTGACTATTTCACTTATTCCACCTTTTTCGCTTTCTGACCAGATGGAAAAAGGCATCCTGTACGTCCAGCTACTTACAAGTGACGCGTCCATGCCGCACAGCAATTTCAACTTTGGGGAAAACTCAGCAGCACGCTTATTCAACGGCGGACCGAAACCTATAGTACCATTTCTGACTTACCGTGCTTTTTGTCCATGGCACCAACTACAACACGATAAGGTGATCTACGAAATGAAACTAAAATATCGTTAATAACTATGTGTAGATGGGCGAAGTATATGGATTTTTGTCCATGGCACCAACTACAATACGATAAGGTGATTTACGAAACAAACGAAAACATCGTTCATAACAATGTGCAGATGGGCGAAGTATATGCGCATTGGCCTAAAAGTCAACTTATGACGAGTAAACAAGCTTCGTAGACTTTAAAAACAGGAAACGAAGGCGGTAAATCCTACAGTTACTGAAAGAGTTATGCTTAATTGTCAGAATTTAGTCAAGTTATTTTAAATATGAGATTGCCTTGGTTCTCTTGTGCCAAGAACGGCTTGTTTTCACACACACTACGTGAAAAAAAAGAAGTGACAATTGTTGGAAATATGGAATGAAATGCCATGAAAAAATTTGAAAATACTTTTCTCTGAGCGTGATTTATGCCCCATCCACCACAGCAAAACATGTTTAGTTAAATCAGGTTTAACAGAATGAAAAATTAGCGACAGAAAACTGAATGGGGTTCAAGTAATCACTGGGCTGTATTTTCGTTATACTACATTTGAAGCCGATAAACTACAATGTAAGCAACTTCCACGAAGGAACAATTTTAGGCCATGTCAAAAAAAAAAACAGCTTTGAAACATTTCTTAGCTGTAGTGTGAATGGAGCATTAGTTGTAAAGGTTACTCCTCGAGACCCAATTGAGTGTGGATATTAAAATATTTTCTCCTACCGTGCGGTATTCGACGGTAAATTCGGCTCAATACACACAGTGCTTCCATCTTGTGTCTTCAACATCATGTTGGACCATCTGAGATAAAAAAAACAGTGCGAAATGAATAACAGCAAGATAAAATGACGGAAGAGAGAGGAATACTTGAGACTATAGCTGAGATTTGTCAATTCCATGGCCACACAGGGTTTTTTTCGACGACCCCACTGTGAACTATCGAAATATTCTCTTCAACACGGAAGTACGAAAACAAATTTCTTTAACTCTGCGCTTTCAAAAATGTGAAGTAGGGATGTAATTTCCCCAGTTTTAAACCTCACTAATAACAGAGAAAATTAGGTCGTTGAACAGAACATCTTTGGCTATGAACTTACAGAAAATTAATTGTACAGACCAGACAAAGACAACCCTCTGAACTTACCGACTCACTCCAACGGCTGAAGCTAGAAGATCTTTGATATCCCGAGAACTACTATGCTTTGAGAAAACAACCTAAATGATATTTCGAAAGAAGAAAATGTTCACGATACTCAGTTACACAAGTGTAATGTGATTAGGTCCCAAGGGTTATCATGTTGTTCATTTCTTTTCATTTCGACACTGCGTGGAGTGCATAAATTGCAGCTCCTTACCAATCTCAACTTGACCAGCTAATGGAAATATATAGCTGGCACCGTTCTACGCTTGAGGAGGCGACTCATCAACTTAACAATTCAATTCCGCCATTTTTCATCACCTTACTGTGATTTTAAAGCAATCAAATATAGTTATTTCGCGAAACATTAAGAGATATAAAGATAAAACGAGTCCACTTTTTCTTCAAATACCATCGTCAACACATTTCATGCACTAGAAAAACAAAATCATCGAATTTTAACACTGATCCTAATGAAAAAATTTCTTACAGGATAAAAAATAGAATGAAAAGTGGTTGATAAAATGGCGATTAAATTAGATTTCCTCACTGAAAGGCAACACATATAGAATCGAAAGAACGACGGAGAGTCGATCAAAATTTTCTTACCTTTTGTTTGCGCCCGTCCACTTCAAGATAAATGGTTTTGAGATTTGCCGACGCTTTGCCCGAAACTCCATTTCCCATGTTGAAAGAAATTTGTTCACCTCTTTACTTATTTCAAACAGGCTAGTATTTCATGACCCACTCAGTCGGTAAAGCTTTTCCTTAGGTGAACATGATTCGACTACAGTCGCCCTCGATAACCATGTCATATGTCTGTTTCCAATGGCAACAAAAAAAGTTAAAATCTTGCATAACAAACAAATTCCGACAGGGTTTGCTGTAGAAGCAAAAAGCAAAATTTAGCACAATTTTGTTTCCTTTTTTCCAATTAGGTTCAACAATATGAGACAAGGAAATAACTCTTATTCATAAATATGTTCATGTTATTGCGCAAGCAGCTGTTAAAGTGGAAGTGTTTCGGTGAATCTGCCCCTTTACACTGTAATTACGTTTGACGTATATCGAGAAGCTGTATATGGAAATTGAGGGGAGAAACTGAAATGACGTTAGCAAATCATTATCTCATAAATAAAATAGGACCTCCCTCAAACGAAGAACTGACCAATAGAATCCACAGTTGCTTGATAAACAAGCCGAGTCAAGGGCTCCAAATTAAAAAGTTAATTTAAAATGTGAATTATGTACCTGAAAAAAATTACGCGCTTCTGATTGACTGAAAACGAGTGCATTCTCATGTCACACAAGTGCAAAGTTGTAACACTTGTGCAAATTAGCGCGCACGCTTTCAAAGTTTCGTCCGTCTTGACCCTTCGTGATGTTTTTATGTACATTATTAACAAGAAATAACATGATTTCTCTTACAATTTGGTGGAATTAGTACTTGTAAATTTGTCAAAGACTAGAGATGCACGAGCCCGTAATTTTGTTGTCTTTGAAAAATGTACTCGTGCTTACTACCACCAAATTGAAAGAGAAATCATGGAATTACCTATACTAATTGAACTGAGTGGAGTGCAATATGGTCTGAAATCATAAGCGTGTACACAAGTACACGCATTTCAGATCAAAATTGCACGACACGAAGTTCACTTACCACTCAATTACATCCATTTTAAAATCGCAAAATTCAGTCGCTTAAATGCAAGATTCTTTAGTCTGCACAAACATTCTATTGTAGTGAGCTAGTGTGAAGAAAGTTGCATTAGTTGTTTTTTATTTTCCTGCAATTGGATTGGTTTCTTTGAACAAGCCTTGGGAAAAACATACGATTAAGAGCAGAAAATGTTACGTTTCGTAAATGCATGGCACCAATGAGAGCCATTGAATCAGATTACAAGGATCACCGGTGATTTCAAAATGGGTGTAATCAAGAATATCTGTTTATCCTTAATTAAAACATGTTCATTCTCTTTGTTACAATTTCTAACTGTTCACAGCAATGATCGCATGGCTACGCCTTCTAAATGTATTAAACAAAATATGTATCCATTTATTTATCATCAATTGCTTAAATGTTCTGTCCATAAAAATGATCTCAAACGAGTACTTCACATACCATCCCCGGGAAAATTCTGAAACCCAGATTTCTTTTTGTCGAACTCTGACTTATGACCTTGTTGTCTAGACCAGTAGTGACAAGAAAAAAATATTATCGGCAAAGATAGTATTTGTGGACCGTCAACCCTCTTTTCTTTACTAACATTAGGCGATAGCTTTCTGCTACAGTGGATTGAGTGGATAAGAGAATGGCACGAGACAAGGTGCGTCGTGCTAGAAAAGAAACTTGGTTTGTTTTTTCGTGGGTTCGGCTTAGTACCTCACTGTCCAAACGACATTTATGCGTTTGGTTTCATTCACACTTGCAGAATCATACAAAACCAGACTACAACGATGTACTACGATGAACCTACCTCTACGAGGTAGTCTACGATATTTGCTAACTAGAGTTCGAACCTTTATCAATTCGCTGCCAAAATTCGTTCTACAGCGCGCTGAGCATTATAAATACAGTCATTTACGCTAACACCATTATATGATGATCCGATCAGAGAAAGAGGTAACTTGCGTTTCTCAATGAAGTCGAAAATGTTTTTTAAACGATAAGAATGACCCAAGGTGTACTGAGGTATACAGTCATGTTGCACAGTGGTCAAACAACTCGTCGGTTTAGTTCGGATGCCGAGCGTTCTTTCGGCAGCTTCTTCCGCAACGTCTTGTAGATGACTGGGGTCTACTGAGTTAGGATCTCCAAATAAGGAATTGAACCAGTGACCTCCCATCATGACCTGAAAGTCGACAGAAAAGGGATGGAATTGAAATAGGGAACAGAAACGAAACGAGTCAGGTTCATTGTTATTATCGTTATTATTGGTAGAAGTGGTATCATTATCATCATCGTTATCATTATAACTATAAATTAATACTAATTATAACTATATAGTAATACTAGGATTTTTACTATAATTACAATAATTACAATTAGAGACACAGGGGTCTGCGGGAGCGCGCTGGACTCTGGAACGAGAAGTCCAGGTTCGAGCCCCGACCTGTTATGCTGTTAACCAAGGCACTCTTTTGCCACTCAATAAAATATTGCTCTTTGTACGATTATACTGAAAGTCGATACTTAAATATGTATTTTCTTGGTTTCAAAAGAGGCACAAGGTTTTCTGAACAAATTACAAGAGCGTAGCGAAGTGAAACCGAAGTAACCTGAACCACTTTCTTCACTCAATTTCAAATCGGTCTTTTTAGGGGTATACTGAACGTGGATACTTTAAAAGGATCTTTTGTTATGAACAACTTGGCTTACTTACAGTTAATCGTGTAGTTTTTCCTCCGGGTCGATCATTTTCAGGGAAGGCGCAGGAGTCAAAGATAATCCCGAGAACTTTCAATGGTTCAGAGGAAGGAGCTAAATACCCAAACCCCTCCACGGGCACTACATTTCCTTCGTACTCAAGATTGACCACAGCTACTGTTGTACTGTTTATATTTTTCAACTCCGATGTTAATTCCAGGCAGTCTTCGGGTAAAATAGTTGCGAGACTCTCAGCTGGTATGCCGCTCATCACGTGATCTACTGTTAGCTCCTCATGGGGCCATGCTACTCTCAGTTTGCCGTCAGGGTTAAAATTCACAGCTGTACAAGGTGAGGTCATTTTGACGTTCACTCCCCGCTGTATTAATACTTCAAGTAGTTTGTCAGATAGTGTCTGCAAACCGCCCTTGAGCGACCAAGTGCTCCATTGTTCTTCTTTAGCCCTCATTGCCAATGGACTCATAACAGAGGGGTCGGAGACTAAAATGAATGGAGGACATTTCATTTTTTCATTTGCAATCTACTTCAATCATTTCCATTCCTAACCTATGAGAATTGCTTACCTTTATATTTATTTTACAGGAAGAGAGACATAGCTCAATTCCAAGACAGAAAATAAAGATAGGTCACCATGCTTGTTGGAGAAAAACTGATGAGTTACATATACCTCTCCAGTGAGCTCCAAAAAAACATCCATTTTTTAATGTGCGCCTTAGTTACATGTGAAATTATGCACAGGAAGGATGTGCAATGGAACACTATGGAGTGACCTTAACCCTGTAATCCCTGAGAGTGACTAGCTTTCTCCTTTCAATACCCTATCACTACTGAATCAAACATTAAGGTCAAGTGGATAAAAGAAATGATACTCAGCTGAAGAACCTTAAACAAATTCTCCTTGCCAGCACATTGGGAAATGTAAAGAAAACAGTATGGAGAATGTGCATGTTGATGTTAGGGTGTAAAGGGTTAAAAGTTTATGAGGTTAGTTAAAAGCTCTTCAATTTTAAGAATGACATGGTTCAACCACATTTAGAAGAGGGTTGCTTCTACTAAATTCTGAAGACCTTCCCTCTGAAATGCAAACGCAGGTACCTTCTTTTGTAAAGAAAGCTCCTTTGATTATGGAACCATGTTGATTCTCATACTGATGCACAGCAGGAAAACATGACTGAAGGCTCAGCAAACGAGAGTCACCAGCAAAGATGCCTCTACAGAGTGGATCACTGAGATACTCCGCTACCTTGAAACCACAGAAAAGCAAACACAATAAGCCAATCATGACAAATATCCAAAGTGATTCTACTGATATTGAGTTGACATTTTGGGCAAATTCACCTGCGATAAATCAACTAAAATCAAAGAATTTGCAACAGCCTTTGTTCACAGATCAAACATTTACATTAAAATACATTGTGACAAATGAAAACTAGTAAATGCACATACCTCTTCATTCATCCTTCTTTTGAAGAAATTATAAATGCTTTCATCCTCATGATCTTGCTTTATTCTCACAAATGGTTCTCTAATTATAGTAGGTAGTAATGATTTAGAAAACAAAGATTGTCTTTTTATTATTGATATAACTCCAGAGGGAAGCTGATGCAGTTTTTCACGAGAGTATATAAATCTGCTCCTTGCTGCAGGATGACTTGAAGAAACTGAGAGAACATTTTTCTCCAAGCCCAGATCATGAACCTGTTCAAAAAGTACAGAAGAAAGATCATTTTGTGAACATGAATCGAGTGACCCCTTCCCACCAAAGAGAAAGTACCCTCTAAGGGACCTTTTGTGATTTAGAAGGAGGAAGGGCTGGTGGAGAAAGTTGGTAGGTCGCCAATTTTTATGCAAAGATAAAAAGATTGGGGGGTAGGCATATAAATTTCTACAAGTATTCAATGATTCCGGCATAACAAAACATAAGGTAAAATACCCCTAATATCTAACAAAGCACTTAACTACAAGTGCCTCACGAAAAGGCGGGTTAGGATAAAGTAAACAAGGGATATACAATTTTGCATTAGCCCTGTCCCTCCCCCCTTTTAAATACGACTGGTCCCTAAATCACCCCCAATGAATTGTGGAGCTACTGCTCCAATATAGGACTTCAGTTGAGCATAAAAACAAAAAGCGACCACGAGTGACACACACTCGTGAGAAATTTTCCCTCATATGAATTCTACTTACAATTTTAAGGGTTGCTCTCCCGGCATTGCCTGCGGGCCTAATACTTCTCGGGCCTAACTCGAAAACAGCCCCGTTCTCCGTAGAGCAACTTTGCATCCATCCCCCAACTCTCTCGCTAGATTCAAGAACTGTTATGTTACTCGGGTCTTTCACTTTATCCAGTAGGTGATAAGCGGCGGCTAGGCCAGATATTCCTCCACCGAGAATGGCAAATTTTCGTGAGGAAAGTGATATTTGCCCTACACCTGTGACCGCCATATTGGAAGGTTGAAAGAGATCTGGTACTGCTTTGTTTTCCGCTGGTTTTTTGCACACGGGCTCACTGTATATATCAGGCTCAGTCATGTGCCTCACAGGCTCAAATTAAGTGGATATTTGTAGCTTTTTACAAGTTTTACTGCTCAAAGTTTGCGTTTCGATACGAAATGTGAAAGAATCGCATAGTTCTGAGATGGTTAGTTTAAGTGGAGACCGAGGAAGCGGGGTAAGAGATTTTTTTCCGCATCAGCGCAGTCTGGACTGTTTTAACGAATACTGTTCTGCTTATTCCTTTGCGTTCAGATCATCTGAAGTATCAAGCGTGTCGTCTGTATTATAAAGTTTCCATTTGTCCTTTCGTTCATGTCAGTTTAAAATGAAATATAGAGAACTAAATTTGTTTCCTCGGTAATGAGGAAGATACACGCGCTAACGTTGTCGCAATCAAAAAGAAATTTCCGCACTTCAGGTTAAATGACACAATTTCACTAGTATACTGGCAGAATAAATATGTGTTTAACTATCTCACAGGTTAACCAACAACAGTGAGACGATGCAAGTTTTTGCATGCTCACTATTTGTTTTGATTTTTCGTTAGGTTCGTTTATCTTTTCCCTAACTTACTTGCAAGTGACATACATTGTAACATTTATTAGGTTATTTAACATTGCTGAGGAGGGGGGCTCATTGTAGCATGAGATGCCGTGTGGTTCCATGACTTCTGGTGCAATATCATGCTTATCTTCAGTGTCTGTAGCATGAGTGTTTCTACTTCTCGTGGCAAAGCAAATATGAACTGGCAGGCTTCAAACTCTCACCTTTTGTGAGTTTGAAGTATGAACCCTTAAGTCCCATAAGTCAGACCAAGACAGAATTTCCCCTAGAATGTCAATACAATATAAAGCAGACAAAAGATTAGAGGAAAAATTATCAATTAGGGGAATATTGTTTGATCCAATACCAAATTCTCAGAACACAAGTAATAAGAATTACACGGCAGATAGTAAGTAGAATTACTACCACTGTATTACTATTACTGTAACGAGATCTTAGGAGTGAAAGGATTAACCCCCAAAGGCCAGAGCATGGAGGAACACATCATTTATCTGAAGTAGTGATGTGGGGGGAAAAGGAGAATAAAGGTGGTTACACTCCTATGGACATGCAAAACAAACTACAGGGAGAGTGTTTACTAGTTTTTTTTTTAGCACTTTACTTCTAAACATTATTAGTTGAAAGATAAGAGGTCCTTATCCATAAAATATTATGTACAGTGTAAGTATATTTTGGTGTTGTTTTGGTTTTGTTGACATATTTATTTTATTATTTGCTAAATTTTTATATAGCTGCTCTCAAATTCAGGGAGCAGTTAAGGTTATGTATCTATGTAAGTCTCACTTTAATTTTTTTTTTTCTCTTTTTTTTTTTCTCCCCACAGGGTTACTTTTTCGACCGAGAGGACAGTGGCAGTCCAGGGATATCTTCTCAAGCCCAGGAAGAAGCCCTAGCCAATGACACAGCTTCCCTGGGTCTTTTACCTGAAACAAAGTTTCATCCAATTCGAACAGCATGGATTGCTATTTTGCAGCTGATCCTCTTTGTAAGTACAAGCACAAGTTAAGAGTTTATAGAGATAATGGGCAATACAAAGATAATTTGGATGTTAATCAAGTTCTTCATTTGCCTCTTTGGTTTTGGAAGAAAATCAGTGCTATGAATTACATGTAGCAAAAAGAAAGACATTCAGCCATGTTGTATTTTCAAATTTTGTCATAAAAGGATTTGTTGATTTTGCCAAAGAATTTCCTCAAAGTATTTCTCTCTACTAATAGAACAGTGTATGCTTTGTGCTTGTGATTGATAATGGTAATAGGACTGAGTGGAGTCCAATTCTGTCTGTAATCGTACGAGTGATAAACAAAATTATATAATAAGCTCATTTATGCACGCATTCTGATAGGTTCTCACTTATGATCTATTGGAGGACAGACGTATTGATGACATCATCATTAAAAATTTTTTTCCATATATTTTGATTCTTTATTATATAAAACAAATATATTCCAAGTTGCCGCGTGTCTGTTCAGTAATAGATCACAGAGGACGTCAAAATGTGGTAAGAACATCAGTGACACACTCGGCTGCGCCTCATGTGCCACTTTTTTGTTCTTACCACATTTAGACGTCATCTGTGATCTATTACTGAACAGACGCATGGCAACTTGGAATCTATTTGTTAAATTGGATGACTGCAAAGCAGGAGTCCGATTTGTTAATCACGAGTATGATTACAGACAGAATTGGACAGCACAAAGTCCTATTATCAATTAATCAAAACTATGACAAAATTTGAGAAAGAAACTAGACATTGGGTATATGTTTTCATAAAAATATCAACATTTAACTTGGTGAAATGGGAGACAACAGTGCGCTCATGATGCTTTCTGTCCTCTTACATAGGCATGATGTGTTAACTGTCCCTTGAACTGTGTTATTACACTGTCCAATTACAAGCATGATGTGTACACTGGCCTATTAGTGCTCAAATCAGGCTGGTGATAACCAATCACGTTCGAGAATTTTGTTATAGTTTTGATTAGACAGTATAATTGGACAGTTAACTGTATGTGTTGTGTCTCTATACACATCATGCATTGTTGTTTTGCTTTTCTCAGAGTTTACTGGGTTTTTTTATGAAAATGTATAGCTACATGTAGTTTGTTTCTTACATTTTGTGACAGTTTTGATTAATTGGTAACAGGACTTTATGTTGTCCAATTCTGTCTGTAATCATACTTGTGATTATCAAATCAGATTCTCACTTCATGCTTGTCTGGTTTTGTCAATCACTCATATGATTACAGACCATGCTGGACTCCACTCAGTCCTACCATCATTATGGATTGGTAAGACTTGTCTTCAGTTATCTTTAGTATGGATATGTAATATTAAATATTTGACACAAAATTAAAGAATATAATATTATGTCAAATAAATAACTTTTAATTAGCTTGGAAAAAGGCTTGAAAGAAACGGCAAATGCATGCATGCTAAATTTTGCAGGAAAAGGAAGATATCAAGTTTGGATGAAATACCATTCAATAGACTAATGTACTATACATTCTGATTGGCCCCAGTTTGGCGTGTTACATTAGCCTATAAAGCAGGGCAGCTTGGCCAATCACTCCCTATAATTTTCAATAAAGCTTATAATTGTATATATAAATATATATTTATCAATTTTTTATTTTTCAGATTGCTTTTGAATCCCTTCAATTTATTTTGCCAAATAAAAACCTCATGGGTAAAAACTTTGAGGATTCCTTGTCGCTTGGTGGTACGGATCCTCCATTCAGCTTCTTCATCTTGCTACATGTGGGGTTGTGGGTAGTTATATTTATCTGCGACAGAGTTTTGCAATATCAACATCATCAGTCCCAAGCTAAAGGCTATCTGGAGTTCTTTAGAGAGACCAAAGAGTTGAGAAGAATTCCGCACGCCATTTTATCACTAGGTCTGGTTACATTTTCACAGCACTATCAGTAGAAACAGTATTTTATTTTACAACACTCTAATTCATACTTGGTTGAATTAAGGTATAGGATTAATGATTGACCAGCAGACTAACACCCTATTTGGGTGGGAAGAGAGTTGGAAAGAGGTCCATTACCTTCTCTGTGCTCTTCTGGGAAAAATGTGTGAATGGAGTGAATTAATTTTCCTGGTATTTGTATCAATCTCTTACATACTTACAGGGTGAGGAATGTTCACCAACACCACTAGGTGTTGAAACAGCATTGTTATTTTATAGGTCAACTTAAAGACTTATTTTGAAGACTTACCAGTACATATGTTACAGTATATTCAGTGTGGAAACCATAACTATTGAAGCACTGGAAACATGTTTTATCCATCAGTTGTCATTGGCTCCCAATGATTCAAACTCCTTTCAACTCTAATGTGTGCAATTTCCATCGAAAGCTTGATGTATCAAGAGTCAAACGCGATGTTTGTTTTTCTTCCAGGAAATGCTGTTTTGTTGGTTATATATGCAGTCATGGGTCATGATTCAAACAAATCTGACAGGGGTGACCTGGCACTATACAATATATTGCAGATTATTTTCACTGTTGAGTTTATTATATCTGTGCCTGGAATTCTGTGGTACTTAGGTAAGTTGTGCAAATATTCCAAACATTTTAAAACTAATCTCTCCATAGATCTGAGAGCTTGGAGTCTCTAATTAATGATCACTCATCTCCGTGAAGGCTACTTTGTCTTCCTAGCAGTGTCTAAAAAAGCTATTTTAAAAAGAAATATCAACCCCTTCACTCCCAAGATCTCGTATTTAGTACTTCTCCTTACTGTTCACCATACAATTTGTATGACGCTAGATTGGAGAATTCGGTATTTGATCAATTAATAAAAGTGACATTTACCTGTGTTTGTATACTAAATTACTTGTATCAATAGTTTTGTCTCCCAAATTCTGAAGGCAATCATTAAAGTTAGAATTGTAGGCTACTCCAAAGAATTTGCTCCTACATTGTGAATGAAGGCAATGTCCCTCAGTTTGATAATTTTCTAATTTCTCAGTACCTGTCCACTTAACATTGTCCAAAATTCCTGTGGTAGAGAATACTTGTGTTCTGTTCACTGTGGGAGTGAAGCTGCTTACCGATACTTGTTTTCTGTGGCTATGTTATGTTTTGTTGTTTCAGTAAAAGTTATCAAGTTCAACGTAAGAAGACCACTCCCAGATGCAGAGGACTCCGAATTTTTTAACGTTTACACAAACAATGGGGCATCTTCCCTTTCCGTAACAGGATATAGGTGAGTATGGAATTGTTTTCCCTCAAGACCTTCACTAGCATTGTAAGTCACACGATGTGGTAACTTCCGATGTGGATTGCGTGTATCGATTGCATTTTGTGATTCTTCCTCGGGCTTTAAGATCAACTGGTTACGCGTTACCTAAGGAACCAATATGCCCAGCTGTGATTGGCTGGTATTTAACGGCTGTGATTGGTGCAATTCGCAGAAATATTCCCTCAGCGATTGGCTGTCGCATAACACTCCTGGTGTTGACTTGCGTATTTATTTTTGCTGATCGTCGGCCTTCTCTGCCATTCGACCTTGTCTTGTCGACCTAATCTAATCGACAGGTTTCCGAGACACACGTGTATAAGCGAATTACTGTTTTGAGTGACCAGGATTAGGATCTTTTAGATTCAGTGCAAGTTATAGTTGTGTATACTTTGACTGATGCATAAAAATTAACTTCCTCATACATTGAACACCCTCTTAGGGACAATGATTATTTAGATGAAGTCCTGGAGAAACAAGCGGACATGATCCGATATCTACAGCAACACAATACCAACTTGGGAAAACGGCTGATGAAACTAACTGCACAACAAGACCGGGGAAGCTTGGAGGCCTGATTCTATTTGTATTCGGCTTACATTTAGTCCCAAGGCCCTTCCGCTAGGTTAATTCTGGATGCTTTTGTAAGACGTAACGTGACCCCTTCCCAGACTTTGCGCGGACAAAAAGAGAACGCCTGGGGAAGGCTAATTTGTATTCATACGTGGTGTTTCAAGGAATGGATTAAGAAGTCTTTCCTCTCAGATCTAGAGTTGTTCAAATAACCCAGTCGTCCGTTTCATTTGTAAAGAATAAGATCGTCAATTTTTCGTTCCTACTAAACGTAAAAGAAGAATCAAATAACTTAATTTAACCCTTTGAGAGCCATGACCATCGTTTTTGAGTTTCTCTTCTAAAGATTCAAATTGTCATTACGTAAATTTCTTAATTCCTCCATCTAATATATTGTCAATAAAAGGTTTGTCAAAAAAAAAAAGACAGTAGTAATGCTAAGGTTACAATGTAAGAGTACATCGTTTTTGTATTTAGCAACTAGGAAATGGGAAAATGAACAGTAGAGCTGATTGCTTTCTGTGTACTTTTGTTCCTTCTGTGTTCCTTTGACCAGTGCCACCTTTTCCATTTATAACAGAACACTTTTGAGGATTACTGCAGTTTTCAGGTTCGATATTTTTTGTATTGTTCTTTTCGTTCGTTGTCACCCAATTAATAAAACTTTAACGAGGTTATCGTACTTGGTTAATTATAGCTATATTTCCACGCAGGGTTTTTTTTTTTATGCACACGATGTTCGCTTAAAACAGAAAGCATATTTTTCTTTGTAGTTTTTAATACCTCAATGTATACAAAATACCTCTTATTATCAGAATCTCGATATACCAATGTGTATGGGAATCCTGACTCAACATAAAGTTGTCAAACTCAGCAATCCTAACGCCATCGTATTTCATAATAAATTACATCGGTCGGGTTTTATATGGATTAAACTGATTGCTATATAGCTATTTTTAAAAAACCGTTTTATTAATTATATAGTATAAAACAAAGAATCGAAAGCGATTATAATGTTATGCTCCGCATAATCAAGAATCATCTGGGTATTTTGAGGTAAAATTGCGTGAATGTCATATAGCCTTTATTTCTTACCTTTCCCCCTCCCCACCCCCTCTCACTCTGGCTACGATGCCAGATGGGCTCTTTGGTCCTCGTCTCATTTGGCGGGAGAACGGGGGTGGTTCACCACAGAATTGATTGGTTAAACTACGACACAAGCTTGTTATAATGCTCAACGAAATTAAAAAACCGACTCGGTGAGCAAAGCGTTTTCAAATGTGACAATTATCCCTTTAAATCCTAAGAGTGACCAGAATCTAGTTTCTCCTTACAATAATACTGCTGAATCATTCATTTAATATCATGAGAATAAAGAAATTGATCACCAACTAAAGAAGCTCTTGATCGTTAAATTCTCCTTGTCAGCACCTTAGGAAATGTATAGATGACAGTATAGAGAATATGCATATTGATGTTAGGGTATAAAGGGTTATACGATAATTCTGAGTGGCCGACTGGTTTGCTTTGAAGTTTTTCTCAATAACCTTTTTACGTCCGGAGTGAACAATTAGCAATTTCTTCTACCAAATTTTAAGTGTTACTGAGCGAACATTTAATAAAATCACGAAAAAGTTTACGCCAAATTCCTAGGAATCATTTTGAAAAGAAGTTACAGGAAGAAAAAGGGAGAGTGAAGGCGGCAATCTTGAGGGTAGAAAGGTTGAATGATTGCGTCGATTTCAATGCTCGTTTTAAACATGATGTCTAACTCCGGAAGTAAGATCAAAATTCTAATTTGTTGTACAAAAAGGGGTGTGGTCCTTCATTGCTGTCATTGCGTTTGGCTTTCCATGGCGCTCAATTCTAATTCTTTTTCCAGTTGAAGTTCTAAGGAAAAAAAAAGAGAGACCCGAGTAAACTGAATGAATCAAACGAATGTGAAACAAACAGTCGGTCGTGAGTCAATCTGTACTTTAGTCAGTTTGTTAGTCAGTCGGTCGGTCGGTCGGTCGGTCAGTCAATGAGGCCGTCGATTTGTCAGCCAGTCAGAGAGTAGTTGGTCAATCAACCAAGGAGGTGAAATCTGATCAATCGAGTAATTCAGCAACCAGCTAACCGACGAGAGAACAACAAATGTATTGAATCGAATTCAATCAATGAATCAATCGATCATCATCCATTTTATCACCTGTTCGATCAATCAATCAGTTAGCTTTTGTTGGGGAGCAAATTATGAAAAAAGAAGAAAAAAGAAAACAACTAAGCACTGTTTAGGAAATGTTACTTTTCACATGCGTTTTGATAAGGTGTGTAAAGTTATTTACACAGCTGAAAAGCTCAGAGAGATAGAGGCCCGCATTATTTGTGCCGGTAGCATCGAGTAATAGGTTGAAGTTGGTCACTTACGTTCTAAAACGAGAAGAATTCGCCAGCATCGAAGAATGACTATCATATGTAGGTACTTGGGGTAAGGCTTTTGTACTTCACTGAAAAACGAAAGCATGACAATTAAACAAAGTAAAATATCAAACTTTGGAGCAAAATGCATGCACATGAATGCGACATATGTATGTAATTGATTGCGGTTCGGTGTTACGTTTAAATAGTCATTTCGTAATCATACTGTTCATTTACCTGAAGCAATTGCTTGTAATTAACTCTACCAGAAAGTAGAAATACACAAGAGCAGCGTCAAACATCTGCGATAAAGAATATATAATACACTTTTGAAGATTGTATACATAAAAATGAAACGAAATCCAAACAGTATTTCCCTCCCTGTGGTTATTACTTCCCACATTTGGTTATATACGGTACATCTCCTATAGGTACTACCCTTCCGGTTTCCAAAACAACAGTATATAATAACCGAGTTCGAGGTCTGTACTGTAAGTTACGGAAGGAGTTTTTACCGCTCGGATTTATGGCCCAAATGCGAAGCACACATGCATAAATCTGAGCGGAAAAAACCAGGGGCGTAACTTGCAGATCTCTGGGTTCAAATTAAAGGAGCTATGCAGTGAAATACGGCCCGCTAAATTGACCAATCATGGCGCACGTACTAACTGAGCGATCTAATAATCTGCAACAAGTGAGCTATTGATTACCTCCAGCTTGTCTTGAAAAAGTTCTTTTTGGAGAACAGCCATTCTTACAAGACACTGGGAAGAACAACACAGGACGCTACTGAAACAGTCATTGAGCCTGATTGATTGTTCACTGCAATACAGTACAGATCCCTTGATAGAATGGTCCCAAGTTTACATATCGACTTCTAGTTAGGGACCAGTCACCACTTGTACCCTTGGGGGAAGGGGGACAGTGGAGGATTTTTGGGGCATCGCATGGTTTTCAGGGGGAATGGAGGGAGGGTTAGTCGTCGTCAAAATAGAATAAAAGTGAACTTTAGGAAATTGACTGCCAATTAACTTCCAATGGGGGGGGGATAGGGGTAGGAAGTGGGGGAATCATAAAGATATTAGAGAGCCTTATGAGGGGTGTAAGAAAATACTATTGTGACTTGACCAAGATCCTCAAACTCCCCACCCCCTGCCCCAGCAATAACTAATGCATTAGGACACCCACCACACCTTAATTTCTAGAAAAAAATCCTTGCCCTACTCTCCTCCTCTTGTGTTGCAGTACGGCGTCATAATATCAAGGACCGACCAAATTGTGAGCAAGGCAATATTGATATGGGTGGAGGGGAGAAAGGAGGAGACGGTACAGGTTACCGAGTCATTTTTCTCCGTCGAGAAAACGTTGCCCTAACAATGAAAAATATCTCTAAAGTTTGGTCTGGGAATGTAGTAGCTTTCTTTTCTCTTCCAGAAATTCGAAGTAAACTATTCGCGAGGAAAGGTAAGTTTATAAATATAATTTTAGGAGCTATATATGCTGATGGAAATCATGATAGTGATCGTAAGTGATGGATATTCCCGCCTATGAAATATACACTCTTTCACTGTGGTTACAACAAAGACCATTTAAAACATGAAAAACCTTACCTCGACAACAAATAAGAACATTATGATCAAATTGATGTCAAGAAAACCGTGAAAAATGAATTCAATTCCGTTATCTGAAAGATACAAAGCGACACCTTTTACGTATTTGACACGCAATCGTGATTAATCCTAACAGTTCCTTTCGACATTGAAGTGATGATGCCCTCTTACAGAAGAATGGCTCCTATATCAGATTGCCATGATCTATATATGAAAAGTTTATTATGGTGTCTTCAACATCACACGGCATCCATGCTCCGCGACTGGCATCTTAGCAATTGTCATCACATTGAGAGAGGCAAGGTGGTTTCAATTTCTTACAACGACTGCCAGTGTTAATTGAGATTCAAAAATAATTCGGGATTGCGATTGTTTCCCTTTTTATCAGGCCACTCTAAGACTGGTGAAGAAATCCCTCGCCACCCTGTTGTCCAGTCAAATGTAGATGAAAGCCAATCGCATTTGACCGCCTGCCTTTTCCCGTGCCCTAGTAGATTTTAAGTATATTCACTGTACTCAGAGTTTTCATTGCCACCTTGTTCTATTTCGTTTAGGATAATTTGGTTTTATCTACTGAATTAATAATGTCAATTGGCCCCCGTGGAAAGTTTCCAAGGCTGACGCATCGAGCGTTAGCTCTTCGTCAGAGCGAGAGAAACCCTCTATGGTGGCCAATTTACATCATCAACTCAGTTGATAAAACCAAACTACCTTGTTATTAACCCAACTGACGCAGTGCCACAGTTTCTTTATAAAGGTAGCTTACCGTCTTTTTGCTATTGTTCCTTGCTAAACAATCGCAGGCAATGTGAGCCATTTCATCCCTATACTTTACACGTATCTTTTGAGCCTTACCATCAATCACGTCAAAGTCAGCAAGAATGTTAGCAATCACTAAGAAACAATCCATCAACGTAACCATAACAACTGTGAAGTTAGCATGGCGATGAGTAATAATCGTTTTCAGATTCTGCCGCCACATTCCATCGGTGAACCACTCCTGATGATAGGAAGTGTTTTGAAAATTGCGAATAAAATTAATCCCAGACGGAACATGCAACGATAACAAACGTTGGCTTCGCCTCGAAGAGCGCTTTGATTTTTTTACAAACATCTTTTTTTAAGCCTCTTCCTTAAAAACAGATTGACATAATAATGACACTGAAGGTTTTGTACCAGCTGAAGAACCGCCCTAAGCTTCTAAAGGCTTTACCAGTTACTGAGACATGAGACTTATTTATTTAGGCAGTGTTGATATGCAGAGTATGCTTTATATTTAACATTTAACGACAAAGCTTCTTTTCACAAGTGTTTTAAAGCTGGCTAGTGATGTGTATCCCACTTTTGTTTTATTTAATAAGTCACATCATAAAAAAGCGCATGCGTTGTTGACTTAAGTTACTAACCTTCCACTTGTTCTTTATGTCCTCTTTACAAAGAACACAAATTTTTGCTAAAAACTGCAACAACAAAAAAAGGAATTAAAATATTTTATACAAGTCACCCATGATGAAACAAGTTAAAAAAAAATTGCTTCAAAACGTCTAACAAAACTACCACTTTTTTATGAGGAAGTAAATTTTCCACCAATTCACCGTTTTAATTTGCACGCAGGAGATCATCGAGCAGAGGCTACTCTTGATTTTCATATGACGCCAGAAACTTCACGCCAGATACTTGCATATTATCTACGCAAGGTTAGTTAAAAATTTCCATCCATCGACGGCCAAAACTTTCTGAGTTTATCCTTGCTCGTGAGTTATAAGCTAAGCGGAGCGACTAGAGGAATTCCTAGTCCTCTACGACAGCATGTTAGTCTACTAGAGGATATCCGGCTTAAAATTACTGATAGTCATTCGTGCTCATTCGTGGAGTAGAAAGAGGTTATGCAGGAATGAGGTTTCTTCAGAGACTCGATCAAGGCGCTGTCCCGGACCCCTCAGCCACGAGCTACATAGCCACCCATTCTTTTAGTAACCCTGTACCCACGTATGTCAAAATGTTGGAGTCCCATAGAGTCCTTACCTGGAATATAAAAAGGATAAACACGCAGACACCTCCAGGGTACTTAGTGGTACTTTTGTCTGTTAAGAGAAAAATATTGCTTAATATGAAGAGCAAGGAGTGGTTTAGCTGAAAATGACAAGTAAAAACAAGAATAATACACAGCCTGTGAGGTGGAAATAAATAACAAAGAAAAAACAGATCAACCATGCCAACTAAATATAGCCAGTAAAATGATATGTGACTTAATAAAACGGCAGAGCAGCCCCAGTTCTGCAAATGAGAGAATGATACCGACAATGAATTAGCTTTCTCTTTACCATTGCTTTTGTCATCTGCTTTAGCATCCCCCGTCTGCGCACTGTTTTCCATGTTAGTCTGCTGAGTGGCCTGCGGACTCGCCTGGTGATTAGAAACAGCTGCCTCGATCTTCTGATCAACTTTGTTCCAAAACGAGGCCACCAACTTATCGACGTATTCTGTTGAAAACAGTTCACTTTCCTCCTCTGGGGAGTAGGCTCGGGCGCTCGGAGAAGAGTCAGTTTCTCCACTTGGGGATACCCGAAGAGAATGCGTTGTATCACTTGGGATTGGTTTTGGAGATTCATTTGAATCTGCTGGAGTATGAGCAGTTTTCGAAGCTTCTTTAGGGAAATCGTTCTCGATTTCATTCTGGTCTTGATATTTCTTTTGCGGTATCTCCCTATTAGATATACAAAAACGTTAAAAAACAAAGTTCATTCTTTGGCAAATATTGTACATAATTTAAAATATCTTACCCTTACTGAGTTGACGGAATAAAACATAGAAGACTTGAACATATTTATCTCTGATAAGTCTTTACTCCCTTTTAGCATGCGGTGCAAACCCATATCAGCAGTCACCTGTTTCCGATCTTTTTGTCGTATATTTTGACTGGCTCCAGTTTGACCAGTTTGGCGCAATACAGATTTTAACGAACACTACGATTAATGAAAGCCTGCTTGTATCACGACTGGTTAGCTGCGGTGTTGTTTCCAGACTTACATGGTTCTAGGTCACGGCCCGTGCCAAAATAAATCAAAAGATGTTTTCCCACAATTTGAAGCCCCCGATCAGAGATCAATAAACCAGTGAGCTTTTGTACTTTAGTCAACTACCCAAATATATTACGAATAATTTCCGTCGTTTGAAAGCTCACGGAGTTCGCCCTCTCGGCAAGAAAGGAGCTTTTTTTTTTAACCAAAAGCGGTGCCTAACTTCTTATTTCTCCTTACAATATCACCTCTGAATCACACGTTAAGGTCACAGGAGGAAAGGAAATGATCACCAAGTAAAGAAGCTCATAATTGCCAAACAAATTTTACCAATCAATACCATAAGAAATGTAACGAGAACAGAGCGGAGAATGCGAACACTCAGTTTAAAATGTAAATGGTTAATCGAAAGAGACGTTTTATGTTAAAAGCTTTCTTTTCAAACGCAATCTTGACTCTTCAACTGAACGATTATATTGGCTTCGATCGCAGCGAGTTTTTGGTGGTGTACGCTCCGCATCTTTGGACGGCTTGAACTTTTCAATCGGTTAGTGTGTTCTACGACAACTGTAGAAAACAAACGAGATTGGAGAGCTGTCTAAATACAGCCTATACTGAATAGAACCAGTCCAACAACTGATTATTTTCCTCTCACGGAGTAATTAATCTAACATAAATATTTGATATGTTAATATTCTAAGGGGTTCTTACCTTCTATCATCAGACTCCAGCCTGGTAGATCGGATATCTTCGTCGCTTCCATCACTCGTGTCTTCTGTATCCGTGTTTGCACTAGCTAGCCTACAATAAACGATAATTTTTGTTAGTTTCGTCTCGGGAGATGAAGCGTGAAATCATGGAGAAACTCGTCAAATTATCACAGGTCCTACGATTTACGAAAGATTACCTGTCATCGTATCGATCGGTGTGAGAGGTAAAAGACATCTGCGCTAATTATCCTCTCCAACGGGTTGTACATTCTTAAAATGCCCAAGCCCTTATTCGGCCGTGTCTGAGAAACTAATGTTTATCTCTTGCCCTCAGATTTTCGGATTCGCCAATTTTTTTGAACGTCGATTAGATTGTTTGTGAAGACTCCGTATCTCTGACCCCTTCGAACGAAGAAAAACACGCGGGTGCCCAATTGACGGCAATTTTTAGCTTCGTGACAACATCATGTGTAGATTAACAGGGCCCAATCCAGGCTGTGCATTTTTCGTTTTATTTTCCTGCGATGGACATCGGATTCCAAGGGAGAGAGCGGAGTTATTCGTTTTTAGTAATGAAGACCGAGTTGCATTCAGACACTTGTAAAAATTGTTTCATCAATTAACCGAACGCCGTTTTCAGGTAAATTTGAAGTAAGTTGAATTGTGCCCAGAATAGAGTCCGATCTAATTTCACTGTTTTTGGCCCCCAATCGTAGACATACAAGACTCCAAAAACTTCACCATACATAATGATGTCCGTATTTTTAAAGAAAAGGACACCAGCACCATTCTGACGCAGTGTATACTTGATGGTTTTGATTCCTGTCAGTTTCTCCCTGATCTACTGGTTATGAAAATAATTTAAGGCTCAGCACCTTCTAAAGGAGACTTACAGCCCTACGTTTACTTCCACGACACAGTTCTTGTTATATTCTTCTGCATGCAACAAAGGAAAGAGGAACACTTCTATAAGTCGTACCTTTGTACAGTAAAGTTGTCCAAACTTAATTCCTCCGAGTCTGAAGAGTCAGTATACCGGTATGTAGATTCCATTCGTCGAGTTCTCTTTTAGGTAGGAATTGGCTGATAAATCGCGGCCATTCCTCTTAGATTTTGCGATGTTGTGTTTCATGGTCACCACCTGAAATGTTGATACCGGAAAAAAAAAGGTTTTAGAGCACCACACATCACTCAGAGGTTTGAGACACAAACCTCATCGCCAACTATTAACATGCAGCAATCGACGGTCATGCTCGACATTCGTCAGACGCTGATTGCTTCTTTCACCTCCCACCCTTGCAAGAAAACTCGGATCTCCAGCCCTGCCTCGAAAATTGTAGAGCGGAGCTTTCTACGATGAGCATGAGGAAGGACAAGTCGAGAGAGCAGCATTTTTCTCCTTAACTCTCCTCCCTCTCCTCCCTCTCCTCCCTCTCCTCCCCCTTCAGGGGCCACTCTGTGTTATCGTTAATTCTCCGGCTTCGGTTCATTTTTTAATGAACAAAATAATTTACTTTTGGTGCGATCAATGGCATGTTTTGTTTGTGGCCATGTTAAGAAGTTGTGAAGTTGTTCAGTGAAGTGTGAAATTCCTTAATTCTCTCTGTCCCTGTTTTATCGACAGGTGGCTCAATTAACCCCAGCGAGGGGACACAGACAGAAAAACGAAGCAAAATTGGTACACCTGCTACAACCAGTAATCCTGACGGAAGCAAACCACTAATACAATAAGTTTAACCCAAATAATAATTATGCAAGTTTTTCTGTTAAATGAAAAATAAATATGATTATGAGGCTTCGTATTCTTGTTCAGAATCGAAGCAGAGTTTGTCGCAGAAGTGGCGGCAACTTCTCCCAAGACGCCAATTTTGGATGCCATCTTCTTTCAGATCAAAAGAAAGTGTTAAATCATTAATTAACAGAAGAAATTATTTTGATTCACGGAGATACAAAAAGGTTATTTCGTCTTATTCTTACATGGGACAAGGTAAGCCGTTTCGTTTAAACCCACGAATGAAAATTTACAAAGGAAATTGAAAATAAAACTACACTATCGTGTATGATTTTAGTTCTTTCCTGGCGACAGTTTTTTTGCAATAAAAAAATTTGCTAAATTTTGATTAGAACACCGATCACACGGCTGAATTTCAGTGTTTGTAAACAGTACAATGGATCAAAACAGGCTAAATAACTTTGGAAAGTCGTGAAGTAGCGACCCACTGTTTCAACCTGTCTAGTCATTTTGCCTTGTAAGGTATAGTAGTTTGGTATTATGTGAAGAGTCGACAGGGAAATAATTTTTTTCATTATCCTACCTTCAGTGAATCCTTAAACAAAACGAGTATCAACTCTTCGTAGAAAACCGTGTTCTTCTAAGATGCTACTTGTGTTCTTTGTGGAGAAATCCGATCAAATGTTCTATTTGCTTGTTCGATTTCTACAAACATTGTCATCGCCGCTTACACTTGAAATGGAAGAGAGGGAACCAACAGTTTGAAAACATGACCGACACCTCGTTCCGCCCTCTTGTCAGCTGACAGGTACATTAAGTGTGTAAATATGGAAAATTTCCATTAAGTGTTCAAAGAAATCCACGAAGAACAATGAGTGCGCTTTACTCGTATTTCCTCTGCCATTAGTCTTGAATATATCTGACCCCTGCTAACCAATCAGACTTACAAAAAAACAACAATGAACAATCCTAACACACTCAGATGCGTTTTCCCGCGCTCCAGGCAGATTCCTCTGTTCTTATTGACGTTTGTTGCTTTTTCAGATTCGTTGGATTTTCTACATCGTTTTTCTAGAACAACATTTCCTTTCAACTGTTGGTTATGATCTTCGTCCTTAATGAAGTCACACTCGCTCGGTCTTTTTTTCAAAAAGGCGGGTGGAGGAGATAATAGACGAGAGGAAGTGGAAGTAAGGGTAGTGTTATAGGGTAATATTGACTATATATTGTAAGATATCGAGGTCATGGTAGCCTTAAGCACAAAAAATCGAGGACTCCAGACAAACATTAAAGACTGATCACAATGACCATACGACTGAAGGGAGAACTGCATGATCAATAGTATGATCGACAAAATGTAAATTAGTGCATGAAAGCAAACTAAGACAATCTTGGAACCTTGGAGCGACCACTTCTTTGCGGGTTTAATTCCTCCCAAAAATTTTTCAGTCACAACTGGACCCCACAATGGATGGGGAGGATTCATTTTCTAAATTGTTCCTGACAGAAAGTGAATTCATTCAGGGAAAACCTACAATGAGATAAAAGAAACTATTTCATAAAACTATAGTTAACTTTTATTGAAAAAGTTTTATTCTTGTTACGTCTTAGATTTTCATTTTTTTTCTCTCTCTCTTTCTATTTTTCTTTCTGATGTCCGACTTTATTCTTTTCAGTCTCAGAAATTTTTCCGCCACCTAGATTGGCCTGTTCCCCAGTCTCTCTCTCTACTTTTCTCAACCGTTTCATCAGCACGGCTTCGAGAGATTTTAAAATCTTTTTCTTCCATGGAATGCTCTCTGTCTCGATTCTCTGTCTAGTCTCGATAACTTTATTAGCAAGCTGTTGCAGAGAAGTATACTGTTTCTTTGGAGGATGGGGTGTTACAAAACTGCACTGTTTATCGTTGGCTTTTTCAGATTTGATAGGAATCGAGGTCGCAGCTTTCTTGGGTTTCTCTATTTCGCCGTTAGCACCAGATTCCACCTTTGGGGCTATCCTAACCACAGTTTTCGCAGAAACCTTGGAAATTGTGCTTTGTATGTTAGACTGTTGGTTTGCAAGTGCGCCACCAGAAAGAACCAGGCTACCATTTGTAAGCTGACCTGTTGATATAGTGTTTTCAAGGTTGGCAATTGTGTTTGATTGCTGGGTTCTTTGTTGGTTTGTTTGGCGGACAGTACACGAAACAACTATCCCAGTATCATTCCCAGGCTGCTGTTTTATCTGCGAGCGAGGGATTAGCAAATTGTTCACTTCTTCGGCACGAAAAAATTCTTGCCGGTTAGCAATACGTTGATGGGTGTTTGGTTCGTTATACTGAGTATGCGTGTCAGTGGAGTTGGGTCGTTGGTTTATCTGCTTATCATATGACAGGTGGACGTTGGCACTGGATTGTTCCTTTACATTTCCAAAAGCGCGTAAGCCTGCACTGGAGGGTCCGTTAAATTGCTCGTTACTCGAAATATTTTGGCTACTTGATTGTGCAGCAGGTGAAATAAGGAGACTTGGAGTGGGTTGTTGATTTCCGTTGGCAGTACTTGTTACTTTGACAGTAGTGTAGGATAGCTTTTTTTCTTGCGAGCTCGTGGTAAAATGGAAGTTGGCTGCAGATTGCCGGCCAGACTGCTCATTACTTGAAACACTGACTGTTTCTTTGGACTGTTGGCGGTCGTGTGCATTGGTTGAAATCCGGACGATAGTGCTTGGCCGCTGGTATACCTGTGCACTGTTATTGGCTACAATATTCTTTGCTGTTTTCTCCGTAGTGTCTGGTCTTTGAGCATGGATTTGCGAGGGACGGTGTCTCGGTGAACTTTCTGTTGCTCTGTTTATCATATTTTGCATACTTTGAAGAGGATCAATTGATGTTTTATCCCTTTGTGGACGGCAGTTGGGTTCCAAAACACAGTAGCACCGCTTACCAGAAGCTGCAGCACCACACACTTTCTTATGTTCCTGCTCTGCTGTTGAACTAACAAGCGGACACCCTTGAGGAATGGACTTCCAGTTTGAATCTCTGTGGCATGGCTGCTGCCCAGGGGCATGGCCTTCACGTTTTACCACAACTTCAGGCTCTTTAATGTTATTCATCGTCCTCGCATCAATTTCTGCTACTGGTTTTTCAGTACGGAGAATGGGCATGTTGTCACTAATCAATTTTCCCCCTTTGAAGCGCCAGAGATAGCTTGACTTTGTTTCATGACTGCTGCCAATTTCAATACTGCGGGCGTCTAAATGCATGGCTTTTTTGGCAGCATGATGGTCAGATTGCGCGGATTCCTTGCATGAACTACTGATAAAGTTGTTACAGAATGTTGTTGTTGTGTGTGAATTAACAAAAGGAAGCGACTCCTTTTGTGTTGGCTTGGAAATTGTTTGTGGAAAGTGCTGAAGAACAGAGGCACGAAGCGAAATGTTTGAACCACTCTTTGTCTCCTTTTCAATGTCTGTTCTCTGAGAGTTTCTAGAGACATGACGGATGTGACCGATAATAGCGCTTACTCCATCTCTCTTCGGACCATCAAATGTCAATTGACTATCATCGCAAGAGTAAACCTGATTGGTTTTCGGTTGCACTTGTGCGTGTTTGATAAGTTCTGCTGTCTTGATGTCGTGGTCACGGAAAGAAGCCAAAACAGGTGAAAAGGTGGATTTGGAGCCGATTTTCCCATTTAAAGATGAGCTCCGTGAAAAACTGTAAATCTTCTCTTGGATAATCATAGGCGAGTGCTGCATGGAAATGCTTTCTGCTTTTTCCACGGTGACATTGTTGTGAACACGCTGTGAATTCAAAGAAACGGGAGAAGGATTCACAGGTGTCTGATGAACTGCCGATTTGGACAGATTTCGTGGAGAACAGTATCCTGGAGAAATAGCCTTAAAGAGCTGCGTACTTGGGGAAAGTTGAGAGTTACTTTGACTGACTTCATGGTTCTTTTGAAAGTTTAATCCATAGCTTGTTTTTACTCTATACTGCTCGGAATCCTGAGACTTTAAAATGTTCTCCAAATATCCGCTTCGAGTCTCCTTTTTTTGGCTCTTTTTTAACGTACACCAGACGTCATAGAGTTTGCGCAGCTCATTCAAATTCACTCCACTCAGCGTCTGTTTGTTAGGATCAATACTTCCTTGAGAATACTCTAACCATTCCTTTTGCATGTTCTCCTTTAAAACGCTTTTGACCTGCTCAACATTTCCTTGGAATTTTGAGAGCAGATGATAAAGTGCAAAACGCTCAAACGAGATATCCATGGATCTGTCTCCAACATCAGTAGAAGAGGTTTGACGTGTGCCCTTCTGCAAATGGTGATCTTGAAGAAAACTTTGTTGGTCTTGCGATCTGACTGGTCTAGTTTTGAGGTGGGGTACTTCCTGCAGTTTCTCCCTTGCTTGTCCATGCACTTCAACGGGCGTCCCACCGTGAAATGATCTATCTCGAGCGGCTTTAACCTTGGAAATAAAGGCTTTATTTCTCTCCCATTCGTCCTCATCTCGTGTGCTCTTTGAAACGGAATGCACTGCAACAATTTTTGGCATCGCCATGTGATCAAAGGCATACCCTCCACAAGATGAGTGATCATCGGTTGTTATTTGTCGCGGCACAGGTTGTGCTGTAAAAACCTTTTGCTTTCCGTTCCCCTCAGGTGATGGATGTCTCCCATTGGCTACGTCCTTTATCGGAAGTCTATGATCAAGAACTCTTTTGCTATTTGTAGCATCGTCCGGAGAAGCTGTTTTAGTCCCACATTGATCACTATCCATTATTGTGCTCCATTTAGCAGTTGTATGGTGGAAAATTTCTTTATGATTGAAGTGTGTAGTTATCTGGGATTTCCGTCCATTAGTGTTCACTACTGTCTGCTTCAGCAGCGGTGGAGGGGGAAATGCTGGCTTCAGTGAGTTTTCAAGCGACCGAGTCCTCTCGAACATTTGCTCCCTGACATCAAAAGGCTCTTGCAGCACTCCCCCTCTTTGATGGTCGAAATAAGCAGAACAACTCTCTAGTCTTGGGTGCTTAGAGTCTGGCGATGCAACACTCATTTGGCTTTGCTCTAAGGATCGCTTTGTGGGTCGATGAAGAAGTGGAGGAGGAGCGAGAGAACTCTCATGTTCTTGGACGTCTTCGGTGAAGATGCTACCAAGCTCTTTCGCTTTCACGTTTTGCCGATGGGAAGCAATTTCTGTATACGATGATACTGAAGTTTCTGAGAGATATTGCTGCAAAAGACTTTGCAATGTCTTTGTTCCATAAAAACTCCACCTGTCAGAGTCATTTTGTGGACCATCCATGTCATATGGAGTTATCATATGAGCGGCGTTTTCACAGAAAACACTTATGCCACTTGCACCAGAACGATATTTCGCTAACAAAACTTTGGCACCTAGAAGAAGCAGTAAAAGTATGTAATTATTACTACATTAATTATAGAACAGTTCCCAGAGGGAAAAAAACTATCGTTTGAGGCAAAACAAGTATAACAATTGTGGAAATAATCGGTCAATAACCTAACGGAATCAGTGATGACCGAATTTTTTTTTTTTTTTTGTAGGGTGCTTCGTTGGTCTATGACGTCTACACGCACTCAAATCGCCTGATTGATTCCAAAAGTAAATTCAATTTGGAAAATGAAAAGGAAAAAGCCCCATTTCATCCTTTGCCTGGTTTGATGTGGCATGTTTACTGCTGTCAATAGCTGATCAAAAAGGTTGTTAATGATATCCTTGCACGTAAGTTTTGTCAGAAACTTCAGACTACTTCAAACATTTATTTCAAAATTTCCTTCAAAAATAGAGTTAGTTAAAAAAATATTCACGCGTTTTTTTACGATCTCTCTAACAGGTTCAACAGGTAACTGGTTGTTTGAACTCGGTAAAAAAAGATACATTGCGACAGTGAACATAAAAATGATTCGCCACAAAGATGCGAGAATATTAAACACACTCATGGCAGCTTTATCGAGGAATAGTGTCATTCGCCTTCTTTGGTGACCAAAACGTCACAGAATGATGAAAAAGGTCCATGAGTGAGTGTGTTCATACACTGAGATAGTTGCTTTAATGGTCGAGAGACGTGAAAATTAATGCAAGATTAATTCAAATTGTGGAGGAACAATTAACCTTTTCTCAGTTGGCGTTAGCCCCGGCCCTATTCTTAAGGGATTTTAGTACAATGATGGAGAACGCCATTAAAAGCTTATTATCTCAAATTTAATGAATGAAACTGTTTAATTTGCCTGTTACCTCAAATCATCCTTGCCTTTCCAAACTACTGTCAATAAACAGTAACTCCTGACAAGAATTACCAAAAAATCGTATTAGAGTATTAAACGACTCGTCAGTGCGTATCTGAACGATCACGAAACATAGAATTGCACCAGTATTGACATTTATCTGTGGTTTCTTCACAGCGTCGCGTGGGGCGACACTACAGTTTTGTAGAGAGTCTTTAAATAATCGTGATTGAAATAATATCTTACCGTTTTAACTTGTCAGCCACACAGTTGATCAGTAGATCAGTATGAACACAAAAAAATCATCGCCGCAGTCACTATTTGTTGAGTTCGGTGTTGCAGTTGAATACTCCTGTGTCACTTTTGAAACATCATCGTCCCCTGAGGAGAATTTCTTCGCTGCAAGGAATATGGCCAACAGTTTATAATCGTAAGTCTTTCTTCCCCGAAAAAAAAGAAATTGGTGAGTTGAGATGTTTTTAAGCAGTTGAGTGACGTAATAAGCATGTGAACAAGTGAACTGCTGGTATTAGCAAATCAGAATAGTACACGGATGAGCAATGCACTCAAGTGGCTTTCAGAGATTAGGCCACGTAAGCCACTGACCTGCTGATTACGTCATTCGTAAACTGGGAAACGCCTGTCGATTGGCTGAGAGTATAAACCTTTAAGTCACCTGTTACAAGTGTCAAGAAATCACAAATGTTCCAAACGCAGAGATTCACCAGTGTCACACAAGAGAAATGAAGAACATCATTGAGAAAATAAAGAGCTTTAAATTATCAGTCCCCTTTATTTTGTTAAGGCTCTTATAGTTGGTCGCCTGTAATCACTTAAAAAATATCTGTATTAAGCGCGCTTTTGCTCGAGCAAAGGCTTAAGGATGAGATAAAAGTGAAGTGAAGTTAATGACAAACATACCTGCTGCATCAGTTTCACTATATTCGCTGAAGTATTTAAAAGTTTCTTCATTTACAACTGGATTTCTTCTTTAGCTTCCATTCCGGTGACATATAGTCGTAAGCATTGTTTCCTGTTCACGGTCGTGGCTAAACTCATCTGGCATTTATAGTGTTGACAAAAATTGTTCACTCACCAGCGATTCAACGATGACTTATCAATTAAACACACACCACCAGTTCATTACCTGCTGCCGGAATAAAAGTAAACTCAACAACCAATGCAGGTTTGGTCACTGGAGCGTCAAAACATAACGTTACATGTCTGTTCACAGTAAAATTTTGTGGGGACCAGTCTGTCTAGCAATTATGTATCGCATGGCGGGTCGGAAGATTTTGGTTGTATCACGATAATAATTACCTGATTCCCCATAAGGCTCTGTAATACTGTCACGTTCCTTCCTCATTGGTAGTTAACCTTTTAACTCCCAAGATCTGATTGTCGATTCTCCCCTCTAGCTGCTACACATTTCCTTGTAAATAAGTTACGAGAATTTGGTGGTATATCAAGATAACAACCTCCACCTGATAAGTTTGAGTATTCTCATGACCTGTTTGCTGGATAATGTTTAGATATTACAGGGAGAAGTTACGTGTTAATCACTTCTAGGGGTTAAAGGGTTAATCACCAGTCATTTTCTATATAGCACCCCTTGATACTCAGTTGGCGATGACTGATTTCCCTACATTACCCCTGAAAACCAGGTGATCCCCTAAAATATTCCCACCACCACCCCACCCCACCATCCCCAGGCGATAAAAAAATGACTGGTCCCTAAAAAGGTAAATTTCATTGGTGGTGAATTTTCACCGCTAAATGCTCTAGTTCTAACAAGGGTTTTACGGGGTTTAGTTACATCTCCGTGTTCTGTATGCATATAAATGAGTTCTCGTGCTCTCCTCACGGATGACAGTCAATTGAATATGTTGAAAAATCATTACCTAATTTAAGAAAGAAATCATTTATAACCAAACATTTTGCGTGAGTCTACGCCAAGTGCTTTTCAAGTAGGTCTCATAGCATCTAGTAAATGAAGCTAGGAGATGAAGGTATACTCTCAAGCGAGACATTCATGATTATACATCATGATTACTCTATAATGGCCGGCTGCCAACTTTCAATTATAGAGTACTTTCCTATTCACTAACAGAGAAATATAGCTAGAGATCACCACAAAAGCACAAAACACCAGAATGGATGTACCAATAAGAATAAATGTACTTAGTACGACATTTCAAACGGGTGGCAAAGACCGAAAATTAAGTGTGAGTCAAATCGAAACTGTTTTATATTCATTTGGTAAAGAGGAGGTGTGCAAGCAAAAGCAATTTTTAATTTTGCACAAGTATGACCGCTAGAGGTTAGTTCTAAGGGCACCAAACATGGTGGGCGGGCCACTTCAGAAGCGCAAATTTTTTGGTCAGTGACAATTTCAACCCCGAATACGTCAATTTCAAATTTTTCATCTTGCTAGCTTCTCCTTTTTCAATTTTCAAAAAAGTTCAAGTTCAAGTTTGTTAAGTTTACAGGAAAATCTTTGTACAATAATCACCTTCTGCAGATAGCGAGCTAATCTAGGCAGGCGGTGTTAAGGACATACAACACGAATTACAAAAACACCAATTATGCGAATTACTCGATTTTGCATACATTATTTGACAAAAGAGGGAAAAGGTGATAAAAAGTAAATTAATATATTATGTTTGAATTATAATTAAGATGCCTTTTTTTATTTCAGAAATAAGAGTGCTAGTGTCAGCATAACTATCCAGACTTCCTAGAGTTGCAAATAGTAATGCTTGAATTTTCTTTTTGAATATGTGCTTCGGCAGACTTCGATAGCTTTCGGGAATACTGTTCCAAATTTTAGCCCCAACGATAGAAAAAGAGTTTTTATGATGATTAAGCCTAGAATAGTTAATATAGTAGTTACCAGAAGATGCTGATCGGGTATTATACTGATGTATGTCTTGTGTAGAAATAAAAAGATTGCAGATATTTTTAGGTGCAGAGTTAGTGGTTATATCAAGCATTAAGACTGATGAAAGTTTGAAGTAGAGCATTGTTATTGGCAGGATGTTAGATTGCGCGAAATATGGAATCGCATGCGTTCTGAAAGGCAGAAAGTAGATCAAGCGAACAGCTCTCTTTTGGAGTATAAGAATTTTTTCTAATAATATATAATCAATATACATAATACTAGCCTTTTTAGAAGAAAAGGTAATATAGCTTGGGAGTAAAAGATGCCTCTTCTAGAGCATTTGAATTATTAATAATTATTAATAATCTCGCAAGGTTATGGATGAGTGGACACCGATTGGAACTTGTCAGATCAACCAATGAACATTTATTAAGAGCCACGTAATCGCATTTGTCTATATTTGGAATTTGACATGGATGCAACTCCGGTCAATAACAGCTTTTTGGTAACCATGGCCGCGGAATTTGATCGAGGTCGTGTTGTCATCAATCGATGTTTCAGTATCTTTGCGACACCGATCATGAGTCCTGGAATTCAGGATTCTCCAATTTGACGGCCAAAAATAAACCATTGATCATAACCGTCAAAAAAATTTTCATCTACACGACATTTCCCGCAAATGTTGTCAAGATGAAAGTTTTTTTGGTTTTCGTTTTTCTTTCTTTACTTGTTCGAACATATTACTCCGTTTAACCTCTCAGCTCCATTTTCCATTCTGTCCTTTCTTTGTTGGCGCGCTTCCTACGTTTGTCTCTCTGTTTCAATATCAACTGAGTACAGCACTGGTTCCTCGCGACAATTTCGTGTAACTTGCGTGGTTTTCTCTTGCATCACCTCTTTTTATTTTGCAGTCAAGGTGATCGACACACAGTCGCACTCTCCGCTAAAAAAAATGAAGCGACGGGAAATAGCACATCGTTTTATGTGTAGATTTGAAGGAGTTATTAGTTTTTTTGTCTGATTTGAACTTGTAACAAAAACGTCATTTTTGTATCAATTCTAGTTTGTTACAGGTAATAGCTGGTACCAGCAACTTCTTTCCCTTATCATAAGAGTGATTAGGTCGTAAAGGGCATAACTGAAGGTGTCTGAAAGAAAACACCTGCCAACTTAATTGCATTAAGTCTGAGTTAAAAGTTACGCGCGCAACATTCACATCGCTTTCGTCGTCGATTTCACACAGTTTGCCATGTAACCAGGCCTACCATGCAACAAACTTATAGACCGCTCTGAAAACACCGCAAAGTTTCCGCTCTGGATTTAGAAATACTTTAAACGTATTTTTATCCCCATAAATCCAAAAAGAGAAAGTAGAGTGTATAAACTTTTTTTTTACTCAAACTGTGATTAGTACAGCAAGTTTGACTATCAGAACAGAGGTATTTTCTTTCGTTTTAATTTTTGGCTTCTTCTTCCGACAAAAAGATAGACGTTGAGGGCAGATTCGTCCGCATACGTTAAGCTAACCCGGGATTAGAGTTTTCCCATAAACTTCTTTTTCAGATTTGCACGCAGGTAAATTAGCTTTATTTTCATTTGAATTTTTTGTTGTTTCCAGGGGTTTTCAAAATAAATCTCAACAAACTGTGACACCGTTTTTCTCGCATTTTATGCAATAATGATAGAAAGCACACTGAAGTAGGTGTTTGCAGCGTAATGGATCAGGACTGATAAGAGGAATCTACAAACGTGCGCATCCAACTTAAGGGTTCAGTGTTGAACAACTTTCCCCGGACGAAGGTCAAAAAATCGAGGATTCAGCCAAAACAAATTGCTAATTAATTTGAATTTATACGGCCACTTCAAAAGAGTTTCATCTGCACGCCAGAGAAACCATTTGATTGAAAGCATGTTTGGACGCAAAGAAATTTTCACTCAAATACGTGACCAGGAAGGCTTATTTGAAATAAAAAAAAAATGTTTTTAGTGCTCGGAATACAGGTTCTGGTCAAATGCCGGATTTCATTCGTCATCTACAATAATATCACTTCCAGGAAGCTTAGCCAGTTTCCTCATGAGCACCATTTTCAGTCTACTCAGCCGAGACTTCTTCCATTCGATTTCTTCTTGCTCGAATCTCTCGCGTGTGTCATTAATCTTTTTAACAAGTTCATCTCTCAACGCCTCGTTGCGAATCTTCGCCGCCTCTTCCTCCTTTAACCTCGACGCTCCTTTTCCTGCTTTTTTCTGATTGGTTGAATGCGGGGCTATTGATGGATTGCACGTTTGAAGTTCATTTGCTGCTTTGTTTGCTTTACCGGCAAGCGGTGGAAGTTGCTCCACACAACTCTGAAGTTGTGCTATGGAACTTGATGGTTCACCAACAATCGTGCACTCAGTTTCCTTAATTTCACAATCAGTTGTCACGTTACAATTAGAGTTAGTGCTGTCTGAACTTGGGGGCGAATCTGCTATTTCGATTACCTCATGTGGCTTAGCAGCCTCTCCTGCCTTAGCGACCACGCCTGGCTTAACAAACTCACGTGGCTCATCAATCACCCTTCCCTTGGTAATCGCCCTCAGCTTGGCAGCGTTTGATGTGCCTTCACATATATAACTCTGTTTTCCACCCGAGATCACAGTTCTTTCAGTTCCTAACATAGAAGTATTGACTGGTTTTAATATGTTATTGACAATACGGTGTTCGTCGAGTTTTGGGGCAGAAAATTGCGCAAGCGAAGTGTCAAGGCGCTGATCCGTTGTTAATGAACTAGTCGTTGAAGAAGTTGTGCTGTTAGATAACTGCTGACCTAAAGTTAAGCCACTGTTCATCTGGCGTACTTCGTTTTGACTCACACTACTACCTAGAGAGACTGGCTGTGATATTGTGACATTTCCGGAAATATTTGAATTAAGACCTGAAACCGTGTTTCCTACATTTAAAAACCGCTGACCAACGTTCCCTAATCTCCATCCTTCGTCAATGATCGAGTTGGTCGCATCAACGTAAATAGGACGCCCCTGATTGATTACGAGCGCTGTTGCAGATTTCTTTGGAAGAAGGAAACCTCCAGCTTTAGAGTTAGCACTTAAACCATACGAAACCTGGGTAATTATTGGAGTGACACTTTTGGTAGATGAAGCTTTACAAATTCCTTGTGTATTTTTGCCCGCTGTTGTTGCGCTTTGAGATTTATTCACCTGACTGTTGTTTTGAACAGAACTGACTGATTGATGGGTTCTGTTTAAAAGTTGTCTTAGCACTTGACAGTCTTTATTTGAGACATTCGATTGTCGGCGCCGTTTCCATGATTCGAGTATCTCCAATATTTTGCTTTTTCCTTTAGCTACTCCATAGGCGCGAGATCGAAAATTGCCTTGTAACGAATCAAAACTGCGATCAGGTACGGTGGAACGAGGTTGGAGGAGTGGAAGGCTGCCGTTATACAAATTTGACTGATTTGGGTGAGTTCTCTGATCACTGC